TTTATTGTATTTTTATATAATACTGTAATTATTTTATCTGGGAATCCCAGCTTTCTAAAATTCACATTGCTATTCCTAGTATCATTACTGGTTGAAATGTTTCGTGGGGCTGCAAAGTGCTTCAAATTTGGTACTCTGTTTGTGCATCATCTTTGATAGATAGTCTAAAAGTTCTTTTGAGTTTGTTCTGAGAGCTTTATGATATTGTGTTGCAGAAGGAGTGGAGAGATAAGAGAGATGATTTCAAGAAAAAGGTTAGCCGATGTGTAAGGAAGTCACAAGAAATGTTATGATTCGCCACATACGCCTCATACTGCTTTTGTGAACTGGAGGACATATAATGTGTAATGGATTGGTTCACTTGTTACTTTTGATCCGTGTAAGAATGGCATTGAAAGTTGCTCACATTCCTTCTTTCTTCAGTTCCATGTTCTCTGCATGGCAATTTTGTCATGACTTTGGAAAACAAACTGTATTCTAAGTGTTTTGGCCGGTGTCTTGACTCTTATTGGAAATTTACTTTGTTCATTCGCATAACTTTTTTTGGTTTAAATTTGAGTTTAGGTGCTAGTTTGGTCTTGTTGTCCGTGCGGATTATGAATTGCGCAGTTCTACCTCAAGTTCAGTTCATTTCTGATTGATTGAATTGTTATATAATTAGGATAAAACAATATTGGTAGTTGATTTTTATAAAAAAGATTTGGGGGGTATTAAATTTGCTTGCTTGCTTGTACATGTACATGAATTCTGAAGAAAGTGTATTTGAGGGTGAAAATTCTCCAACTCTTGAAAGTTCTGACTTTTAAGTGGGGTGTTAGCCCTTGTTTGATCGCAAACTAAAAATTCGTATTTTTCTAACTTAAGTGTAATTCATCTAGAAGTATTTCCATCAATTGAATTAAGACACTGTTGAGTAGCAACAGTGCAGCAGCAGACTAGGATTCCGAGGAATCACTAATCACTACCCAGTTCTTATGATATTGTGCCTTGTTGGAAATATAGTTGGCTTCATTTGTGTTCAAATGCCACGTGAATTGAAGAGGCGAAAAGAATTCTACGTGAAGCACTAAAATAAATTCATTTGTGTTCAAAAACTCACGTATTAGGTTTAAAGTATCAATAACTTTAATCCTTGGATTTTCTACACCTTCATTGAGTTATTGATTTTGTATAACTTTCATTTTAATCCGTTTCTACCTTAATTTTTATCAATACTAAGGAATAAATGATGTTTTACAAAAATAGGAATTAAATGAGAGTTGGGAAAAGTAAATGGCTAAGACAATTAATGCCTCCAATTTTATAAACTAATTTGACTGTTTATTCATTTGTAAAACAATCTTGCATCACATATACAATGAGTAAAACATTAATTTTATCTTTGAAATTAGTATTTTATTTAGTTTTTGTCATTACCTAAATAACGAAAGGAAAAAAAACCCTTCAATTTAGCCTTTATTTCGACAATTGCCAATTAATATATCTACTCATATTCCTAACACTTGAGCCTTTATCATTAGCTTTCTCTAACAATTCAAGAAACCTTTCAATCCGTACCAAACCACAAGATAAAAAGTAAAAACAATAATGACACTGACAATTGGAGAGTTATATATATATATACACACACACATTGAAAATTGGAGATTTTACCTTCGTGTGTGATGCAATTACTAGATTTTTCTGTTCATTTTTCATTTTCCTGGCTTTTCTTTAGATCCAAGTAGAGAAATAATGATGAGGTTAAAGATAAAGGAAAGAAAGAGGGAACCTGGTGTGAAGAGGAAGGAAGGGTCGACTTGATATCGCAAGCCTCGTGGATATTCATTCATTTAGATACAGCAATTTTCTGATTTGAAGATGAAACTGATACCCTAATTCATTCGTTCGTTTATGGAGGAAAATCGGTTTGCAAATTTGAATAAACTGAACTGAGAAAAAGAAAGTATTAAGAACTGTAAAAAAAAATATGGGGGCTTGCGAGAGTGGTGAAGAAGAGTTGAGGATAAGAATGGCAAGTATTACTATTAGTATGGTTAGTAAATGAAATAGCCTAGAATGACCATATGTATTTAATGGTAATTAAGCCCTGTGATGGACTCAAAAAATTTAAATTGTGGGGCAATTCTCTCACACATATTAATTTATAACATGGAAAATATAAAAAATTTCAATAAATATTTTTAAAATATTATTTAAAGATAATTTTATGAAAATCATTATTAATATATTTTAATGTAGTTTCTAATATATCTCTACCATAAATAAATAAAAATGATTTCTCACTTAAATAAGATACTTAAATGTATTTTTATGTTTTTAATACATTAAATAATAAAATATTCAACAATACATATGCCTCTTCTCATTACATCCCCACGCTTTGGCTCGTTTTAAAGATCCTCCGAGCCTCATAGGCGAAGTGAGTCAAAATTCATTTGCTGTAAATTCATCAGAGGCAGCCCGATTTTGATGGTAGTTTAAAAGTGCGATTGCCTAGGGTCCAAGCTTAAAAAAGGATCTAAAGTAAAAAATGTGTCCTACTTTCACTTGAAAAAAATTTCAGCTCTTACAGTTTGCAGTTAGAAAAAATAAAAAAATAAAAAAAACTTTTTAATTCCTCGCATCTGAATTGCTATAAACATAATCGACTCATTGATCTCTGTAAACTTAAAATTTCATTTAATTTTTAAATTTTATTATTCTTAACATTAAAGCTCATGGAGAAATTTAGTTTTTTCCAAAAAATTAAACAGTTATTGAGTTTGTCAAATTTATAAATTGTTATTTAAATGTTTTAATCACTTATATAATTTTTTTTAGGATCCCAACAACTATATCATCAACTGAAAGAAGTTTTTTACAGTTAAAGTTAATCAAAATCTACCTAAGGTCATTAATGTCACAAGAACCATTGAATAATCTCATAATTTTATCAATCGATAAAGAATTTTTAAAAAACATTAATATTAATATTATCATTAATAATTTTACATCTCAGAATGCTCGTAAAACCTATTTTTTATGATTTTATTTTTATTTTTGTAGTTAATTATAATATAGAAATTGATTGAATGAAAGAATGTTTTTTTTATAATTTTATTAGAAAAATTATAGTCACTTTAAAAAAATATATTATTTTAATAAAAATATTAATATATGCTTTTGTTTTATTTATTATATTTTATAATTTTTTTAAAGAGTCTTAATTTCTTATTTTGTTTAGGGCCCCAAAAAGGTTAAAAACAGCCCAGATTAGAGGTTCACGTGGACTTCATGCATGATCTCACCTTAGCCAACTTTCTTTTTGGGCCTCCGAAGGAGATATGATCTACCATTTTCTATTGCCCACAGATTTTTAATATTTTTTTTAACAAACTCTTAATTTAAATTTTTTAAAAAATAATGCGAGTAATCAAATAAATTATATTGTTTTAAAATTTTAATAAATCTTTATTGATGATAAATAAATAAAAAGTACGTTATAAAAACATTTCTCCCACCGGGGACGACGAATGCTTGATAACCAATATAATAAGGTAGTCAGTGAAATTCATTTGTAAAACTAAGCATTTTTGGTTTAAAATTCATACAATTTTGTACTCTTTTAAAAATTTTATTTATAAACGTTTTGATAATATTATTATTTATAAATGTTTTAATAGTGACATTATTTATATGACATTTTTGTAATTTTATCTTTCTTCATTTTATTTTCTTTTATCATATCATCGTATTGTATCTTTTATTGCTTTTCTCTTCCTGTATCTCTCTTTAAATATCTACACCCTAAAAACCAAATATTTTAATTTTTTTAAAAGGTCATGATACACATTCTTACCTTTCATACATTTTTTTTTGTCGATAATAGATTTTACATGCATACATGGATCAAATCCTAGGAGATAGAAAGGTAAAAAACTCAAAGGCATAGTAAGGAGGAAAATTGTTTCCACTTTTCGTTCTTTTTCTTTTTTAACAATCAGTAACATTCTTACTAATTAAATAGAGAAGAATGCTATTTTTATTCATAATTTTCATAACATTTTTTTTTATCTTTCTCGTTATGTTACACATTTTATCTCTGGCATTTCTCCTTTTTTTGTTAAAGTTAAAAACAGAAAAAAAAATTAATGAACTTCAATTTATTTTGTTTTCTTACCAAAAAAATGATTTGTTTATCAAATTGCTGCACCGCTAAAGGTTAGGTCATTTGAAAGACTACTCGTCATACGATATTAAACTGTACTTATATTTATAAATATCTTATAAGGTTCGTAAAATTTAAAAGAAATTTATATAAAAATACGATTATACTAATAGAATCGATAACGTTTTATAAAACATAATTTTGTCTAGCTATTCATTTAAATTATATTATATATCACTCAATTATTTATGTCAAATTTTTGTTAATTAGCTATTGAATCATAATTTAAGGATCTTATTTTTGTATAATTTTTAAAATATACTAGGTCAATTTTTATATATAAACTAAGATATCAAATAATTTACATTGTATAAAATTTTATAAACATAACCGATATTTTAATGAAAGATATTAAATAATCAAATTATTATTGTAATTTAAACTGATATAATTTAATATTTCTATTTTATATTTAAAACAAAAGTTCACAAGATAAACTACCACATTATTTATCATGATATAATAAATGAAATCAAAATACAATCTATTCTAATATATTATTTCTTACAAATAACAAATGTTCTTATAAAAAAAATTAAAGCTTCAATTTTTTTTAACTGTATATGTTTAAATATTTTTAATTTCTTAAAATTATTTATTGAATTACTTATAATTTAAAATATTTGTAGACAATATCTTTTTAATGATACTTAAAAGTTAAAACTTCAAATATTCAGATTTCATGTAATATATGAAACAATTATAAGTTATTTTATATTTGGAATGATTGTAATACTAATAATAAAGCAATTATTAATCAATTTAAGTAATGAGAAGAGTTTGGTTTGACATATTGCATTTGTGCTGTCCGTGAAAAAGATGAAGATGGTCAAGCAACACATGGACGGACAATAACGTCTGAATGGACGCATCTCCACCGTCCACGTAACCACCCAGTGTCGCAGGTTTGGTTCTTCCAAACCGACGATCTCCCACTGCGACTCAACGAAGGAGCATTCCATTTGGTCGAATCGGTGACGAACGAACCTCAACAATCTAATTCATCGCTTTCACTTACAACCTGACACACATTTATTTCAGGTCAACTTTTGATGCTGATAGTTTAAACGCTTTCGATCGAATTAACAATTATGCATCCTACTATTGTTTCTCATCAATTTTACTTTTCGATTATTGCTTGAATCTCTAAATTGGGGGAAGTTGCTTCTTATATATTTATTCGTACTTCAAATTCTTTCTAATTTTGATATCATCATGAAGTTTTTCTAGTTTTGTCGTTTAGGCACGTTTGTTTCACATTTTATTTATTTATTTAAATATTTTTTTGTTAATATGCTTTAATTTTTAATTTCGACTAGTTTTGCATCTGTGTTAAGATTTAGGCTCTGTTCTAGTGTAACAGATAGGTTACATTTTATTTGATGTTAATTGTTGCATCTGATACTGTTTTCTATGGTTGTGCTGGTTGCTAGAGAATTTGACCTGGCTTCAGTTTAAATGGGAGACAGGGTGGGTAATTCTAAACAAAGCAGTGTTATGAGTGGGAGTGGGAAAAAAACATACAACAAGCTTCTGGTTGAATCACGCCCTAAAGGCATTGCACAGAGAAATTATGACCACCTTGTGTCATTGACCCATGGTGACTTTGGAAGCAGTGCTGTGGGTCGTGTCACCATTTTTTTACTTAAAATTGCGGCTTTAGAGACTGTGAGGAGGTTCTCCAAGAATAAATGTCCGTGCGTATGGCGAGGCCTGCAGGGTCTGCAAATCCTTGTTTACCCACCTTTCAAATGGATTCAGAGGTGGGCACCCTTCAGGGGTCTGGTCAAAAGCATGCAGGTTTGTGAATTGTGATGATTAATTTCTCAAGGTTTTATGAAAAATGTAATTGAATGTATGTCATTTTAAAGCAGCAGAATATGATATCTCTGGAAAATCATTTACTATAAATGTGAATTAACTAAGTACATCATTTTGAAGGTTTAGAAATCGGCTTATGTCATCTATATCTGTGGGCTTCTGGGAGATCTTTGTTTGGGATTTGAGAAGGCCTTTTGTGGGTGGTTTCTATATATCATACGTGTTTGGAAAATTTCTAAGAGATTAGTTATTCTTATTCCTTATTCTTGCGTTTGTACTTTTTAGAGACTATGGATATTGATTTTCTTAAGGCCATTCATGGATTTAGTACTCTTTTAGCACTGTAATCACAAGACATACAACTACTGAGGTTAAAGAAGAACAAATTAAGGAATTATCTCTTTCCATTTGTTTTTTTGTTTTTTTCTACTTCCCGATATCCCAAGTTTTTCTATATTAACGAAGCAGATAGCTAATCAATCTCTCTTACCAGGTACTATCAAGACCATTACTAGTCCTTTCAATTGCAACAGTCTTTACTGATGATCAACAACAATGTAATGATGAAACCTCAGATTCTGTTACTGATTCTTATGATTCAGAAGTATCTACTGAACTGTCTCCGGTGCAGTCTAATTTGAATACAAGGTACATGATTTGAAGCTTCATGGTAAGGTTTATCTGTGCTATTTAACCTTGTTATGCCTTGGCTATAAATACGGGCCTTTATAAACTAAGAATAGCAACATGATAAGTTCATATGTTCCTGCTTAAGATCTGTGATGAGTAGATTAACATTTGCTTTTCGGGTTATTATTATTAACCTTTTGGTCCATAATTGCTAGTGTTTCTTTTTTTTTTTTTGGTAATTTAATCTCTGACATTAATTTTTTAGGAATGGATAAAATTGCTTGGTATACATTATTTCATTCTGTGACTAAGACTTTTTGTATTCTACAAGTTTTTCATGTCTTGACTTCTCTTATGCTAGCTTCTTTAGTTCTTATCAATATTTTTCTTTCCTTTTGCAGTCATTTTGAGACAGCTCCTAAAGTTTTAGAATGTGAAAACTGGTTGACTCAACTCAATAAAGAGCTTGAAAATCAAGGAATTAGTTTGCCAGAAAGGTATTAGATGGTTTTTGTTATGTGCTTTATTGCACCATTCCAAAAAATACTATGACATGAAACACTCAGAATCCCATTTCAAACCAGGCTATTTGATGTTTATACAATTACAGTCATTTTGTAATTTATATTGATAACGTAGATCTACCCCTTTCTGTTTTTGGAAAAAAGAGTGGCACGAAAAGTTAATAATTTATCTGCATGTTTGCAGTTGCATTTTGTCTCTTTTCAGAGTTGAACACATTAAATATTTTTTTATTAAGCAAATAATATTCAATATAATCACTTTGGAATTTAGTACTTATGCAACAGTATGGTAATTAATAATCCAGCTCTTTATAATGATTGCTAAATTTATGCCAAATGTCTGTGTTCTCATTTTGATCTTGTATTTTCTTTAATTCTTGGGGCAAGTTTTGAAATCCTGGCCAGAGCAGCCTTACTTGATAGCAATAGCATATTTCTTGGTTTCTCCTGTTGCAGCGGGCCATGATTTAGTAGTGTTTATGCAGAGTCAATGATGATGAGCTCCGCAGATTTTACACTGCCTCTAATAACGACTTCTCATGCTTCCTTACCTCAATCAAAAAGACAATACACTGGAGGGAGAGTTACAGATTTCTTTCAGTAGAAGAGCTGGAAATGTGGTCAAATATGGTGTTCTGGCACGGATTCGATTTGTTGCACAGACCTTGCCTCATTGTAAGGCTTGGGATAGCCTGTAGCTCTTTGGCGTCTGAAGATAGACTTCAATTTGCTCGGGCAGTCAGTATGTTTTTCTTTTCTACATGCAATATTTCCTTTTCTTTCCATTAATTTTCATTTTTTGCTATTTTAAGACAGCAATCCCAACTTCATCATTTTCATGGTTTAGTTTAATGGTAATCAATGATCTTTACTTCAGTATCGCAGGTAGAATATGGAGTCTTGCACTTCGTTGATGCAGACAACCCTCAAATTACCGTATTGGTGGATTGTGAAGGATTGACTCCATTGAGAATTCCTATGAAAATGATGAGATCTTGTTCCTCCCTTCTGCAAGATCACTTTCCTAATCGTCTTGGTTGTTTGTTTATCATTCGACTTCCAGCGATTGTTCGTGTTATTGCCCAAACTTTTATTCGGGTAAACTCTCCTTTCCATTTATTTATCCTAAAATAACAAAGAAGGCAGCAAGAGGGAAGGTAGTCACGAAGTTGGGGATCATATAGTGTATAGCTATTTGATGAATTATTTGATTAAATGCGATTTCTCGTATCCGTGCGGCGCCTCAAATTCAGATACAATTTCTTATTTCTTACTAAAATATCACTGTAAATAAAATCTTCGCACTCTATTAATGAACTAATTCCAGAATTTGAATCACAGGTTCTAAAGCCAGCTACCAAGAAGAAGCTGAAATTAGAGGGAGAGATGTATCAGAAAGTACTTCGTGACAATCTGCCGACTCTACCATCATATCTAGGAGGAGACTGCACTTGCATGCAATGTTCTAAAATTGGCAAGTGGAATATGCTGCAACCTCATGCAACTGGGACCAGCAGCAGCAGGATTCATAGAGAAGAGGAGCACATCGGTGACAACGAGGGTTCACCATTACTGCATCCATCTAATGAATTAGATGACCACCAAATCAACAACTATGACCAGTTGTTGAGAACTGCTGTCATAAGTATTCTTGTATTTTGGCTTTTCCTAGCTCTTGGTGCTGGAATATACGATCCTGGTAGTCGTCGTTTATCATCGTAATGTAAGATTGACCAAATTAGTTTTATTCTCCTAGTTGAATCAATTTTTAGAAAACACCTATAGTTTGAAGTTGTATTTCTCAATTAAGAGGTGGTGTTATCCCAAGTTTAGAACAGTAAGAGGTGTACTATTTCTGATTACAGATCTCCAGTTATGGCTTGCACAGCTGCAATATAAAATCTTTTTTCTGTGGTTTTATCTTTTATTGTCACAGTAGAATCATATCACAGCTGCTTAAATTTTAGCGTTCTAATATTTCTTACAACGGAATTAATTTCTCTCTTCGTCGTAGTTTTCTTGTCTCCTTATCATTATTCCTTCGTTAAATCTCTCAAATTTTGATCAATGAACATCAATTAATGAAAAATAATGAAAAGTCAATTTAACAACATAAATGCATAATCTAGCATATAAAACTCAAATTTATATACAAATTACCAAATCTTATACAAAATTATCACAATTTGAGTAGATAAATCTATTTGGAATGTAAATTTATCAGGGTACACCCTCTGTAGTAGTTTGGTTTGCATTGTCCGTCTTTGGAGTCTCGACCTTGCATTTAGGCATTGCAACTTCTTTCCCACATCTTGCATGTCACCAAATAATCAAATGAGTTGTCTTAATTCCTATTGCATTGTTGGAAGTAATGTCATTTTATCATAATTTATGGATCTTAAAAATTATATTATTCTTCTCTTTTCTTTTATTTTAAACATTATAATTTACTTGTTCGGAAGATAAATATGTTATAATTTAATTTATTTTAGTGAAAATTAATCTCTTAGAGGGTCAATTTTTTTTTCTCTTTTATTACTCTTAAAATCAATTTTAAGACTTCAAAGATAAAATAAAAATTGAGTAAAAATTTAAAATTGATAATGCAAATATTCAAAATATAATCTATTAAAATATAAAAATTAAATACTATGTTCAAATATAGTTATCGTTAACCTTAAGAATCAAAGAGAGAAAATATTCTTGAGAGATTCATTTATAATTATTTTGCTCATCACTGCTAATAAATTTATTTACGATAAAATCTAGTATTAAAGTGTAACACGCATTAATCAGTAATGGAGAGGGGAAATGTAATTTTAAAATAACAAGAAAAAATCTGATTTAAATAAAGATAATACCACACGTTTCGTATATAGGATTCCAACGACATTACAGAGTGTATACAAATATGGTCTAGAAGGACTGCTTCCTTGCTTCGAAAAATACCTTATCAAAACCTGTATTTTTATTGGGTTCATGAAGGGGGAAAAAAAGGGTGATAAGACACTCACCATATATCATTTTAATTGCAATGCTAATTGAAAATATTATTAAACTATAGAAAATAATCTTATATAACAGAAGTGCTACACATTGAATGATATTTAAAAACATTTTTTTATTAAGTAGCACCAAAGAACTTTTCTTCTGAACGTAAATGGAAATTTTCGTCGACGTTCACCCGTTCCCGAAGGGGTTGGTGCTCACTGCGTAGGAAAGTGGGTGGATGCTATTGTTCCTTCGCATGCTCATTCCAATAATATTTTTCTCATTTAAAGTTTTTTACACCTATTCTTGCTCTCCTCATTGATAGTAAAAAGTAAAAGATTGAAAGAAAAGGAAATTTATTTTTATTTCCCCTATTGTTATCAAAAAATAAAATGAATTAGCGTTAAAAAAGTGTAAAAATACCATAATAGAAAGAAAAAAGAATTGAGCAACCGTTTAGTTTAGGATCAAAATTAATTTCTTACACCATAACAAATGTATTTTGTACAACGTAAATTTTATTAAATTAATTTAAATAACCTCTTAATTATATGTAACATTTAAATTTTTTTGACAAAATAAAATAAAAACACCCTCACTATCCCAAGTCATGGACTTTGCCGTGTAACTCAATTTCCTCAGCACCGAAAGGCCACCCACCCAGTGCGAGATGATCAACGAAACACATTACCTTTTAGCACTTGAATTAAATTAGTTTTCATAATTTTCTGAAAGATTTAAAAAAAAATGCAATTTGTCACATCATGATCATTTGATTGTTTGAGATATACCCCTTCCCCTGCCATGATCTATTTTATAGGGCTGCTGTTGTCTGATAAGTGCACTTTGGTTGACCCACTTGACTTGATCTTTCCTCCTTCTCAAGGGAAAGGAAATTAAGTTCAGTGGAGATTTAGGGAAACCCCACTTCTAATCACATGATGAATTCTATGGTATAACATTGAGGTTATTACTTTTTTTTATAAATAGAAATACACTAAAAATTATAAATTTAAACAATGAATTATTGGTAAATATATGTTTTATCTCATTTGTAGCATTGAAGTTACAACTAAGGTGTAATAAATTATTCAAATAATGCTCATTTAATAACATAAACTAAAATTTATTTTATTCCAACATATTTTATCCTTTTACAGAGTTGAACTTGATGCCACCAGAAACGTGCACAAAGCACACGCTTTTTGATTTAAGTAAAGCTTGACGGCCATATATATCAACTAACGTTTTACATAGAATCCTATATAGCGTGGACTTACAAGGAACTTCACTTACTTTCCATTAGAAAATGTTTTGTTGACTACTAGAAGGTGTCTTTTGTTTTCTTTTATGTATATAAAAAAAAATTAGAAAATAATAATATTATAAACGGCATTAATTTTTAGTAATAAATTACAACTAAATGAAATATGCACACAGCCAAATCGAATGACAACTCATCTTAGTATAACAACAAGTAGTACGAGTTTATCATATGAAGAGCCGTCTTCAAAATGGAAAGTCAGTGCTTATTAAAAATTTGTATAGTTTTTTTTTACAAGTTAATTTAAATAGGAAGAAAAAAAAACATAAATGATGTAACGAATAAAGGTAAAAATTATTATTATATATTTTTATAAAAATAATATAACTGTTAATAAAAGTTGCTCTTATCAGTTCGGGGAAAGAGGATGCACCTAATTAGATCCAAAATAAGGAAAAGTGTATATGATTAGTGTTTTTTAACCAAAATAAGATTGTTCATTGTTCTCTCCACAAGATGGTATAAATATAATAATCATTCCTTATTGATATAAAAAATCTTTTAAACTCAATTAAGGCAACCGTACTATGGTCCCACATAGGCCGCATTCCAACTACACCGCCGCCATGGATGCACGGAAAATAATTTTTAGACAGATTCTGTCTTTCAGATTTTGTTAACCTCAATTTAGTTTAAATATTTATAATTTTTTAATAAAAAATATTATATTTAGTATATTAAAATTATAAATAAAAATATTTTTCATTAACGAAATTATTTTTGTTTTTAAGTTAAAATGTAAGAATAAATTATTTTAAAATAAAAATTGACAATCAATTTAATGCGTATTGTAATCACATGCAATTCATTAAAGTTTGAAAACAAAAATATCGTTACTTACGTATTTTGAGAATAATATCACTTTAAATAACCAATTCTTATAATTTTAAGCTAACAAAATTAAAAGGTGAATACTTATTTTTTTGTGTTTACTTTAAAAGTTGTTAACAACAGATTCTTTGACATTAATTAAAATAAACATAATTTATAAATATTGTAATAGAGTTAATGTCGATTTGACGTGTCTCATACGTCTCTATTTCATACAGATTCTGTAAGTGTATACCAAATATTATTTTTATTTAGACAATATTTCATACAAACTTCATCAATAATAACTTAGAAGAATCTGGTTAATGATTACTAATAAAAAATAAAGAATTAATGAATATAAATTATTTAAACTGTAATAAAATATATTAATAACATTAAATATTATTTTTCATAAAAAAACTCACTTTTAATTACATTTTTATTCAACCTTAAACTCAACTCATGTTTTTTATTTATTCAGATACATAAAAATTTTATTCAATCACAAAAAAACATTAAGAAAGGGTATATATTTAATTTATTTAAAACGCACAAAATTTTCGTAAACTTAGTTTCGAGCCTCATTTTCCTTCAACAAAAGCAAGTGTTTCTAACTACGCAGCCAACTTTACTTTTGCTCATTCTCTCTCTATAAAGCCCAATCAAGGGTTGAGTTGAAAGCACTCTAAGCCAAAACAAAACCAAGTGCAAACCCCAAACAGTGGTGGAAGCAAAGCCATGTGGCAAGCATGTCTGGTATCTGCATTAAGAACAACCTTAGGATGCACCATAGTTGGTTGTGTCACTCTTTATGGCCCTCTCTTCATTCAAAACCTTGTAGCATTCCCAGCATTATCCTATGTAACAATTATTCTCATTATCAAAGATGCCACTTTGGGAGAAGCGTTACGTGGGTGCTGGCTCACGCTGTACGCCACCATCCAGAGCATCTGTCCAGCCATGTTGAGCTTGTGGCTCATCGGGCCGACCCGGTTCTCCAAGGCCACCTCGGCTTTGGCTGTGGCGCTAGCCGCATTCTTGGTGGCGCTGCCGGCTGAGTCAACGCATTTGACGGCTAAACGAATAGCTTTTGCTCAGATTGTGGTGGTGTATGTGATCGGTTACGTAAATGGGCCTCTCACTGAGCCCATCATGCACCCTCTCCGCGTTGCGGCTAGCACCGCCGTTCGAGCCTTGGCTTGCGTTCTCGCGTTGCTGCTTCCCTACCCTCGTTTTGCATGTCATCAGGTGAATGTTCTGTCCCCACTCTCTATGCCCCACAAAGAAAGAATATATGATTTAAGTTTAAAGACTGAAACTATGGACTTTTTGTATTATTCACGAGTTGAAGTTAAACGGTTATTTTTTTTATAAAAATACTAAAATTAAAAGATATGATATTTTCATATACCAATAACTTATTTAATCTTATCGATAGCATAATTTTTTATACTTTGATGTAAATAACTAGCTAGTTATACTCACTAACGCAATGAAAGCATGACCTGCCCCGTTATTTTGTAGCATAATAGGTAACCACAATGGTGCAAGAATAACATTTTTTTCTTGTTATATTCAGTACATAATAGATGAATCTAATAAGAAATAATGGATTGAATTTTGTTTCATATTTTGTGAAGGTGAGAAAGAATTACAAACTACTAACTCAAAACACCCTAGAAAGGTTGAAGCTTTTTATGAAGGCGACGTGTGAAGAAGACAATCCGTCGGCACTCGCATCAATCTCTTACGCCATGTCTTTGGCAACTGCTCGAACCAAGCTTCTCCAGCTCGTCACACGCTATCAAGTAAGCCTAAATAAAATTCAACATTTTTTTTAATAAAATATATACATTTTAACAAAACATATTAGTTAAATTAATTCAAGTATCCATCATAATCATATTCAATGGTTCAATTAACTCTATCTAAATTAATTTTATCTAACTTTAAACTAAATGCAATCATGACTTTATCGTATACATTATGGGCAAAGTCAGACAATACCACCTTTGTTTTAACACTCTTTATTATTTTCCTTGGATCAGAATGGCGTGAGTTGGGAGAGACCACCAATTAAATTTTTTAGAACCCGTCACTTGTTCCCGGCAAAGAGATTCCAAGAGATAGACACCACCTTGAGAGGGATGGAATTGGCTCTAAAGAGCATCAATTCATTTCCAATCAGCTTACTTGACGAAGATATGAAACATGATCTCAATAGGCTAGAGCATAATGTTATCCTAATCATAAAAGAAACCACACACAATTCATATGGTGGTTCACTAACCGTTCCTGAACCCTATGCAAAAAGAATAACAAAGTTTTTCCAATGCCTTCACACCATTCCAACAACCCACCAAGATTTACCCGTTTATTTCTACATTTTTTGTGCCAAACTTCTCCACAAGTGCTCATTGGCCGAAACTGCAAATAATATTCAAGACCAGCCTATTCAAAAAATGGGAAATCCTCAAGAGGGTACGCACAAGTGGGCCAACTTCATGACAATATTAAAAAGGCCACAAGTTTTGGCACCAATCAAGTGTTCTATCTCACTGGGCCTTGCAGTGATATTGGGCTTACTGTATAGCAAAAAGAACGGGCTTTGGTCAGCACTCCCTGTGGCCGTAACCTTTACATCAGACAGGGAAGCCACATTTAGAGTCGCAAATCTAAAAGCCCAAGGCACTGTGTTAGGAACTGTATATGGAGTCTTGTGCTGCTTTGTCTTTGAGAGATTCTTGGCAATAAGATTCATGTTTCTTATTCCATGGATCGTTGCAACCAGTTTCCTTCAGCTAAGCCGAATGTATGGCCCAGCTGGTGGCATGTCTGCACAGATTGGTGCCATTCTAATATTGGGTAGGAAAAATTTCGGCCCACCAAGTGAGTTTGCTATTGCAAGGATCGTAGAAACTTTCATTGGGCTATTTTCCTCGATTTTGGTGGATCTTCTCTTCATGCCCAAAAGAGCTTCCACGTGTGCAAAAGTGGCACTTTCTAAGAGCTTGGCCACACTTGATGAGTCCATTGGCTCACTAGCCCTAGCCAACAAAACCGAATTGGAAGTAAACCACACGAAGCTAAAGATGCAAATTAACGAGCTAAGGAAATTTGTTTTAGCAGCAGAAGTAGAGCCCAATTTTTGGTTCTTACCTTTTCATGATGTTTGCTATAACAAGCTTGTTGGGTCGTTATCAAGATTGAGTGATATGTTGCACTTTGGAGCTCATGCATTGAAGTTCCTACAACAAGAATTCCAAAGAAATGAGAAAGAGTGTGCGAGTGTGGTAGAAAGTGACCTTGCATATTTGAGGGAAGTGACTTGTTCTTCTTTAAAAAGTTTAGTGGATATTTTAAGGATGAAATCCCTAAGGTTTCTTGAGAAGGAGCTTGAGAAGAAGAACATCACTAGTGATCTCGAACTGGGAAGGTCACCAAAGTCTGGTGATTTTTGCATGGTTTCGGATTTAGGAAAAGATAGCATTGAAAGAACAATAGACTCTTATCTCCAACATTCAAGAAATGTTGTTGATCACTTGTATGGTTTTGATGGTGAGCTAGAGATTAAGAGCCAACTTGTTTTGTGTTTAAGCGCTCTATGGTTTTGCATGAGTGCGCTTGTAATAGAGATAGTAGAAATTGAAGAAGCAATTAAGGAACTTGTTCAATGGGAGAACCCATCTAGAGAGGTTAATTTGTACGAGATATCGTGTAAGCTCCATGCTTTATACACATGAATTTTTTTAATACATACATCTTTACTCCACAGTTGGACAAGTTGCCATTCATCAGATCAAATTGAATAACCATTGTAGTTCGCACACCTAAAATTCTAGTTATGGCGTGTAAAATTGAATTTTATTCATAATACAGACACACCTATTGCAAAATTATAATTGAATTGTGTTTGTACGCAATTTTGAATCACAAAATAGCAACTATTTTTCGAAAGACGGTATAAGTGTCCAAATGTGTCAGTGAATGAGAATGATTATGGAAGTTAAACAACTTTTGATCAAAGTCCAATTCTTTCACTACTGAATACGCTTTGATATAATGTGTGGAATTTGTGAAGCCTAACTGGATTCTATTATTCTTTACAAAATAACAAATTATCACAAAACTGTAAAAGTCAATTCATTATGTAGGCTCTGTAACTTTAAGTACGGCGTCAAGATTGGGCTCTACATTCGGCCTTGCATTCTAAGCAACCAAGCAAATTTGCATGTGCAAAAACATGGATTGAAATTATTAAAACACTTCATCCTATTTTTTTTATTTATAAATTTTAAGAATGGTTTTTCAATGTAATACTCATCAGCTATCTAAATTAATTTTAAGAAGCAAAAAATATAAAATATTGAAAATTACTTTATTTTTTAATAAATATTCCTTTTAAATTATTTAAGATTAAATTTAAAATTAACATTAATTAATATATTTTTAATTACATTTTGTCTTTATTTTATTTATTAAATTATACTTTTATTCTAAATAAAAAATACATATCATATTAGGAATAACAACAATAATCAAGTTTATTTGATTTAGATAAATTTAATTACGTAAAAAATAAATTCTTAAAAATATTATTTATTGCCATAAAAATTTTACAATAAAATTTTCAATACAATACTTTTTTTTTTAAAAAAAAAAAGGGAAGTCAGAGCCTCTTTGACGGGAGGAAAAGAGAACACCTGTCAACGTATGGCAGCACTCAATCTTGTACAGAATACAGACAAACAGCACATTGAGGATTGAGGTTTAGAATTACAAGTGAAGCGAGTTTGATTTGAGTCTGACGAAGTAATCAAGCTCAGCTACTCCACCTCACCGAACCTTACCTTGTAGATGTTATTTTTACCTCCTCGTATCAGAAAATCCCGTGTCCTAAATCCTTGTATACACTGTTTTTCGGTATCTAACAGGTATTTGACTATTCTGTAGGGGTAAAAGATTCATTTTTTGGTTTTGGGTGTTTCTTTTTTTCAAAGTTTGGCATGATGCCAGCTTTTTGTTTTGGTGTCGTTGCCGTTGCCTAGGAGCTTTCATCATGGTCCTCAACTTTCCGTGAGTTTGAAGGATCCCAAAATGAATATTTGTTATTTTATTGATTGATTAGCTCTTTTGGTATGGAATTAAGTAACTAAAAAAATTAAATTAATATAGCGTTTGGTGGCAGAAATTTGAAGTTCCGGATCTCTTACTTCTATAAATGGTTTTCTGATCATAGATCGTTTAGACCAGATCTGTGACTTGAGGTTCTTGATTTGTCTATCTTTGCTTCCATTGTTAGTTCTCACACTCTTATTTTATCCTGCATGTTATTGAAGTGTCTGCTACTATCTCTTGGGCCATTTAATCCCTTTTTATTAGATTTGATATTCTAATATTATGTAATTCAACAATTGTATTTGTACAATGACTCATAATGTGTGGAAGAAATTTTGACCGTTTGGAAATTGGTTCAGGGTTTGAATTTCAGAGGCTTTGACAATGGCAACGGATTCTACTAATGGAGACCATCAAAAAGCAACAAAGCAACCTCCACTGCCATCTCCCTTGCGTTTTTCCAAGTTCTTTCAGGTGAACTGTGGCATTTCATTCTTTCATTCTGATTGTGCCTATTTTGTTGTCTGGATCCTGTTATGCGGGTTTCTTGATAGTTCGTTTTTGTTGTGTTCCTGTTTTTAACTTGTCACTGGTTAACTTTTGCTGTCAAAATATATGTTATGATGGCATTCTGATGTTTAATTTTCTGCATTTGCTGCCGGTTGGTATACTGAAATAATTTGCATTTTTCACTGCTACATTTCACTTTATCTATTCTGTTGCACAACTTGGTCCAGATCATGTGGGATATGTGCATGCATCATCATTTTCCATGTTATCATTGAGAACACTGATTACCGGAACAACGCTCTTGCCAGGATCTCGTCTTTTACATGATCATTTTCTCCTTTTTTTTATATGATTTCTTGGTTTTCCAATGTTACTTTTATTTCTGAACAGTCCAATATGAGAATTCTGGTTACTGGAGGAGCTGGATTTATTGGCTCTCACCTAGTTGACAGATTGATGGAAAATGAAAAAAATGAGGTTAGAATGACTGATATCTTTCTGTTCATAGTTTTGAAGTTTGATACAACATGTGACAATATGTTTGTCTAATCAGGTCATTGTTGTTGACAACTTCTTCACTGGATCTAAAGACAACCTTAGAAAATGGATTGGCCATCCAAGATTTGAGCTAATTCGTCATGGTATAATTTTATTACTTTTTCTACTGCTGCCATCCTGAGTCTGACTTTGTTCCATGTAAGATTGAAATTTAGATTAAAATTTATTTTCTTTTTTCTGAACTTGTAATATGTGTCTGACCTCTTAAATATAGTTATCTAGATTGTAAATAATCTTCTAGATGGTAAAGTTTTTCTTAGTCAGTCATCAATGTAGTGCAGCCAGCTGCACCATTTTGTTTGACACCACATGAATAATGTTGCTATCAAGTGCACCGAGTTTTTTGTGTTTCTAGATGTCTTTTAATTTATATATTTCTTCAATTGAAATGCATTCGTCTTCCTTTCTCTGTGCAGATGTCACAGAGCAATTGTTGATTGAGGTGGATCAAATCTACCATCTTGCATGCCCTGCTTCTCCTATTTTCTACAAATACAATCCTGTAAAGGTGGGGTTCCTAAAGTTAGATTGTGTGTTTCATATATATTGATTGAAGTTTTGAATTTTCTTTATAGTAATTGAAATTGTGTTTATGACCTACTCATTGGTCAATTGCTCTCAATCTAGTGAATCTTGAGAACCTATCTAACAGTTAGAGGAATAACTTTGCAGACGATTAAGACAAATGTGATTGGAACGCTGAACATGCTTGGGCTTGCTAAGCGTGTTGGAGCAAGGTTGGCTTTTTTTCTAAAAAATATTGATAATCTAAATTGCTACTCTCTGTTGGGTTTACCAAGTTGTAATTTTGATTGTCAGGATTTTGCTAACATCTACTTCAGAAGTATATGGGGACCCTCTTGTCCATCCACAGCCAGAAAGCTATTGGGGCAATGTTAACCCCATTGGTACATACACATCTCAATCCAAACTTGTATATCGATGACATCACAATGGGGCCAATGCTAATTTTGATGAGTTTGTTGTGATGTATCTGCAACGTCAATTTTTGCACTTCAAACTTCAAAGTAGTTTGTCATTTTGAACATGCATTTGTTAATGAGCATGCAGAGCTGAAAGCTGAAAGTATATGATCTTTTAAAATTATATTTTGATAAGATCCATGCATTCATATATTGACTTTTTAAGATTTGGGCTCATGATGCAAAGTGCTGCACTGCTCCTCAATCACTTTTGTTTAGTGATATTGCATTAGATGTTACTCAGTAAGACAATGTGCTCTGTGTCAAAACCCATGAGGATATAGCCTAACCTAAACATAAAAATATGTGTCCATAGGTGTTCGGAGTTGTTATGATGAGGGCAAGCGTGTGGCAGAAACTTTGATGTTTGATTATCATAGGCAGCATGGAATAGGTAATAATGCCCTTATCTTTTTTCTTTTTTTTATGTCTTATTGTTCAAGGCCATTGCAAGTACAAGTTTTACCCTGTTGTTAACTCAATGTGATGTTTATTTTCATTTTTTTCACAGAAATACGCATTGCAAGAATATTTAACACATATGGACCACGCATGAATATTGATGATGGGCGTGTTGTCAGCAACTTCATTGCTCAAGCAATTCGGTAAATCCTTTGGCTTTATAATGTTATAGGCTAGATGGATATGCCGATAAGTAATTTTGCATGATTTTGTATGTCTTAACTCTTGGGGAACATTGGTGCACACGCTTCTGTAAGCAAGTAAATAACTATTTAATTTGACTGCAAAAATTATAATTCAAGCTTTGTAACTGTATGAATTATGTGATTTATGAGCATGCTGTTTATATGCTATATCATTTATGATAATTGCTACAAAATATAAATACCTTGATTTGGTTGATGAAGCATAATTTCTTCTTTTACCATTCAACTTGTACACTTTATGTTACTTCTCATACAATCTCTGTGTTATAGTGGTGAACCCTTAACCGTCCAAGTTCCGGGAACTCAAACACGCAGTTTCTGCTATGTCTCTGACATGGTATATATGATAAATGTTTCTTATTGTGTTATATTATCTTGATTCACATACTAGGTTTGATTGACTATGGTATACATTTGAAATCTATTAGGTTGATGGCCTTATTCGTTTAATGGAAGGGGAAAACACTGGTCCAATCAACATTGGGAACCCAGGTTATATTGCAACTGAGACCTTTATGCACTGATTTTTCTGTCAAATACTAACATGAGTTGATACTTTATTCTTCTAGGTGAGTTTACAATGATTGAACTGGCCGAGAATGTGAAAGAGGTAAGCTGTAACTTGTAAACCATTTCAAGTCTGAGAATCCCACACCCCTCTCCTGTGTCAGTCTGGTTATAATCTTGTTACCATTTCAACCATAAGCTTTGAACAAAAGTTTGAAGAAAGTTACACATTGATACCAAATTAATGATTTATTTCATGAGACGGATTGTGTGTTTGGTAACATATTGAAAAATCTGTAAACATGGACTCGTTGCCATTTAAACATGAGTCCAAGGACGATAAATTGTATATGTGCAATATGCAATCACCAAAGTAATGGGTAAGAAAAACCGTTATTTTTATCCTATGTGTTGGTAGTGGAGCTTTTGGTGAAATAATTGTAGTTAGCTAATACTTAACGTGTGCTTTTGCAGCTTATTAATCCAGCAGTGGAGATAAACATGGTTGAGAACACTCCTGACGATCCTCGTCAGAGAAAACCAGACATAACTAAAGCAAAGGAATTGCTGGGATGGGAGCCAAAGGTGAAGTTGCGTGATGGCCTTCCCCTCATGGAAGAAGATTTTCGTCAGAGGCTTGGGGTTGCAAAGAAGAACTAAGCTTATTTTCATTCCTTCAATTCATGTCATAAATGATATTTTGGTAGTCACTGGGATGAATGTGTTAGTGTTGGATATTTCATATTGAAAATTATGGAGAGGAAGGTCAGAAGTTGCTGCCAGGAAAACTAACTTGATCTTACTCTTCTTTTGATACAATATGATGGCCTCTCTTGCAAAGACTATTGTTGAGTTGAAATCTTATTTTATAGAACATTAGTTGTTTTAATATGAGAAGTTGAAAATTTGTATTTGAGATGTTTTGGATCTCCTTTTGAAATGAAATTATAATAATGATCTGTTATCAATGTCAAATAAGTTCGATTGAAAATGTGTTTCTTGTTCATTGAGCTCTATTTTTCCTTATATTTATATTGATTTCGATTGACTATAATTCTTTGTTTTCTCTGTTTACATAATTTACGTAGCAATAAAAATAAGATTACTTTTTTGAAATTAATATTCTTTAATTTTATAATGTTTTAAAATAAAAGTCATAGAATAATAGATTATAGATTTAGTGTGTTAATTTTTTTTTATTTAATTTTATAAATATGATATAATTCTTTAAATCTAAAAATAAAATATCTAGAGTATGTTTGATTTTCCTTTTAAAAACAGTTTTCTGTTTTTTTTTTAAATGTAATATAAATTTATATTATATTTTAAAAAAAAACAGAAAACTGTTTTTAGAAGTTAGTTTTTTGTTTTTTAAATGAAAAATATTTCTATCTTTTTTTCGAATTACAAAATGTCTTCGAACTCAGAGAAATTCAAGACTATTTTTTCTTTATGATTTGTAATTGTCATTGATTTTAAAAAAATTTAAAGATAATATTAAATATATTTTTAGAGTTACAATTTATTTACATTAAGTGTTAAATTTATTACATTTACACCATTTAATAATTTTTAAAATATATAAATTAATCAATCATCATTAAATCATCTTCATAATAATTTATATTAAATTTCATATAATTTAAATATATCTCATTTAAATTTTAATATTTTTATTTTAAAATATATTATTTATTAAAATAAAATAATATAATATTTATTAATATTATTTTTATATAAAATTCTATATTTATTTATTTAAAAAATTTGAACTAACAATTGAATTAATTAATTTCGTATTCTCAGCAAAGTTCTTATGTTAAGATAAATTTTAATTTTTGAAAATAAATGATAACTTTAACACTCAAAACGAGATTATCTTCACATTTAAAAAGTATTTGATAGAATGAATGAGCGATTTCACTTACCCACCTCAATAATTCAGACAAAATTATTATTAAAATCTTCAAATTATAAAATATGGCATGCTCATTGTTTTAAAATTTAAATAAATTATCTTTTATATAATTAAATTTACATTACTAAACAGAATTAAAATATATATTTAAATTAATATCAGTCTTAATCATGGATTTTACGTTGAAATAGTGTATGATACGGGGAATTAGTTCCGAATATAAAAGAAACAGTCCTACACATGCTTGGGAAAATAAAGTCTTGACTCGTCTGCAAATTTTGTTCATTATTTCTTCAGTGTCTTGAAAATTATTTTTTTTTTTTACTTAAATCGATTTTTATTATGCTTTTAAAAATTTTCTATCCTGCTTTCAAAGCTTTTTACTCATAAGTCGATTTTTATTCTATTTTTAAGTTTTTTTATAAAAATTAATTTAAATTAACTTTCATTCTAATTTTAAAATTGTTTACACAAAATTTAATTTAAATTAAATTTTACTCATATATGAATATATTTTAAAGAGAAGTCGATTATAATTAACTTTGTAATACATAATTAAAGTCAGACTATAAAAGAGGAAGGTGTTTTTGTGATATTCGATAGACATCATACGATCAAATCAGCTCTAGAATTGACAAAGAACAAAGTAACAACTCCTTCCATATATTATGCACATTGTGTCAAAATTTTGCCGTAAAATTTAAGAACAAAGATGCAAAGCAATTGTTAATGAATATTATGATTTCACTCTATTTTTCACATTTAATTCCAAAATTTTTTCATCTTCAAATGGTGAATATGTGTTTATAATTGACTTCAATTATGTATTACAAATTTTATTATAATTAATTTATTTCTAAAACATATTCACGTGTACATGAAAGTTACAATAAATTGACTTTTGTGTAAACAAATTTTGAAACCAGAATTAAAGAATTTAAATGAATTTTTGTATAAAAAATTGAAAAATAGAATAAAGGTCGACTTTTAAGTAAAAAAATTTTAAAAGTAAAAAATCTATTTAGATAGACTTATGTGTAAAAAAATTAAATGTATAATAAATGTAAAAATTTTAAAAATAAAAATAAACTTTTGTTATAAGTATTTTTAAAGATATTTGCGTAAATTTATTCTTTCAGTGAATAATGAATTTTTTTTAATTTATTTATGAAAAAAACCGACATAACAGAAACATATCGAGTTGTTTATGCGGAAAGTAAAAAAACCGACATAACAGAAACATATCAAGTTGTTTATGCGGAAATAGCGTATTTGGTAACAAGTAACAGAAATAGAGTGGAGTTGAGAGCCAAAGATGAAGATAAAAACAACCTAGATTTGATATGATATGAACATAATGGTCTCATTCAGTTAGGTCCAACTGCAAGTGAGCCCATACAACTCTTCTTTTTAGTACACGTAGCACCCTGAGATTGGTAACCTCGTACGTCATTCTTCTTATTCTCTACTTTAATCTCAGTTAATATTTGAATTTAATGCCCTTAATTCCAAAATACTAATATCATATTATGATATAGATAAGTGTGCATTGCACTTTTATTGGGACTTAATCTCCCTTATTTATTACTCATCTATTTCATTCCTGATTTGCTTAACATTCAATTTCAATTGCGATTGCACCCTCTGTTGTTCATTCGTTCGAATCGGTTAGGTGATTTCAATTGCTTATTTTATCATGTTTGTTCTATTTGGTGTGATTTTCACACTCTTGCAGCTTTTATTACGTCCTTCGACTTTCCGTGAGATTCAAGTCTTCTATTTTTTTTTTCTATGATTTTATTTATTATTGAATTTTTAGAAGTTTCCATTTTTTTTTTTCATTCTTCTAATTTTAGCATTTGTTGTCTAATTTTAGCATTTGGTGAAAGAATCTTGTGTCTTTGGATCTATTTGTCTGTCTTTCTTTCTATATAATCTGGTCTATGATCATGAACGTTGTGTTTGGATCACAAGAGTGTGTAGGGTTTTGGGTTGGTCCTTTTCTGAAGCGATCAGGTTGATTAGTGATTACACCCAATTGGCCCCTTTTTTTGAAAGATTTGAAGCCACTTGATTTGGATGAAAATTTTGATAACCCATCAAACGTATTTGATCTGTTGTGGAAGAGTCGTTGAGAGCTAAAAAGTTGAAATAACTTGACCTCTTTAAAATTGGTGCAGGAATTGAACTTCAGAGGTCCTTGCAATGGCAGCGAATTCTTCTGATGGAGATCACCATACAACACTAAAGCAACCTCCCTTGCCATCTCCTTTACGTTTCTCCAAATTCTTTCAGGTGTACTGTCGCATCTCTGTTTTTAAGCAATTTTCTTGCCACATTGTTGTTCTCGTCTGTTATCTAGATCATATGATAAAATTTTCATCTTAAATATTGACCTGGTAGATTGATTTTGTGGACACAATGATGTTCTGTTTTTTTATAACTTTAACTGCCTTTTTTGTCTCTTTTATGTGCATAGAATAGAAAATCGTTTATCTATTGTTTCCACTGTTTGTTGAATGTGATCAAAACAAATAAAATTAGTGCACTTTACTATCGTATACAAGTTTGTTCTTTAGCATTGCAAATCACTTGCTATTTGCACTGAACACAATCATTGGAAATTTTAAAAAAAAAAAACCATGATAGCAATCAACTAAACTGAATTTTTTTTTTTCCCCATTTATTGGACTGTATACCTATGGTTCTGAAGTATGTGAATGTGAATCCATGCATGCTACTACTGTTGATTGAAATTTGTTGTGTGAGTATAAGTGGGTCATTTGTCAGAAAGAATCGCTTAGTTTGCACAATATACTTGTTCTTAATGCCTTGTTTCGCAACATTTCTTTCATTCCTGACAATAGTCCAACATGAGAATCTTGGTTACGGGAGGAGCTGGATTCATTGGTTCTCACCTAGTTGATAGATTGATGGAAAATGAAAAAAACGAGGTCAGTTTATTATTTACTGTGTCAATTAGTTTTTATTTCACCAATTCTATTATGCTTACATAACTTCTAATCAGGTCATTGTTGCTGATAACTACTTCACTGGATCGAAGGACAACCTCAAAAAATGGATTGGTCATCCAAGATTTGAGCTAATACGCCATGGTATACTCCATCTATCTACATTAAATTGTTAGGTTAATTTATTTTTTGTTTCATTCAGTAATACATGTCTAAACAGTAGTGTCTAGGTTGCGAAAAGATCATTCAATCAGCAGAAGTTGTTACACCATAAATTCAAGTGTTTGGTATTTCAGGTTTCAGCTGTTGCTTAATCAACCACAATTTTGTTTGAAAGCTAACTTAGTATATTAGTATATTTTGTTCAGAATGCCTTTAAATCTGTCTGAAAATCAATTATGCTGACGCGCTCATTCTGATCCCTTTGTAGATGTCACTGAGCCTTTGATGATTGAGGTTGATCAGATCTACCATCTTGCATGCCCCGCATCTCCTATTTTCTACAAATATAATCCTGTGAAGGTGTAGTTTTCAGTCTTATTTTGTCTATAATCCATTTATCTTTTACTTGCCATGTAGGCATGTCTGTCAACTGAAAGATTTTGCTTCTAACACTCGTTACATAGTCACAGCTCATGGCCAGTTTATATAAGAGTATAGAGAACCCATGCATATCATGGCTTTCTTCACTCTGCAGAATTTTTATTCTACTTTTGTCATGTATCATTGCTTTGAAAGTTCTCTTTTTCTACTGACCCCTGAGAGACTATCTAATATATTTGGAAATACTAATTTTTACAGACAATAAAGACAAATGTGATAGGCACACTGAACATGCTTGGACTCGCAAAACGAGTTGGAGCAAGGTTGGGAAATTGTCTTTGGAAAAAATAATCCAACTTCTCTCACCAGTTGGTTTTAGTTCTATTTTGGTGGAATCTTAGTTTTTATTTTAATGGCAGGATTTTACTTACATCAACTTCGGAGGTATATGGAGATCCTCTTGTGCATCCCCAACCTGAAAGCTATTGGGGCAATGTAAACCCTATTGGTACAAGCTCTTATCTCAGTCTCAACCTGTATCTTGGGCTTCTCGAATGAATTATGAAATTATATCCGTTGCTATGATTATGAAATATATATATGCACTGTATAAACCATGAAGACTTACTTTCTTATTTAAATTTTGTATTACAAAGAGGCTTAAGTTTGAATTTCTTTTTCATGACTAACAATAATTAGTTATGGACTCAAGTTCGCTAAATAAGAACTAAGGTTGACCTTTTTGAGGCAAAGATATTCTTCTAACAATATTTATGTAGTTGTAGTCTAAGCACTTAATTACATGTTAATAACAGGAGTTCGTAGTTGCTATGACGAGGGGAAGCGTGTGGCTGAGACTTTGATGTTTGATTATCATAGGCAGCATGGAATAGGTAATTTCTTTGTTATCCTCTCATTCTTTGTAGGTATAGCTGATAGAACTTTTTTTTTGCAATTTAACTGAGTTGTTTATATTCTTTCAACATAGAAATACGCGTTGCAAGAATCTTTAACACATACGGGCCACGCATGAATATTGATGATGGACGTGTTGTAAGCAACTTCATTGCTCAAGCACTACGGTAATTAAAATTTCTATGATTTATAAGTTCATATGCTACACTGTTATCTCCGAATGCCGTGTTATGATCTATCATGCATGATGCCAGCAATGAAACATGATTTTTGCTTGCATCAATTATTGATTTAATTATTTTAACACCTTGAATTTGTTGATCTACTGCAACTTCTTTTTCTTTCTGTCTTCTGTCCATTTCTAAATTATTTATTTATTAGTTTATCCTTTATTTCTTTGGTGTTTTAGTGGTGAACCATTGACAGTCCAATCTCCAGGAACACAAACTCGCAGTTTCTGCTATGTCTCTGATCTGGTATTTATTTTATTTGCATCTTTTGCTTGATTGAGTTACTATTGCTATTTGGTAAGCTGATCATGTTCAATTGTGATAGGTTGATGGGCTTATCCGTCTCATGGAGGGATCAGACACTGGGCCAATCAACCTTGGAAACCCAGGTTAGATTTCTATTGCAAGGCCTGTTTTAGAGTATCTTAAATTTTTATCGAATTGTGAAAATATCTTTAATTTCTTCGCCCTTGTTTAATTTCATAAGTCTCCTTTTTCAGGGGAATTTACAATGGTTGAACTGGCTGAAACTGTGAAGGAGGTAAGTTCTAAGCTTTTATTCTTTTCATTAACATCCACCTCTATTACACATTCATAATTACATGCATAATACAAAATGAATGCATGGCATCAATATTAATGGAATGAATAGTTTTTATAAATGCTTTTGTGGCTGTTGCAGCTTATAAATACGGATGTGAAGATAAATATAGTGGACAACACTCCTGATGATCCGCGACAGAGGAAACCAGACATAACGAAAGCAAAGGAATTGCTTAACTGGGAACCAAAGGTCAAGCTGCGAGATGGCCTTCCTCTTATGGAAGAGGATTTCCGGTTGAGGCTTGGAGTTGACAAAAAAAATTAACTTATTTTCGCTCCTTTTGTGTCATTTCAAAATAGATAATAAATGGATCAGTTTTTATGTTTTTTCTCCTTTTCATTATTATGATACTCAGGAAGTTGGGGTGCCGGAAATTCGGCTTCCACAAATGTCAAAGAACATACTTTTGCTTGACAAAATACATCTTTTCCATCCAAATTTTAATTAACTAAATTGCACAAATTTATACACAGAATAAGTTAAGATCTGTTGATATTAAATTTAAATATTTACATTTTTAATAACTTTTTTAAAACACAGGTAATTTTAATCATTGAGTTGAATATTTTAATCAAATAAATTAAATTTATAAAATTTTATTAAAAAACTAATATTAATAAATATTTTATCACATTATTTTATTTTAATTGATATTATATTTTTAAATATAAATAAATATTAAAATTTAAATAACATACTTGTATATCCAAATTATATAAAATTTTAATAGGTATGATGACTAACATAATGTAACATAATTTCAATTGTTTAAATAATCAGTTTTGTATCGTATAACAAGTTATTAAAATATTTAAATTTAATTATTATATTATCTTATATTATTTTCATGTTTATATATATATATATATATATATATTAATAAAAGTATTTATTAATATTATTTTTACATAATTTTATTTAATAAAATTCAAATTAATAGTTAGAGTAATAAATTTTACATTTTATAAAAAAATGCTATTAAACAAAATAAGTGTTGTGTATTATTAACATATATTATTTGTGAGGAGTGACTGTCGACCAGAAAGATATAAGATTATTTATAATGTTCGCGTTTTACCTTTAGTATTTTATTAATGGACCCCGGTGGAGAAAGAGTGGGACGAGACCTGTTGAATTGGATTTCAATGTCTTATTAATTTTTTAAAGTTTTATTAGTCCATCAGATCTAATGAAACCATGCCCTGGTTTGAAATGTAAATTAGTAAATAAAATTTTAAACTAGATTTCAATAATTATTTATTTAAGTAATAATTAAATACGTTATTTTAAATTTTAATTATTTTAATAAAATTTATTATTATTATTATTATTTATCTTATCTATTAAGCATAGTTCAATATTTAATTTATTTTTTAATATTTTATTTTATATCATTAAATGCGGGTTAAAAAGACTCATAAATCCGGAACCAGAAAGTCGGTTAGCTTTATTTTGGCAGTGCGTAGTGGTAGAAGTCGCATTCACAAGACAGTATTTTGGAGAATGAATAATAAAATTCGACGCCACCTCACATTATTTCATTATCCAAAACATATAACTACGCCACGGCACCGCATCCAGTTTCAAGTCCAATAAAACGCAAACACAGAGGTTGATACGAGCGCGTGCGTGTTACTCTATCTCAAGGCCACGCTTCATTGCAACATCAACTCAACCCTCAACCACCCCCTTTTTCTCCCCATTTCTACGCTCTTCGATTTCAAAATAACGAAACAAAAACGGCAGAGGGAAACGCAAGCGGTTGCGTTCGGTTAAAACACCAAACTCTACAGCCACCTTTATCCGTTAAACTTAAATCGTGTTTTCATTTCCATTCGCATCCAGAAGATTCTGGAATCATGTTGAAACCTCTTCCGGATCGGGATTAGAGCTCTAGGGTTTTCTTTTCTCGCTTCCTATTCTGATTCGGATTCCGATCGGAAATGTCCGAAGCTAATTCACCGCCCCGAACCTGCGCTTATCTCGACGCGCTCTCTCAAGCCATCCATAAGAAGCTCCAGCGTGTTCGTTTTCCTCATCCTTTCTCTGTTTCGATGCCGAGAAAACGTAGCCAAGTTGAATTAGCGTTCTGTTGTTTTGTATGTGGTGCAGGCGCTGGCTAATTCCTCGCAGAGGCGCAATCTGTTGCAGGAGCTGTTTGCAGATATAGCTTTGGAAGTGGATGACCGAGCCAAAGGTGAGTTACAACCGCTGTCTTCTTGACGATGAAAAATATCTTAACGTAGATTTAATGCAGAAGTTGTAACTAACAGCGTTGGAGTAAATTTGGATGTAAATCTCAACATGCTATTCTTTCAATTTGTGATTGGTTATAGAGTACGAAATTTCAGATGGCAACTCGTTCTTCATGCATGTTATTGGAGTTAAATTGTGTATGGTCCACCTTGTTTACATGCACGCGGTTTATGTATATTTATCTTGCTTGAAATGAAAATTTTCATCGAAGTTAACTGCCATCTATATGGCTAATAAAAAGAGAAATTGTATTTATACAAAATTTTGTACAAAAATTATATAACGAAAGAGAGAGATTGAAAGATACGAAGATAAAAGAGAAAGTGAGAGATAAAATGGTTAATGTGATAGAGAAAAAAAAATAGTGGTGTGTGAATTTGTTGTATAAATAACATATTCCTAGGAAAGCAAGAATATGTCTTGCTAACATAATTATGGTGCTCTCTGAATGCTAGATCACATATGATTAGGAATTTTTTAATAAATGAACAGGGTACAGAACGATGGTATTCGCAACTAATAAGTATATATTTGAATCTAAATAACGCGTCAAACGAGAATGTATGCATTATCTTTTCTTTCTTTTTTTTCCACGAGAATTGCAAAGAGCTTGTTTCCTGATTTTCACAATAACAGAGGTAATTGTCAACAAGGAAGAAGATGCTATTTCTCCCGCAGAGGATATCAATGATGGTCCGTTATGCTTCTATGATGTGCTTGCTGATTATTTTGTTCAAGTGTCTGATAGTGGAAAACCTATCCTTGAATTGATTGTTCAACTTTGGAGCCAATCATTTGCTTCACATATCTTTGCCCTCCTGTTTCACAAATGGGTATGTGTGCCTGTGTCTACATTTGTTTGTTGTTTGCCCAATGACTTATTTCCTATGCGTGATTGTATATCTTTTATCACTGATTTTGAATTTCAACATTCACATTGAAGTGCATAGATAACATTGTTTCTGTCATTATCTCCATCGCCTTAATAGTTAGTGCAAATAAGCATACAATTTAACTGTTGTTATTATGGTTAACACGATCATACAAAGTAGAGGTGTTGTTCATATGTGAAGCATGGAGACTGCTCCTTCATGAAGTTTCAGACGCGCTTCCACCACTTTGGACATTGCTCACTAGGTTTCCATTTAAGAAAATATTTTTATCAGCTCAGACACGCAACATGGCTTGACACAACCATCTTACGAATGAATTTCAAAAAATTATTTTCCAAAATATCTTTCTGAAAAGTCAGTTTAAGATGTAAAAAATAATCTTAAAAATAGATAAAACATAAAAATGTTAATAAATGTCTCCAGCACAATTCGTTTGGGATTATTTTTTTTTCTATTCACCCCTTCTCTTCATTGTTCAACCCAATCCTTGTTCCAGAACCCATAATGCTTTCTCTTTTGATAGTCCACAGTTCCTTACATTGCATTGCACAAAGTCTTCCATTTGAAGACCACCTCTTCACTGGTTTCTAAAGCTGCTGCTTTCCCTCATATTAGTTTCAAATTTCTTTGCCTAATGAGCAGTTGACAAAATCTATTTTCCAAATCCTTAAAGGATTTTGGACTTTGGAGCAGGTTTCAGATTTAATCTCTTGAAACTCAATACATATTATTTTGAAATATATGGCATTAATATATATACAAGACAAAGTGATATAATTTGGAACTTTTTTTCTCTTAAAGAAAAAAGTTCATATATACATATATCGTATGTGAAAGAGAGAGATTGCAGAGGGTTTCCTCTGATATAAGGAGTCAATCTATATATTTCCTAAGCAAATTCAAGTTCCGATAAATTTCTAAGGAGTTTGATGAGTCAATGCGCTTGCATCGTGCATGGTTCCTAATCATGGTATATATTTCTTCAATATAACATTTTCCCTGTAACTTCCTGTTGTACTACCCAATAACTTCGTTCCTTTTTACAGTTATTTGAAGTTCATCTTGATAATCCAGAAGTGCTCCTCCGGTATTCATCTGCTCTGGTTCAAGGTGCCACAAACGTTTTCTGGTATGAATACAGCCTGTTAAAAAAGAAATGTTTACTTAATTTGTCATAAATTGCAAAAGCCGAGCTTGGATTGGTGTTTAAAGATTAAAGTTGTATTGACTTTCATTACCATACTCGGACAAAATATATGTTCTTCCTTTCATGTTATATTTCTCTTCTGAATGGGAACGAAAAAATCCGTGGGTACACTTCTTTTTTTTTATTTTTAAAAATTATTTTATATTTTGCTTTACCTGTTTTTGTCCATATGCTTTGCTATGCCAGTTCAATGACAATCCATTCTAGCCTATCCCCTCTATTAAAAAGAAAACATAAAGTAATGACAAATGTTATAATAGTGTCTCCATGGGCTAGAACCTACATTGTATCATACTTATACATTCAATCTGGAATGATATTGCAATAATATTTTTTTGGGGCCATGTACAGGATTGATATTCAAACAAATACAAGACGATTCCAGTCTTTATTCCGTGTAAGTCCCAGAAGGAATCTAATGTTTATTTGCACTGATATGGATCATTTGACTAATGTTTTGAAATTTGATTGTTGCTTCCGTTTCTCAATTCTTCTGCATATTCCTCGTGTGTTCCTCAAGTTCAGTACCTTTTGGAAGATGTTGCATTAGACCACACTCGATTGAATAAAATTCCTGTCCAGGTCAGATTAAAATAGTTGTTTTTATATTAGACGAATGGTGCCAACTATTGTTTATTGGATCCTTGAATTAGTATATTATTGTTACCAGCAATGGCATTCTGAAATCCTCTACTTTTTACTGAATTATCAGGCTCAGAGGGATACATATCTTTTGCTCTCAAGGTTTATTCTATTTTATAATAAAGGTAGACATTTGGGGAAGTAGAATAGGCTGTGCATGACAATGTATTAGCCTTCTAAAATATAATAATATTTTTTCTTTGCAGCTGACAAAATAGATAGCTTCTTGAAACAATGTCCTGTTTTTCCAACTGCTTTCTTAATTGGCGGTCCAGCAGATATATTTGTTACTGAACTCACTGATCAGGTTCATCTGAATTACCTTTTCATAATTAAGAACCTTATGCTCTGTTTCATAAGAAGATATGAAAATGGTTATCCTCAATGTGTGGTGTTGATTTTTTTTTTGTTGTGGACTTATCAGCTTCAAAAGCTAAAAGTGGAACCAGTGCTGCTTCATTACCTTTCAGAAATTAAGATCCTTCAGGGTATTATATCTCTTCCATTCAGGTGTTGTAGTTGGACTCGGACTATTCTTATCTCAACCTGACCTAGTTATGCCATTCTTTTGTTTATGCTAACGGCACAGGTATGGAATTGAGGATGACTACAAGTACGAGACTAAAAACCTGTTTATATAGCTTTACCTCTCCTGGTGGTCCAATGTATCCTACTAGAGCTGTTCGTCATGCTGCTTGGGAAGCATTAGATTTGCTTTTCCCGGTTAGTATTTATTTTTTATTAATTCGTATTCAAGCCAAATTAATATAAATTGAAAGAGCTTAGTTCTTTCGACCCCTAAATATTATGCATGGCCAATTAATTTTAGTTGCATAGTTGTCAGAATGAAAATTTTCACGGTATGGATAAACTAGAAAGTGCCCCGGTTTTAAGTAAACTATATTTGACTTTAATTAAAATTTTCACGATCGAGAAAAATACAGTTCTTACGAAAGGACTTCGTGGAATCGGCATGCAAATGGTGTATTTTAACCTTTTAGTTATTCAACTAATTCCTAAAGGGCAAGTTGTATATGTATATGTCACAAATTGGTATTTTATTTCGAGACATGTAGCCCTACTGATAGACGACAACACCCTAATTCTTGAGAGCGAGCTACACATATCTTAAGTTATTTGTACTCTATATATTGATGTTACTGTTATACCATGTTACAGGTGGGACGTTACCCGCGGCATCTTATTAGTTTGTTCTTCAGGTTGCTTTATCCATGGTATTGGCCTTCCTCCTGTTGGAATTTTGTGATATCTTGCGTTCAGGCTGTCTTTTACTCCTTGCTGAGGTTTATACTTTCTACATGGGATAAGATTACAAAGCCAAAATCACAGTAGATTACCCTGTGAAATGCCTAGCGCCTTGGCCCTCTGATTTCTTTTTTGTCACCAGAGGAAATTTGTATACAAACAAGCTTGTTAATGTGATGTATATTTTGCTGACTATGGCAACAGGAAGTTTAGAATTCGAAGTAATATAACGTTAGGGATAAGGACACCGAAAGCAGGAAACTGCAATTGACTTTTCCAATATCGACAATGTCCAGATAGCACACCATACAACAACGCATTATCGAGCTGAGAAAGATAAACCCACACTTATTTTAATCTTATAATAATTTTTTTCTTCATCGCATTATTTATTATTTCGGACCTTCTTTTTTATCTTTTAACGGTCGAAAAAGTTTTAAAAAATGCTAATAAGAATAAAGTTTCTTGTAAGAATTAGCAGCACTGAGGTGCAGAAGCATTGCTTTTATTCATATTCATTTACCCCAGCATATCAGAAACAACCCTTTGCAAGTTTCGGCTATGGCATGAGGGGGAGCATCACGATAAATCCACTTGGCAGAGACACAGGTCAGCTGTTGAACGAGTTAGCAATCCAGTCGATCATAATGCGTTAAAAAGATACCACGTAGTGGATTATTCCTCAAGCGTTCAAATGACATACATATTCTTCGCCTATCAGACTGCCCACTTTGATTATTTAAAAAACCTCATTAAAGGGTAAACGTTACACTATGTTTAGAGGAAGTTTAACATTCACCCTTTCCCTTTCCCACAGCTTGGAAGTGCACAAGTATAATGTTCATGTCCCCCAACGTCTGTCTGTTTACTTCAACAGCTACCCACTCTAGAAAGCATAAGCAAACAAGCACTTCTATCAACTGCTCCCTAGACTACGTTCATCTCACTTTCAGCCAGTAAACAATAGCCTGATCAAACGGAACCAGCACGTGACTTCTACCCCCCACGACAGTTGAGTTATTCAGTGGGTGTCGAAATCGCAACACGGACAACAGAACCTGAATGAACATGAGTGAATGTAAAATAAATACTAAGGATTGTTAACTTCATCCGTAGAAGTGTATCTCAACCGGTGCACTTGATGTAGTCAAATAGAACAGATGATATATTCCATCTCACAATATATGCCAAAGTTACCAGAGTCAGAAAAGATGTTCTCCCAAACATCTTAAGATAACAAACCTTGTTAACTAAAACAAGTATAGCAAAGCACAAGGTCATATAATAACATGAGATCACGTGACTTTTTTTTTTTTTTTTTGGTGGGGTGGTAGGGAGGAAAGAAAAGGCTGGGAGTCTACCTTAATTGAGGATTCCACTGTAATGGTATTGGTTTAATCAAAACAAGAAAACAGCTGTGGGCGAAATCTGCAGCCTCCCACATTTTGCAGCCAAACATTTCTTTGAGCATTGACAGACGAGATCATGGTTCCCACCTTCATAATCCACTTGTTGGTAAAACAAATTAAAGCCAATGAAAGCAACCTTGAGTGCATATTACATGCTAGAAGTAATCCATCCCCTTTTCCTAAAAAGTAGGGCCGCGACAAAGATACATAAACACGTATTCCATCACCAAGCCCCCAACAACCATATAGATGTAATAGCTTGAAAATAGAACAATGATAATTCCTTCAGTTCAATTCCATTGCCTCTGCATGATACTTCTCCAAATCAGCATCAAGATCATCTGCAGATAACTTTTCACCACGACCTCTTCCACGTCCTCGTTCCCTTCGAATGCCTTGCCCTCTTCCTCCTGGCCTTCTGAATGCCCCACCTCTTCCTTGTCCACTGAGCCAGACCAAGAACGCATAGTGTCATTTTTAATGTGAATATAAACAACCAACTTAACAGTTAAAACCAAAATTATTTCTTGATTCCCATCTCAACATAGGTCAAAAATATTCAAATTAAAAAGTTAAACACAAGATCCATACATGAAAATAGAAAACATAGATCTTGCACAGGAAACAAAGAAACAAATCCTCGCATCCAAATGCAGTAATTCATTCGTTCAGGGTCAGGGTCACTATTACAAACACAAAATGACAGGAAAGGACATTTATTTCAACAAGCTTGTGGCAGGGCATCATACACTGTTAAGATAGTTCCAAATTCCAATATGTCAAAGATCAACAAGTAATTGACTCGATTCAAAATATCTAAAAGCTCTCGAGCCATTGTGAAGATTGAAAATTGCAAGTAACAAGGAACAGTCATTGACTAATTGCAAACATCATAAAGCATGACTCAATCAAGTTTTGTATCAAGATTAAAAGTTTAAAACAATTCAAATTACAGTAATATATAGAACCCAGAAATCTCCAGTCAAAAATCCAAAAACTTGCCAAGCTAAGAACATATAATGCAAGGTATGAACCATCCAAAAGAACACATTAAATATAAAGCACTAAGTCATTAAGCAAGGGTATACCTTCGAGGAAACCCATTTGAATTTCCAACAGCTCCATTTGCAGGAGGAGCCACACCAGGTGTAGAAATGTTTGTTCCCACGATCGCTATCTTCATTGGTTTCCCATCTAATTGAACATTGTTATATCTCGTTACAGCAGCTATAGCATCAGCTTGTCGAGAAAAGACTACTTCTGCCGAACCCTATGAAAAAGAGTTTTTCTAAACTACAGCAGGACAGAACGAATTTATCAGAAGGACCAGATTATGCCAACAGGATAAGATACCTTCGATCTACCACTTCTGTCATAATGAACCCCATGCCGCTTCAGGTCCCCAACTTCATAAAACAATTCCTGCATTGTACAAAAATTGAATTCCAATCATTGACTGAAAAACTCTTATTTTGGAAGAACATGTGGTTGCAATTAATATTTGCGTCCTTTCTCAATAAAATAGTAAACTAGGCATATTGGATTTCTGGGTATAACAAAGTCAGACCAGTCCGTCAAAAGAACCAAAAGGCACACCCAAGACACTATTTTCAGTATCTAAGGTTAATGACTTTCTTAAGTAAGGCATGTTCTTAGGCGCTAAACACCTCAAGGCATTCAAACCCCCTAATGTGCTACGAGTACTTTTTGCTATTTAGTATTGACTACCTTGAAGCAGACACCAAAACATTATCTTCATTACATAGTCATTTACTCATTTCAACTGCAGAATTAGATGTGGGTTTCTAACTGTACCATGGTTTTCAAAAAAATAAAGATAACAGCTATAACAAATAACATAAATTGATTTAAAATTAAGATTACTTCATATTGTCTATAACTTTACATAGATGTATGTAGCCATGACAATAAGAGGACATTTGGAACTGCTTTTATGGAGCTTGTTTAGGTTTACAAAAATAATTGACTCCGATAAGCTCCTTGTAACTAATTTTGATAAGCTTAACAAAATGAGTTACTTTTAAGATTATTTTAATAAAGTTTGTGGTCAAATTTATAGCATGATGTCCCTTATGATAATTTCTCATTAAATAAACACTTAAGTTGTTTAACTAGACACACGCTAAGTAGACAAGTATTGACATCTTATTTTTCAAAGGTTAACAAATAAAGCCAATTTAAAATCAAATTTGAGGAGCTTCATCTACAATCTGCTGGGTCAGCGAGTGGCCAGGCAGAGGAAAAGCATTAAGAAGCACCAAGTGGAACCAGTTTGAAATCAATACAACAACTACGTAAAAGAACAACGGTAATTGCACAAACATGCGCTTACACACACATAACTGTAACCCGTACGCATCCCTCATATAATTAGTACAAATGCCTTCTTCCTATATGAAAGAACCTCAAGCTATGCAAAAAACAGTAAGAATTCAGAACCAACAATCATAAAAATAAAAAATAAAAATAAAAAAAAGCTCCCAATTATCTCTCTACTAACTGTCAAGGCTCATACTAAAATTCATTGATGAAAGTTCAATGCTATGCCAGATAACAAGAAGCGCAAGGACTGAGCTATGTACAAGAGAGAGAGAGAGAGAGAGAGTACCTTAATATCATCGTTGGAAACACCATAATCCAAATTTGAAATGTAGAGCTTGGTTCCAGTTTCTATGGAAGAGGCACGACCCCCTTGAGCAGGGTACCCCGCCACAGCCGCATGTTGACCTGCATAAAAATCGTGCTGCCACGCCGTCTCCGGCGCCTGAAACCGACGACCAATCAAATCCAACGAAAAAGTAGGGTTCGAAATCGAAAACCGTATCTCATCGAAATTTCAATTTAAAAAAAAAAAGAAAAAAAGTGGATAGAAGGTGGGTACCTTGGCAGTGGAATAGGGTGCGGCGCGGTTGGCGGCACGGTTGTTGAAACGACGAGAAGGTCCGGATCCGGAGGGTCGGGCGCGGCCGCGGAAATGTGCGGGCGCGGATTTTTTGTTGTTTTTGATGATATCGTCGAGCGTCATATCCAGAGCTGCTGACATCTTTGCTTCTTCAGATTTTTTACAAACCAAACGCTGAGAATGATAGGCCGTAGGGTTTCGTCGAGGGTTGGGGTTGGGACTTGTCACTCAGAGAGGGAGAAAAGTGACGTCCAGTTTGCTCTCAATATTTTTATTTACTCCCTCTTCTACTACATTACAAATTTAATCATTTATATTATCCAAAATTTTACAATTCATTTTTTAATATCACTTTAAAATATTACTAATTTAATTTTATACATATTGTAAGTTAATTTTTATGATACTTTATAAATTAAAAAAATATTTTTTCTTTTTTAATATGTAAAATAATCATTATTATTAATTTTATATTAATCAATAGTAAATTTAGTAATTTATTTAAATAAATAAATATTTTTTAATTTTTAAAATACTAAAAAAACTACAGATATCAATTTAAAAAAATATAAAATATCTTTTAAATTTTAAGGGTATTATAGTAAACACATTAATGTAAAATATTTATATTATTAATTAATTAAAATATATAATAAATAAAATTTGAATTAAATAAATAAATATAATAATTCATAATTAAATTTTCGCAATATATTTAAATTAAATTATAAAATATAGACTTCTTATATTTTATTTATATAAATATTAAATTTAAAAAAATAACTAAAAATTAATCATAATATATTTTATTACAAAAAACATTTATTACTCCTTATAACTTTAATATAATATTTTTTCAATAAAAATTTAGACAATTTAAGTTTTTTTTTTCAGATGCTTTTAGACTAACTTTATTGTCCACCAATTAAATGTTATAATAAATTATTAAAATAAAACTTTACATTTAATTAACAAATCAGGACAATAATAATTTAAAAAAATACACTCAATTTTAACTTAATTTTTAAAAATTAATTATAAAAATCGAAATTAACATAAACTATTTATTTCAGCTTTTTACAGAAAAAGAAAGTCTCTTTTACTCACAATTTACCCAATTAATATAAATATTTAAAAACAAACCAAAAATACATTTATCAAAGAATGATAATTAATATTAAATATTATTTGAAAAGTACTATAATTAAAATAAATAATACAATTTTTTTCACCATGGATAGATAAACAAATGAATAAAATTACAGCTAAGAAAATATGCGTTTCAATTCTTTGGCCCGAACCAAACCTGGAATAGAAAATCATGTTAACATTAATTATGTTTTCCTACGATCAACACAACACAAGGGATCATTAAAATAATAATTTATTACATCAAGAATATTAAAAATTAAATTTAAACAGTAATAATCTCACAATTACATTAATTTATTGATTATATTTTCTACATTAAATCCCAGTTACCAATTTTTTCAGTATATTACTAAACACATGCCTCATCAAGCAAAGTGAATAATTCCAATTAAGAGCGGTTAATCCATGCATCCACAGCCAATAATAAAACTACCTTAACAACAAGGCATAGAGTTACAGAACTAAATTTACTGAATCCATAGACAAAAGGTTCATCAAACCAGATTTCTTCACTTACAATTTCTTTTGAATAGGAAAAAAAAAAATCAACTACTAGTTCAAATCTAAACATATCCCTGACAGGATACCTAAACAAAGTTGGGGAGCCAACAAAGCCAACACGTTCCCAACAAAATCACAAGGTTGTTAGTTCAAGAACTAGTGAACTTGGTAACGGCTTTGGTACCCTCTGAGACAGCATGCTTAGCCAATTCTCCGGGCAGCACAAGCCTGACCGCGGTCTGAATTTCCCTCGAAGTGATGGTGGGTTTCTTGTTGTAACGAGCCAGTCTAGAAGCCTCCTGGGCAAGCTTCTCGAATATGTCGTTTATGAAGCTGTTCATTATACCCATGGCCTTGCTGGAGATTCCAATGTCAGGGTGAACCTGCTTGAGAACCTTGAAGATGTAGATCTTGTATGTCTCTATGCTCTTCTTGCTCCTCTTCTTCTTCTTGTCGCCAGCGGCACCTCCTTCCTTTGGTAGCTTCTTCCCGGCCTTTGGCTTCTTCTCCGCAGGCGGCGCCTTCTCCGCCACCGTTGACTTTTTCTCCTCGGCGGGTTTCTTCTCCGCAGGCTTCTTCTCTGCCTTGGGTGCCATCACTGATTGAGAATTTGAGATTACGAAGGGAATAAGGGTTTCGAATTGGAATACAAGTTGAAACGAATGGGAACTGTGAGAGGTATTGGTGGTTGAAGTGAATAATATATAAAAGAGTTTTCTTGATATTATTGGCTTATGAGGTTTCGCGCGGATCGATGACGTGGCACTGCTTTTATCTGTCAAATTACGTTACTTGAAAAGCACGAGAATGAACGGTCGCGATCTTTCTTTGAATATACTGGGACGTGGATCGATGAGTTGGCGATTACGTTGACCGTTGCTAAGATATAGGACCGCGTAGATGGACGGTTGAGATGCTTTTTATCTTTTCCCTCAAATTGGAATCTTTTCCAATGGAATTTAATTGTTTTATACTTTTTTATGTTTAAATTGCTTTTCACTTTAGTTTTGATTGCGCCCGTATTTTTATTTTTCATTGCGAGCCGATATTCACAACTCTGCTTGATCTTGCGCGCTCTTTTTTTCTTTTTTAATCACCAGAATCCGAAATTGAATATAACCATTATCAATGGTGGATTTAAAACAAGTTGATTTTTTCCTAATTTTATAAAAATATTTATAATCGAAAGCTAAATTACGATTTTTTCAATGAGTGTACAAATTTATATATAATGCATGTTTATTAAAAATAATAAAATATCGTATAATCTAAAAAATGTATAATATTAAAAACTATAATTTTAATAATTATATTTTTTTTCTTAACATGTATTATTTACCAAATGTTAAAAAATTATTTTAATTACAGTAAAAAAAGTTTGATAATCTGAGTAAATTATATAGTGAGATCTTAAAAAAAAAAAAAAATTATATCAGGTTATGACTTATGAAATTTGCCGCCTGGACAATGTCAAAGTAATGAAAGTGTGAGCCATGTTCTCTTGTCTTACTGGACAAAACATAAATGTTTTACTTATTTTTATTAAAAATAAATATATTATAAAATATATTATCCTTTAAAAAAAAAAGAAAACTAGCATTAATACTCGCAAAATTTATGCACTTTTTCATATTATCGTTTATCCTACGAGGCTACACCAATTTGTTTCTTATCATGAGGGATTTTTATACAAGCCTTTAATTCATAAGAATAGTTTGTGATTCTTTATTTACAAAAAAAAAAATTACAAAAACAAGTATTAAAATAATTGTTTACCTCTTATTGATTCTGATACTTTAAAAAGTAAATGCGATTTTAGTTTCTTCAATTTTAATTGTTTATGTTTAATTAGTTTAATTTTTAAAATGTTTAAATCAAGTTTTTTATCTTATATTTAAGATTTCTATCATATTTTGTATATTTTATTTTATACGTTTATTTAAATATCTTGTATTTTTTAATATTTATTTGTATATAAAATGTCATACTTATATTATATCTTTATTAATTATTAGATCAAATCATAGGGTGAAAGTCTCAATTTAAATATTTGCAAAACTAAAGAGATTGAATGTAAATAATTAAAATTGAGAGAATCAACATACAATTAAATATAAGAATTGCATCCTTAAACAAATATTTATTTGCCTTTATAGTTTTACTAGTTGTTCCTAAATCTTGTTGGTTTACGTGTTTTAAATTTCCATGCATTCTTTAAGCGAAACGATCAAGGTTTATAAGATAATTTAGTATGCTTGACGCATGTAATATTTTGAACATCATGAGATCCTCTATTAATGCTTGTGGTGATCTCTTAAGACTGTGATATCACCGTAGCATTATTAAGTTTGTTTACGGTCCAAGGTAATGCCCGTTGTTAAATGTAATTTAAGCAAATATATCAATTATTTTTATAATATGGATAAGAAAATATTTACTATAATTGTAGTTTAATTATTATATTTTTTTTATTACTTAGCTAATAATTTGAATAAAATATTCAAGTTTTTAAAAATAAATACAAAATATATAATAAATTCGATCTAAATTTTAAATGACATAACAATTTTATTATTATTATTACAATAATAAAACGTAATACTTATGATAAAAAAAATTAATATATCAAATATGCGAGGAGATAAATTTATTAAATATTTATCTACGTAACATGATTTGTATTATAATTTTAATTTTAATAATATAATTAAAGATCAAATTATAATATATAATTTATTACAAGGTAAATGTTTTCATTCAACAACTTTTCGTTCAAATTAGAAACTTTAATTTTTTAAAAAAAATTTAATTAGAACAAACATTAATATTTAAAATTTATAAAAACTCATAATTATTAATTTCTATTTCTAAAATCCTCTAATCATATCATTTTATTTTATTTTGTTTATTATCATAATTTTCTAAGTGTACAAAAAAATTATAATGTATTATGAATAAATAATTAACTGAAACATTAAAAACAAAGATAAATAATTAATTCAAAATAAATACTTAAATTAAAAATACAAATTCACATTACATATAACGTAGGTTTAGATCCTTTTTCCATAACTGAAAACATATAAAAATATCACATAAAAAATGCATAGTAAATAAATAAAAAATGATGAATTAATCACTTGATTTCCTAAAAATATAAATTCTTTAAATTAACGTTTGTAAAAAAAATCTGAAGATAAAATTGTTAATTATCAAAAATTTATTAAATTAAAAAATTTTACTCTATTTATTATTTTTCACATATATTTTAGGATTAGTAATATTTATTTGACTGTTATCTCGCTATGCAGGTTATATCAAATTAACTTTTTAAGGTTGATAATGTAGTTATGTGTGCTAATAATATTAAATATATATTTTTCTTAAAATTTACATTCCAAATATTTCTAAATTTAATTAATAGTTAAAAAAGAGTAAAACTAAGAGAACAAAATAAAAAGATTAATATAATTTACTTTGTAAATCTAACTTAATCTAGATCACAATAAATAATTTAGAAATATTAAATTTACACAATAAATACTTTTATTATAATATAAAATTATTAATTATCTTCCTCGTTTAAGTTGTAATGCTTGATACTTATCACCTATAAGGATTTGTTTTGAAATATAGTTTTATAATTACACACATGCCTTGCTTCAATGCTCAACTTGGTTCTTTTACTGTTCCTTGCTCGAATTATGTATGTACTGGATAGGGAATTGTTCAGTCTTACAAATAGAAAAAAGAAATCGAGTACCTATTTGGTCCAGTTTGCCCGAATATCTTGTTATCAGGATTAAAATGTAATTAATTCAGTTAAAGGTAATAATCAGAGCATTATCTACTTCAAGTAAAAAGTCAAAATCAAAGCTGACTTATCAGGCTCATTAGCCCATAATAAAGCCTACAAAAGGAAGGTAGGAAGTACAGGTAAAGTGTTGCCTTTCATTATAAAATAGCATTTATTTCTTAGAACCAAATCCTGACTTCAGCATCGGAATGCCTTTTGCAGGTATCCTCCTACGTCAGCAACGATCATAGAGACGTCATCACTACAGATCAGAGACTTGAAGATTAGTATTTCTCTAGCAGGAACAATGTATATTTTGTTGAATTTTTGAAAAACTAGCCTTTGCACTCTTTCTTTCAGCGAGGACAATTTGTGAGTCCTAACATGTGTGATATTTTATTAGATGCAATTTTATGATTGATTAATTAGCAATAAACAAACAATTTTTTTTGCTCAAGCCTCTAAAGTGTGGACATTCACAAGTATTTACTGTTATTTTTATTTGAGATTGTCTAAATTTATTTTTTCTCATAACTATATGTGTTAATAATAAGAATGTTTAAACAAAAATAAATTAAATAAGAGTGACAATACACACTCATTACTTATAACTTCAAAAGACTGTTCAACTCCATTTAAAGCAAAGCATAATCTTACCTGTCGTTTTCTACCCTTAATTATAAGTCAAATTCAAAGCGAATCAATTTTTTTACATAACTGTATAATTGAGATTCATACATTTTACTATTAAAAAATACTAAATTGTATTACTTAATTTATAAACATGTAGACGAATTCTCCAACTTCTGAGTTATTTCTTTATGTTTCGTAAAAGTAAACGACAATTCCAATTTAAGACAAAAATTCCCCATAATATCAGCTAAAACAATGGAACTCAGGTGAGAGGGATTCAGTTCCAATAGCTTTAATCTACACATTATTCATGACTACTCCTTTTCTTAGTAATCTACACATTGCAAGTAGGCAATACTGTATAGTCATGCTCCGACTTCTGTTAGGACCAGAGTAACTTGAAGTTCCCACCGATGTGGGACTTCATTCCTAACAACTTCTCCTCCAATTGTCAACAGTAATTGCACAGCGATGGCGTATTCTCACACCCATTAATAGCAAGAACATGGTTACTGCGGCATTATATTTCACATGATAAATATTAGTAAAATACCTTTTTATATATTTTTAATTATTAGTTAAATTTTATTAAAAACTGAAAAATATTAAAAATTAATTCAAGACTAAAAAAATCTGTAACTCACGTAATTTTTATAATTTTTAATTATCATTCCTCGTTTCACAGCCATCTTTCCTAATCAACAGAGGGCCAGTGAGGATAGTCAAGACTTTTGCCTTGCGAATGGGTGAAGAGCCAACGTATTAAAAAATGTTCATGTACCACTCCCTGCTCAAATTACGGATAACTCCTTTAGATCTAACATCTATACTTTTTCCCAGACTACCATCATTATTGATGTTATAGTAATCCTGACAAAGTGGACAGAGTTTAACTCAGATCGCTTGCGTGATTTGATGTTTACAGTGAAATTCTACAATTTGGTAAACAAATAAGTTCAAATGACCATTAAGAATTGAATTTTAGACCATTTTTTAACTTCTTTTCAGTGTATTTTTGAACATATTAATATCATACCAAAAGCTTTAAATTAGAACAGAAAGGGTATAAGAATTGTAATATAAAGTAATATATTACAAAACATACTGAAATTGAAATAAATTGTAAAAATGTAACATACAATTTTAATAACGATCAACATAAGTCTGTTAATTTCCAAGTCATTGAAACTAACTAACATGTAAAACTTTAATTTACAAAGATTTTTGGTAATGTACCACTATAAAAATCCTTTTAAACACAAAACAAAATCATATTTATATACAATTGTTTTCTAACCGTGTCTTGAGCTTTTTAACTGGTAACCATCGCTGATAGCCGTTAGTAATTACTAAAAATCATCCCAAGACTTTTGACGTCTTTTAATATGTTTTCTCTTCTTGTGGTTCTTCCCTTTGCTGCTTGGACTTGTAATTGAAATCCTTCTATTAAAATAATCTTCTTCTTCTTTTTTGACAATTTTTTGATAGATATTGAACTTAAAAAAAATTAGTTTATTCATCCACCATGAAGTATGGTCACTATTTAAATATGATTACTAGTTAATTTTCTAAAATTTTTTATTTTTATACGCAATGAATTATATGCTCTAAGGTGAATTTTACTATAAACTTGAAGAATTAACGATGGTCCCGGTAATTGACATAGATACAAAAAAATTATAACTCATTTTTTTATGTAAATCTTTTGACTGCATTATTCATCTTATCCTTCGCTTCTCTCTTTCTAAAATTATATAAGAAATTGTAATTTTAAGGAAAAGTATCATTACTTATTGCCTGAAACTGAACTTTTAAACATTATTTTAATAGGCCTTACTGAATATAGTACACAGGTCTAAAAATTTTAGATTTTACAGAAGCACCGTTCGGTTCTCTGAATTTTGTTTATCATTGGTGTGAGTAATTGAGTTTCTGGAAAAGTAGACTGAGCTGCGATGCGCGTAATCTTCTTCTGCAGCGAAGAACCACATCCAAAGGAGTGGTTCTATTGTTGAGGAAGACGCAAACAAGGTAACCATTTTTCAGGTTATACTCGTCATCAGTTTGAATAATCTCGTCTTCGTATGAGAGTGTATATTTTGATTCCCTTTGCTTCATTTAGATGTGGATGTTTTAGGCTGACCCATCTTTATGGTTATTGCTGTTTATCTGGGACCCCCTGTGGTTTGGATTTTAAGCTTGCACGTAATGTATTTGATCAAAGTTCTAAAAGCATCCAATACGAGGAGTTGATATTGACTTTATTTATTTGCAGCACATTGCCTCTACAACCGGAGTAAATATTCATTTCCGTCCTTATTTTTTGTTAAATTATTTTCATTTTTTTTATTTTAATTCTGTATTAAAACATACTAAAATAAATATTATTTTATAAAATTAAAAAATAAAGTAAATTTTTTGTAAAACAATTGATTAAATTGATTTATATCTATAATTTAAGGAACCAAAATAAATATTTACATAATTCTTAATCACATTTCTTTTATTTGTTTCTTTGTTCGGTTTTTAAAATCCAGACTAAACAAACAACGAGTTATTATATATAATTTTGTTTATCATGTGAAATGTTGTAGCATTAAAAAATGATTATAATAAAAATATGTAATTTAAATTAATTTTTACATTTAATTTAATTATATTTAACAATTTGAAATTAATTTTATGGACACCTAAAGTGTTAAGTCCTCTTCCAGTAATAATTGGTTTTTAACCGATATTTTAACTACAGGAATATACTTGCAGTTCCCTCGACATTGCATAGAGTTTTCACCCTTAACCTGGTTTGGTGTAGCGGGGAACGGGATGGCTTAGAGGTAGAACTGTGCGTAAAAACAGCTTGTCGTTTTTCCTGGTTAGCAATTATGCGCATAACCAACGTAATAGCGGGCAACGCTCTTCTTTTCCGGAGTTCACCCTTGGCACGATTTCTATGCCAGCGCCATCATTCGTCTACCAATTTGTTTGTCGCAGGTCTTCTCCAACTTTCATTTCTCCTACAATATTTTTTAGAAATAACAATTGCATCTTTGGAGTGTTTATTAAATACCAATTGTCGGAATCGATGTTCGTGTTTCAGTTTTAACTGTTTACTTTTTTAACGAAGGGCTTTCCTACGACACGAATGAACCTGTTTTGAGAGATGCGTTTGGACAACATGGTGAAATCATTGAAGGTAAAAATAAACTTTTTTTTTTCTTATTCTGGATTCCCAAATTGGTTAGGTTTTTGGGTTGTAAAAAATTAATGATTTTCATTTTCTAGTTAAAGTAATATGTGATCACGTGACTGGACAATCAAGAGGGTATGGATTCGTGCGGTTCGCTTCTGAAATTTCAGCCGCCACAGCTCGCAAAGAAATGGATGGCCAGGTTTTTATTTTTTGTTATTTTCTATTGCCCCTTTTTTGTTTTAGATAAATTCACCCGCATATCTACGTTGATTAAATATGTGGGTTTTTTCGGCAAAAAGTTATGCTTATATTTCATCTAACATTGTTGTACGTGAACCTTGTTCCTAATAATTTCTCAGATAGTGGATGGCAGACCCATTCGGGTGAGTTATGCGCACAAAGGGTAGCCGTCAAAACTGCCAAACAATTCACAAGACTTGAAGTCTGTATTCTGAGCTTTAGTCATTAGTCATGAAATGCAAATTTAATACATAGCGGCGTTCTAGATAATCATTTTCCCACAAATCTCATTCTGTCAAACAAATATTGTAATGATACTTTTCTTACTCAATACTCTTCTTTCTTTTTTTTCTATTTCTCTGGTGTGAGACAAGCAATAGTAAAACTAATTGAGCATTCATTTTATTTAATATCGATTGAAAATTAAGGTTCAAGAACAAAATAACTGCATCCACAACCCGTATAGCAATGGCTTGACGTTCGCGAATCTCTAATTTTATAATGCACCCAAAACGAATCTACTTTTGCAAAGTTCAAACCTTGTGAGCACGTTATTTATCCAAGCAAACTTCCCAATTCATCTTGAATCAGGCAACTCGTCAATGCTATGTTAACCAATCACAGTTCTAAAGCCTTCCAAATGACTTTCACCTAAAAAAGAAAAGCGGACACCCACATCAAAAGTAAAATGCCTCCAGAATATAAGGGCAAACGGAATGTCATAAATCCTCCATTAAAAATGAAATTATATATATATATACACACACACACACATAAACATCTATTCCTTATACGAGATTCGAAAATTAAAATAAACAACTCCAAAAATAAATTCAGAACTACAATGATTGATATAGAATCTTCAAAGTATCTTTAGTTCACATAGTACTTAAAAGTTAAACAACTAATCCATGTTCCATACCAACAATATACGGCCCTATATCATCAATTCTAACATTTCAATACACAAAAAGGATCGACCAGACCCCATTTTTTTAATTCCAAATTTAAAAAAAAAAAACTAATAATTAAAATCTAAGCATAGGTCATTAGATCTAACAGATAACTAAACAGAATTGGGGAATTAACGAGCCAACAAACAACACCCCCAACACAATCACAAGGCTGTTACTTCAAGAGCTAGTGAACTTGGTAACAGCTTTGGTACCCTCTGAGACAGCATGCTTAGCCAATTCTCCGGGCAGCACAAGCCTGACCGCGGTCTGAATTTCCCTTGAAGTGATGGTGGGTTTCTTGTTGTAACGAGCCAGTCTAGAAGCTTCCTGGGCAAGCTTCTCGAATATGTCGTTGATGAAGCTGTTCATTATACCCATGGCCTTGCTGGAGATTCCAATGTCTGGGTGAACTTGCTTGAGAACCTTGAAGATGTAGATCTTGTATGTCTCTATGCTCTTCTTGTTTCTCTTCTTCTTCTTGTCGCCCGCGGCACCTCCTTCCTTAGGAAGCTTCTTCCCGGCCTTTGGCTTCTTCTCTGCCGGCGGTGCCTTCTCCGCCACCGTCGACTTCTTCTCCTCGGCGGGTTTCTTCTCTGCGGGCTTCTTCTCTGCCTTGGGCGCCATCACTGATCCAGAAATTGGCACTTCGAAGGGAAAATAGGGTTTCGAATTGGGACCGGAACTGCTTAATCGGAAAGGATGAGTGAGTTGTGAATGAGATTTGACTGCAGGGTTGATTAATATATAAAGGGATTTTCGCGTTCTTATTGGGCAGGGAGCTTTCTCGCGGATCGATGACGTGGATAACTTTATCTATGAAAGGAGAACGGGAAAATAGACGGCTAAGATCTTGCAAGGACTCGACTTGAATGCGGATTGATGAGGTGGTGAAATAAGGATACATAGATGGACGGATGAGATGCTTTCTTTCTTTTTCCTCAAAATTGGACTCTTTCTCTCCCCATGTTTTTAGTTTTCGTTGCGCGCCCAAATAATTATCAAGCGCGGTTCAGAAAAAAATTTGCGCGGTTTATCCTTAAAACCAAGTGATTATTAAAAGTCTAATTTTGCTAATATGTTTTATTTTTTAAAAAAAATAATGTATATTGGTATGTACAATTATTAAGGTCCATGTGATAACCATGACCTTTTTTAAAAATGTTAAAGAAATAATTTGTTAAAATATATTTTTTAAGAAATAGATAGATTTATTTTAACAAACTCTATGTATGTACATTCAAGATAACTATATTTTTTTATGTACTTCTAAAAATATTTAATCTAAAAATATAAATAGTAAAGTTTATTTAAATTTATAATATTTATATTTTCAAATATATAAAATATATTTTATCATATAATTTATTGTATCTTTTATAGAGAAAAACAAATAAATAAAACAAAAAATGAAAAAAATTACAATCTTAAATGTAAAAGTTTTTAGCATTAACACGAATAAACATTTTCAAATTTGTAAGAGGTGAAATTTAATATTTGAAACTATAAAACTCTCAACTTAACTATAAATTTATTATATTTTCACATATGATTGTGTTATAATTATTTATAATTATTCTCAATTACTCATTTATATCTCGAGTGAAATTAATATACACACGAAAGGGAGAAATATTTTTCATAACAAAGTTTGTTACCTACATGATGTAAGAATAATACAAAAAGTGTATGATATTTATATTTATATTCATTTTTAACTTTTGAAATATGACTATAAGTTTAACGAGTATTATCATAAGCGAACTTATAAGTTTTTCTAAACTGATTTTCATCTTTATTTTTAACAATATTGAGATCAACTCTTATTGAACTCCCAAAAAACTTTCAGTGACATTGAGAATGAATTAGCCTTAAAGTGAACCTAACATTTTAGATGGATACGAAGTTTTTGCACATGTTCATATAAATTAATCCTATTAATAAAGTTTATCGCATCAAATATAACTTCATAAATTGAGATATCTTTTTTAACATTTCTAACCTCCATCGTAGTTTAACTAAAAAATAAGAGATTATTTTTTTTATGCTGATTCATAATCCAATTGTTACCATAAAATAAAATTGTAAATTTTTTGTTCTAAAAACATTTTCAAATATATATACTCTTAGCTATCAAACATAATTTAACACATTGCAAAGTATTCTCAGTATAAGTGTGACATATGGAGTAAACACATGAAGACATTAAGTTTCTATCATATCTTTTTAAGTAATTTGTAGAAAAGGCATTGTAACAAATAAGTTAAATTAAGAATTTAATTTTGTTCACGTAAAGAATGTGTTAAATTCACCTCTAATTAATATATCGTTGCAATTTTTTTATTAACAAATTAGTTAAAACTATGTCTAGTTATATAGCTTATTGTATATTGAATATATTAATATTATATATATATATATATATATATATATAGTAAATAAAATGAGTCACCTATCCAATTTGAGCATGTGAGTTGTATGTGACAATCTTTAGTGTGTTCAATAAAAAATATAGTTTTAATTTAAGTTTCTATAAATGTTCTTCAAATTCACCAAAGCTCACATTTTTTTAAAGCTTTTTGAGTTTGTGTAAATTAAATTACATCAAGTTTTATTGAATTAAATACAAATGTAGAAATTTAATTCAATTTGCAATTAGATTCTTATATTTGATTATACATGTATAAATTAGCTCACTTTAGTGTATATATATATATATATATATACACGCAAAAGTAATATTTTCTTATATTAATATAAGTGTAAAAATTATTATAAATTGAACATTTCATTTAACTTACACTTAATAATTAGTGAAATAATAAATTATAACCCGTTACATATAAGTTAAATAAATAACTCATAATTGAATTTAAAATTTTTTAGATTTACACTAATATGAAATAATCTATTTATATATATATATATATTTAAAAGTAGCGTACATACACAAATATTGTGACTTTATTTATTAGCATGACATTGTAACTTGTTTGAAAGTTTATAACTTAATTTTATAAAAAACAAAGTTGTAGAACTATTTGACAATCATAAAATAAAACAAACCTTTACTTTTTACAATTTGATTTTAAAAGAGTTGTTGAAGTAGCATTCAATTTTATGTTGCAATTAAATTTATCCATTTTATCTTTATCCTTTTTAATAAATTATACATAGGTTTAAAATCTTAAACTCTTATTTTCAATTATTTTTGATATCACATTCACAGTGTTGGTTAAAGATTTTTAAAAAATGTTAATATTAAATGGAGTTAAGGAGTATTTTTTAAACAAAAGTAAGACAAAGTATAGCAAAAAAATAAAATAAAATAATATATATATATATATATATATATATAAAGATTGTGCATTGAAAGTCAAAAGTAAAAATAATATTATACTACTAGTTTTCAAACTTAAATAGTTGAAACTCATTATATAAAATGATAAAAAAATTAATGAAAGTTATTCATATAATACAAGTTGAGTAGTTAAAATGACAAGATAGAGAGTATTTTATTTGTAACTATAAATTATTTGTCAATATTATATAGACATTTTATCACACTACAATAAAATCAACAATTATATACATTAGTGAATGTTATGTCTTAAATAAACAATATAAAAAAGTAAGAGTGAAAAAAATAAAACATTAAAGTAAATAAATAGTCATACAAAAAATAATAGAATAAGAAATAATCACATGCATAAAAATATTGGAGTAATATTTACAGTAGAAAGATGATTGAAAAATGTCTTGGGTGGTTTATTTTATTTTCTAATTATCAACATTTTATTAAGGATGAATTTATAGGTAAAGGGATACTATAACCTATTACAACTTTAAAAGATAATTAACAATACATATCAATGAATTATTAATCCAATTTATATATACAATCGATCATTCTAAAGGCCTTGCAAGCCACTTCTAAGATACATATCTCAAACATTTGACCAAAACTTTGATTTATTCATATAATTATTTTTCATAAATTTAGATTAAGCTTGTAAATTAAAGTTGGGGTTGTGCTTCTCCCTTCACATTGGGAGGTAGTATTCTTTTCAAATGTATCCTCACCCAATCACACAACATCTATATTAATATTGAAAATTAAGTCATTATTGATATTAATTTAATAATTTAAATTTTTTCTTATTCGCACATATGCAACGTTCTTCATAGAATTTGATTACGTACTTTCAAACTCTTATTGATAATGTGCAAATATCTGACACAAAATCATGTAAATTTTATTCATAATAATTTACCCATTATTATTTTCCATCTATGTTTTCTACACCATCTTTTATCACATTGTCTTTTTTGTTGCGATTCCTGCTATTAAATTATCTAAAGTAGGTTAATTACATACAAATGGATAATATAAATTTTAACATAATAAAAAAATAACCTATAAAAACTTAAGAGAATTTTATTAAAAGAGATATTTGATTAATAATATTTATAAAATTATAATTTTTGATGACTTTAATGATCTTAAATAATTAATATAATCAACTTTACAAGGCAGGATTATTGTATTATAAGAATTTATTGAAAATTTTATCAGAGTCAGAAACTAAAATTCATTCACTGTTCCTATGCGTGTTGGCCAATTTAACTACTAGTTATGCATGTCATACCCTGTAAACAAGTGCTTAAAACACCATTTTTTTTTCTTTAATTTATCCACCAGCCTTTTCTCCAATAAGTAATCCATATCAGCGGCCCAAACGTTCATATAAAGATAAAAGTATGGATTTTTTTTATCCAAAAGACTAAAAATCAGTAAATTCTAAAGAAAAAGACAGAGAATAATTTGGTAGATTATGTCTTGAACCCATGTATAATAACCCAAGTTAATAATATAAGCACAAGTTTATAAAATGGGCCAATCTGTCCCATCTTATTTTTATTAATTTATTACGGGCTCATATTTACCCATCTTACTACATTTAGTCCGTAGTTATGTTCATTTTTTTAGATCCCTTTTATTGTTTGCTCCATTAACAGTTTTGCTATTCATAGTAGTGCACAGGGTTAGTACATTAGAACAAACGCATAATAGATGGTTCAATCTTTTTCATCATTCTTTATAAATGTTACTCGCAACACTCTCTCTCGGGTATGCCTATGCAACGTATAAAATAATGTGTGGTACCCTGTTTCTGTCTCATCGAGCTCAAGAATTATGAAACTAAAGTAAAGCTTTGGGCCATCTGAGGTTTTGACCATGATGACAACGAGGAATATGAAACGTGTGATCCACAAATGACAAAGCTGCATCGGATCCCATAATTAAGGAAGCTGCACTCTCAATTTGATATTCCCCTTTAATCATGAGCGTTCTTATTGAAAAGCTTCAAAATTATGAATAAATTGCGTGTTATATATATATATATATAGTTCAAAAGCCCAACAATATTAAAGAAGCCCAAATTAGGAAAATATCAGTTCATGTTTAATCTTCATTATATTTGTGGATTTTTTATTTTATTAAATAAATTATAATCAAGATCAAATCTATATACTCGATCAAAATCAAGATGTTTCCCAGATTTTAAAATGCCTGAACTTTAAACTCTTGGTAGAATCCGTATTAAAAGACTAGCACGTTGTCTTCGCCATTTCATAATCGGTAATAACATACACAAATAACCAGATTTTTTCATCCACAGTTCATATCCTTGGATTATATAGAGTACGGCAAAGGGTGTAGAGACACACACGTATATGGCAAACTAATCATATTATTCCGGGTAGCTTTCAAAATGCTTGAACATATCAAAATCATAACATGAAAAGTTTAAAAAGGAAATAAAAAGCAAAAACGAAAATAGAACTGCAAAAGGGTATACAACAGGACACATAAAAAAGTTATAATCTAAGCAACCATAACTTCCTTAGTACTGTTTCATGGAGCTGCATACGTAGAGGAAATGAATATTTTCAATACCTTGTTTTTCTTCTGAAAATAAAAAGTATAGAGGAGCAAGGATCATGTATCTCATCCTGTCCCTATATAAAGGGTGCCACTGCCAAAGGATCTTCAGTTGCCCAAATGATCAAACAAGTCCAAAGACTTGCTATTGTCATTGGTTTATCACGAACTCCGTGTCATCATCCTCGTTTGCACCGTCCATAATCTTGCAGTTGCTTGCCTTGGTTGCCATCCAAATTTCCATATTGAACTACAATAAAAACACACCTAGCTAGGCAATTATGGAGACTAAGATTATGAAACCGATCATTGGTCTAAGAGAAAAAAGAGAAGGAGAATTTTCTAAACTATAAAGGAGGCGGAAGGTATTTCTTTTGGGCATGGAAGGGGGTGGGTGGGGCAAAGACAAAGGATCTTCTAAAGCATATACCTAGACCATTAACATGCTGGCCCATTCCTTTTCACATATGCTTTTGGCATCTTTTCTATGAATTAATATAATTATACGGTTCTTTTAAGGACAAACAATAAAAATTTATATATAACTTTTTTAATTCAAAATTATAGTACATCAAAAAATATACAACTTTTAATAAAAATGTAATATTTATTGATTTCTTAAATACAAGTTACAAAATTATAATTATACTGTTGAATGTGGAAGTACCTAAATATTTCAGTTATGTTTCTCTTTTCTTCTCTTTAAAAAATAAGTAATTTTGGCCTCGTCTTGGATTTCACCCTATGAAGTGTTTATTAATGCGAATTGAGGTGTCATTCGGTCATTCTGCTCAAAGCCTTATTGAATTTGCTTCTTAAATCGTAAGCTCAAACAGAAAGATGACAAAACGAAAAAGGCCAAAACTGAGTCCTTTCATTATTGGGTGTTGCTGGGGTCATGGATGGCCTCATGGGTACCACTTCATTGGTATTCAATGTCACATGGTGCACACTAGCTGCATAAGGCCCATTGTGAAGAATCTATTAATAAGCATATGGAAAGCACAATTAAAGTCCAAATAGGCCACAATATCCTACTTAGGGCTTTGAATTTAGTTTACATTTTTTAAAAATGTGAATTAATTCACCAATGGCACTTGGCTACTTTTGCCAATAGCAATTGTGACCAGCTAACATGAACATGATTCCCTCTCATTTTTTAAGGGATTGTTGATAAGTCATTCATGCCATGATTGACAACATCTTGTTCAATTCCAGGCATTTTCTTGTACCTAAAATTTGTGAACTGCTATTATGTTATTTGATTAGTTAAAAGTACAAACAAAAATATATAAAACATTAAAATTTAAATTACACTCTTGTATATTTTTACATTTAACATTCTTCCCAAAAATTTAAGCTATTGATTTTGAAATTAATAGCCGCTGTCCAATATATAGCTTACAGTTGGACATTGAGTGCGAATATACGTGGCTTAGAATTTTGGTAACTTTTCACTGAACTTTCTGATAAAGTTTGGTAAACAAATCGTAGAACATTTCTGACAAATATGATATTACAACCAATCCAATGTATTCAATTCAAATACAACATGGTTGATGATGTAGAATTCAGCGTCTGGTGCAGCTATTAACTTCTATTTTTTTTTGAATTTTTGCAATAGTCTGCTAAGGTAGATGTTGCATGTACCAATCAGATGCTTATCCTAAGCCTCCCTTGCCTCATGAATCATGATCAACAAGTTTGCAAAATTTGATTTCAAAAAGATTGTGCAAATTTTCACCGTAAAAATTCTGAAACAACAGCGGATAATAGCAATAACATACTGTTAACATATTTTTTTAACATATTTATTTTAAAGATTATTAAAAACTTTAAACAAATATTAAATTAATTTTTTTAAAAGAAACTAAACATTTTTAATACATTTTTATCATAAAGTATATTACTAGCATTCCTTGTCTTAGTTATTTTATGTGAGTATGAAGGGGACAAAATTCAAATTCATGCTCCTATCAACCAAAACTTAGGCCACATGCATAAAATTTGTGGGAGAGAATATGACCTTAATAATCGAATTGCGTGTCAGGTAATAAAATAAATTGTTGACTTAAAAAAAAAAAACACATATAAACCCAGTCATCACAACACATAAAGGTAATTCACTGCATTATAATGGCATGTTGATAAAACAATTTATAATATACTTTATTTATATTATATTATTTATTTTTCTCTTGTCTGTCTCTGTTCTTTTACTTTTTATAAATAACGTATCTTGTCAAGGAATGTTAGTTCATCATAAAGTTGATACGTTAAGAGGTTACGCAATCAAAATAACAATTTTAAAAAGAAAATAATGCATTTTTTTAAAATCATAAATATTATTTTTGTTCAAATCAAATAAAATTTCTCTGAGTGATACAACTTCTCATTTAAGTATTTAATGTAATTATACTCGGTAGAATTCAAAATTGATTCACATGTTAAGTTAAATAATTTTAAAAATTGATCAATGTGCTGAGTAATAAATAATGTATATTTTAATAAAAAATATGTAATAATTCATTTAATTTAATAAAAATGTATAATTTAAATAAATTTGCACATGGATTTTACTATATTTAATCATTTATAATTTATTTTTTTAAAATAATTATACGTAGTTTTAAATCAAACAGACTAAAAGTATGATGTGGACTTTATTGGCTGAAAATTAACATTTTAAAAAGAATGATGTATATGAAAGAGGTGGTTGCGTTAATAGATTATCTAACTTGTTTAAAAGTAAAATAATAACGAATTAGCTGTAATGTTCTAAATTATTGTCGATAAAATCTAAAATTTTTCACTGTATTTTTGCTGTTGGGGTCTTGTGCACTTTTCCTGAGGTTAGGGAAAACCAATTTGAGCATAAAAATAATAATAACATCAATTTTATGCGTTTCGTGAGGATAATAACTTGTTGGTTTGCTTCATTTGTGGAGGCACAAGTCAAGGTTTCCTAAAAAAATGAAAGAAATTGAGATTGGTTTTTGTTTCAGCAATAATAATGTTTAGAACATGTCCTAATTGACTAGGTCAAGGTTGTATCGGTCGTCATTGGTGTGGTTCAAAACTTCTATCAATCTTCATTTTCATACTAATCTTATTTTTTAAGGTGTATTTAGGAATTACGTTTTAAAAATGAGAAGATGTTTTTTTAATTAATATTATTTAATTTTATAATTTTTCACATAAGATTCATAAAATAAAAAAGTTAATATAGATTTGATGTATTAATTTTCTATTTATTATAATAGATACTGCCTTTTAAATTTAAAAAAAAATCTGTAAAATTCAACCCCTAATCATGTTATAAGGGAATATCACATTCGACTATATTTTTAATCATATTGCTTGAGGTTCTAAAATGAAAAGTATAACGGTGGTAATTCAAATTTTATATTAGCTGAAATCAATTAATGAACATGTGATTCTTTTATATACATTCTTGTAAATGTTTTTTAAATACATTTTTTTATTATTACTTTCTTCTTAAAACTCCATTGTGGAACATCTATCTTATAAATTCACCATTTTTAAAACGATAAATATACACCAATGTTGATAATTAGTTTGTATTTGTACATAATTTTATAATCAACTTTTTTTACCGCATGTTTATTAAACGTTTATAACACATTAACACTTTTACTCTGAACATAGGTAACCTTTGCTAGCTCTTCCTGTAAGTAATTAGGATGTAAATGAACACAATATATATTACTCCTTTTAACGGTCATACTAAATAACGTTTTAGTAGTATAATTAATAATATGAGAAAATTTTAAAAATCGTTAATGGTAATTTTTAGTATTTTTAAAAATATTTTATTATTATTTTAAAAATTGTCAATGATAATTTTTTAAATCATCATTAAAAATTTGTTATACTTTACTTTTTTTTTTTTAATCTCTGAATTTATACTTACATTTTTAAATTTTTTTAAAAATTAAAATATCATATTTCAGTATATATTATTTCTAAATATCATATATGAAAGAAACCCAAATCTCATTTCAGTGATATATATGCTTTTACATACATTTAGTAACTGTCAATTAAAAAAATTACATTTAATATAAACCAAAATAGAATTGATGCCTAAATAATTTTTTTATTTTTTGGTATTATTATTAAGAAAATTATATTATTATTGGACAAAATTTAACGTGAATCCTATTGAACGTTCCCTCTATCAATGGGGCTAATATGAAATTCCATACAACGATAAAAAAAAATAAAAAATATAAGTCTGACATCCTCGTAACATTGGTGGAGATGCTGCCATGACAGAACAAAAGTGGAGAGAGAGAGTTTAGACACATCATTATTATTTGTTAATCTTTAATAAAATAAAATAAATAAAAAAGCACCGTTCTTTTCTCTAAAATTTGCATCTTCCTTCACTTGTGAGCTTTGGACGAGATCCCTTTCTCTCCCATTCCCATTCCCATTCCCATTTCCGATCAACCACATTTTTCTCTCTCTCCATTTTCGTCATTGTTGCAAGAGATTCATCGTTTCATTTTGAAAAATAAAAACTCGGAAGTTGATGGCTGCTCCACCGGCAAGGGCTCGTGCCGATTACGATTATCTTATAAAGCTTCTTTTGATCGGTGACAGCGGTAAAGTTTTTTTTTTTTTTTTAATTTATTTTTTAGCGAAGATTATTTAAAAAATTGCGATAAAAACATATACAAGGAGTGAACAGATTTGGCGTTTTTTCTGTATAGCTACGAGGACGATGATGAATTTCATTAGGAGCCTTCTTTTATTCGAAATTGTCGAGTCTGGAGTTTGTGACAAATGCACATCTAGTCTTTTTTATTTTGAAATTTGGGATTTGTTTTAGATTGTGAAAAGTTTGATCTTTCCATGATCTGGTTTGAATCATTCTTTTTTTTGGTGTTATTTGTAATGCAAATTAAGGTGTCAAGAGATTGAATTGCAAAATAGTGCTGATCTTACTTTGACACTGTCTGACAAATCTTTGTGGTTGTACTTTAAAATTAGGCTTCTGTGTGATCCGTTTATAGTTTGTTTAATTCAAAGTATTTGCTTGCTAAATAGGCCTTCGGTGGTCCAGTTGCTTCTTCAAGATGTTCTTGTGCTTTGTTTCATGTGTTTGTAATACTGTTTATCTTCTTTTCCCTTTAAAAGAAGAAATATGGCTTTGGTTGATGCTTCGTGAGGGATTAGAAGTGCTATAATAGCCACTGCAGAAATCACAATGGAATTATTGTGTTCCTTTTGTGTAAAACATACCTGTAAGTTAACCTCTTGCATTGTCTTTTACAGGTGTTGGAAAAAGTTGCCTCCTTTTGCGTTTCTCTGATGGTTCTTTCACCACTAGTTTCATCACAACTATAGGGTACGTTTTTAAGACTTGGGAGTAAAACTGCAGAATTTTGTTTGCTGGAAGTTTCTCTAACATCACAATGCCTTCCTTCCTGATGCAGCATTGATTTTAAGATAAGAACCATCGAGCTTGATGGCAAACGGGTCAAGCTCCAAATTTGGGATACTGCAGGGCAGGAGCGGTTTCGAACAATTACAACTGGTAAAGTTTGTGATCCTTACAGGTATTAGGCATTGCTTAGCATTTAGCAGTTGGCTTCTGATTTATGATACTTCCTGAAGTAGGATTTAAAAGGTAGTGAAAATAACAAGGGAAAAGGGAGGTAACCACTGAGAAACACTATAATTCTTATTCAGTATCAGATCTGATGAGTTAGACTACATAGGCAGTTCACAGTTGAAGTTTGAAGATAATATTTCTAAATCCCTAGGATATGACTAAAATTTAACCCTGTAATTTATGTCACATGCTGTAGCCTAAAATAGTGTCCTGCTTCTGTTTTTCATTGATATTTTTTCCGTTGGAAACCTTGTAGAATTTACAGGTGAAAATGTTTCTGGGAGTTATGGAGCAGCTTTGATGTAAAGATACTACAATTAGGGAGCCTTTGTTTAATTTATCTAAGATGAATATTATGGAGATTCCTGTAGTATTGATGTGTCAAAAGTTAAACTTCAGATGTAATGGTCCTTTACCATTGTTTCATTCATACCGTAAAATTGTTGTATCCTTCGTAGTTTTAAAACAAATTGTGCGAGTATTTGTCATTTAAGGTTTTAGTGCTATATATCTTTCCTTTTTTTTGCAGCTTACTATCGGGGTGCTATGGGCATATTGCTAGTATATGATGTTACAGATGAATCATCATTCAACAGTAAAGTTCCCAGCTATTGCTTAAGTTTGAAATTTGCAAATCTGTACAAAACAGTTAAATCTTTAAAGGCTTTTCCATATGGAATATTCATTCAACTTTTGCTAATTACAGATATCCGGAATTGGATTCGCAATATTGAGCAACATGCTTCCGACAATGTTAACAAAATACTGGTGGGGAACAAAGCTGACATGGATGAAAGTAAAAGGGTATGGAAGCTTTGTTGCCAACTTAATTCTTTATTTTTTCCCCAGCACCTTCCTCTGAATTATTGAGTGTGATTACAACTTGCAAGAGCAAATCAAAGATCTTCTGAACACCAATTTCATTTTGAACAACAGAGTTGCAGAGCTAAGAGTAAAGAGGCTTAAACAGTCAACCAATACTGTCTTCAAATGTTCTTTCATCATTGTTGTACAAGTTTTACTGATGGTTGAATTGCATCATTAAGGGTGTTAGAGAAACCATGTTACTATGAGTGAATGAAACACATTGTTTTTGCTGCTGGGATGGGGAGGTTTGAAAGGGATGAGTTCTGATTTGATGCCATCGTGTATGTATGCATGCATATCAAATTTGAAATCTTTGTGATTATAACCACCCTTCGTCTTTCTTTTAAGGCTGTGCCTACGTCCAAGGGCCAAGCACTGGCTGACGAGTATGGAATCAAATTCTTTGAAACTGTAAGTGATGTATACTTAGAAAATCTGGAAACTCCCTTCACTTTTATTCTAGTGTGCTCATGAAAAAATATACTGCAGAGTGCTAAGACAAATCTAAATGTGGAGGAAGTTTTCTTTTCAATAGCAAGAGATATAAAACAAAGGCTGGCCGACACTGACACCAAGGCAGAGGTATTTTAACTTTCTCTCACGAGTTTAATATGTTAATAGTTTCCTACCCATAAAGCCCTTATCTCTCCCTTTCCCTCAAGTTGAATGGCTTGTGATTTTTTCATTGCAGCCATCAACAATCAAAATCAACCAGGACCAGGCAGCGGGGGCCGGGCAGGCTGCACCAAAATCGGCTTGTTGTGGTTAAGGACAGATGTTACGAATTGGAGGCAACATTATTGTCCAACAAGAAGGAAAGAAAAATTAATTGTATAATGATCATGATGCTGACTTGTGCTTGATGTCATTCTTTATAAATTTTGTGTGTGATAAGTAGTTTCTAACTTTTCAACATGTTAAATTCTAAACTAGATGTGATTGTGGTGATTTCGTGTCTAACAGCCCCTGACTTCGTTTGGGTTGGGGACCTGAGATCCATTAAATTTTGTTACTGTATAAACACGATGGCTTGTGCTGGATTGCTAGACATTTTCAAAAATTTCCCCTCCGCAAATAGGCAATACGGCGAATTATAAATCACCGTGTACTAAATTACTTAACGTAAAGTTGATGCAAAGAGAATACGAGTGCAAATAAAGATTAAATCAAGTGTACCAATAGGCTGTAGCATACTAGTACTCCGTCCTGATTCACTGCAGCGGTAGCACTTGGCATGCTAGTGTTGGCAACATTATCTACGTTTATAAATTGAGAACTGCTATATGATACAAAAATTTTTACAAGAAAAATGCAGTGAAAAGAAACTGACCAATCGAATTGCTATTGACAGAAATACATGAGTAAATGGGTGGTTAAGGGTTTAAAAAAGACTGGTTAAAGCATTTCCGCTACATTTATAAAAACTTTTTGCACTTCAAATTTTCACAACATCAAGGCTTGTAAATTACTTGGCGACTCGATATTTCACATATTTATTAGTAATGATTATAATAAAGAACGTTTCATGAATATTCATCATACCGATTAGTATTCTTTCTAGAACAAAATTGTGCTGCAGCAACCCAACCAACCACCCCTTCTCAGTTCACATAAAACGTACACAAACAATCGAAACTTATTTGCCCACCTTCAATCACAATCTATTGCCGGCTTCATTGGAACAATTAACTTACTTGGAAGTTACCTTTGTATATTTGGAGATAAACAGTTACATGACACTCCACGACTTATAAGTTTAGGGCAGTGCCCCAAAATTAACTAGTCCGGAAGTCTTACTCCTTTGATTACATAATAACATTAGCTTCCTCGATAATGTAATTAGATAATTCTGTCTACCAAACCACCAAAATACCACTGATTTGTACAAAAGCTAACATATACAGCTTCCAATATTTTAAACACGGCCTCGACGGTACACAACTCACCAAAGGTTGCGGAGCCAGAAAAAAGACACAAGAAAAATACTGAAACTGGCATATCTTACTATGCACACTAGAATCTAACCCAAGGGTTGGGACTCATAGATTAAGTTCTTCCTTTCCATAAATGCGTTGAAGCTCACGTGTTGCTGCTTGAAATGATTCTGGAGGAGACAGGAATGAACAAAATTGGATAAGTGACGTACCAAACAAACAAAAACGACAAGACCTATCACTATGCATGCACGAATGTGTGTCGTAAGATGGACGGGAATTCCATTACCTTTCCAACTGCAAAACGCTTTCTGATTAATTGGTGCACCAAAAACTGTTTGAATTGTATCAAACAACAAACTTTCGGGGGTACTCCTCAATTCCTGTACTATTTGATAAATGGTCTTTCCATTCTCAAAATAAATGTGGTTGTTTGGATGTTTTGTTTTGCAGCCGGCATGTCTCTCAAACTCATAAGCATTAAGAACCTGATAAAGTAAAGTATCAGTCAATAAGTAAGCTATCACGGATTTTAAGAAATATAAAAAAAGAAACATAAGTTAAGATTTGGTCAGGGGTGACTGGGGTGTATACTAGTGGATTACTAACCTTGGAATAGTTACAAGACTGACACCCACAAAGATAGCCAGAGCCTCTTATAATTCCACGAAGTTCCTTCATCCACCAAGAAATATAAGTATACCTTATTAAACAATAATTTAAATAGAAATAATCAACAACAAATACCAAAATTTACCTCCCGTGCCACTGAGACATACTTCACAGGAACACCATCAAGCATACCAGTAGATATCAAGCTCCTGACATTAGAAGGAAAGCTGTTTGGAGCTTCTTTCCTTGCTGTTTTAAACTCTTGTTTATTCTTGGACACAGTTTCAGACTTTACTTTTGCTACCTGAAGAGTACTAGCAACTACATCTGAACTTGACGCATCCAACTCTTTCTCATGACCCTTTGTTGACACATAAGCTGAAGATTGATTATATAGTTGATCATAGTCTGCAGCAGGCCTACCCACAGAGATAATATCCTGTTCATCTGGGAACCCACCAAAAGAAATTATATTTGTGTCCTCTTTATTGTAGGACTCACTAATTGATCTGACATGTGTATCCCCTCTGCTGTAGGTGAGTCCCATTAAAGTGGCATTGCCATCCTTGTCAAAGGTTTGCCCTATTGATGCAGGCCTCATCTCAGCATCCCTGTTATAGGCCTGATGAAGATCACCATTACTCTGCCTACTAAAATTATGTCCCTCTGGAGCCTGTACATCATCAGAATCCTTAACCTGATTTACTTTGACTTTTTTGATTCCACCAAAATTTATACATGCTTCGGAATCTTCAACAGAATGAGATATAGACAAGCCAAAAGATGCATCATCTCCATATTGATTGGTGATCATCTTTGATCTCACATTAGAATCATCAGCCAGAACATAAGTATTTTTTTCAGTGAAATTGGCAGGCCTGGTTTCAGACCCAAATAACCGGCCAATAAATTGGTTTGTGACTGAATGAAGATTGGGATTGTTATCCCAGGGAGAAAAATTTACATTTGAAAATCCTGGACTAGATTTTTGATTTGCATCTTCTACTGCTTGTTTCTTGTTTGGGAAAAATTCTACTTCGGCAGCATCAACAAACCATTGATGAGGTCGTTTTGGTTCAATTTTGGAAGGATTATCAAATACTGTCTCTCTGTCACTAATGTGTCCAGAACCCTTTACCATCCAAAATCCCTTGTTTTGCAAAGACTGCAGAAAAAAAAAAAAAACACTACGTTTCACATAAACTGTACAAATTTTAAAAATTATCTTTCTTTATTTCACTCACTCAATCAAAATGACATGGAACAGGGTAGACGAGGATAGTTACATTCTATAAAATCGGGGAGGGACTAATTACAATTAACCTGTTTTATGATTTTCAATATGATTATTTTTAAAATATTATTGGATTATCTTAGGCAATAATATGTCAATTATGGTAGGACTAGAGTCCTATTAATATACTTTAAGGATGACTGAAGACCCTAGAGATTGATCACTCAAGTTCCATAATAATGCCTATAAAGACAGCTTGCTACGTATAAAACAGGATAAAATTTTGTATTTGGAGCTATACATTTTATTTCAATATTTTTCCATATTTCATCAGGTGAATTCTAGAGTTTCAACCTAATCTAGCAAGGTTGCAAAGTAGAACACTACCTAGTCTCTCTCATGGTCTCACCCCCTCCCCCTTCTGATTCCTCTATGTTTCAATAATGTGTCAATTGGTATTAGAGCTTCATTTGTTCTGCCTGGTGTGGATGAACTGCTATTTTGTATGATGGTCGATGCTGGAGCACAAGATGAAAATTTAATGATGTCTGCCAAAGGAAATTGGGTTATGGAAGGCATAAAAGGTTAAAATAAATAGCAAAGAAAAACCTAGATGCACCTAAATTTTGTTTGTGTCACACAACCAGGTAGATTGCAATTTGTTGGTAATCTCATGGACTGAACACTGAGTCTACAATAAAACAATTAAAAAACAGACTTCCCATGGCTTATCCCGTGAGTTTGAGCTTTCTAACTGATTAAAACATTCATGGTTTCCAACTAGCTCATCTAGAAGTAGCTTTTGGCATAAGGCCATTCACCATAAGCGATTTCCCTATAGCACCTTAATATACCATAAGGCCATTCACCATAAGGCCATTCACCAACAACTCATAATTTATATTTTACATCTAATTACATGAAGCCTGTTGTATCCTTTTACACTATGAATTCGACTTTTCTTAAGTGAGGGTTTCACTTCAAAAGAAAAAGTGAAGGATCTCAACTATTAATAAGAAAATCAAGGGATTTGATTTTAAAAAATCCATAGTTTGTTTTTCATGAGCGTGTAGTTATCAAATCATTAACAGTTAAACTTTTATTTTCTCATCAACAGTAGAAACCTCTCCCTTTTTTACATAAAAAAACCTTTGTAATATGAATTTTGCTGTGTGATATGCCCCATGTCACTAGTATATATACTTTATAGACCCTCAAGCCTCAAACAGCCCCCAAAGGAAAAGAAAGCATCATAGGCTCCTTAATTGCAATTCCAATAGGAAACAAACAATAGCTCTATGCTACATTACAATCCAACGTGAACTTCGCTATTCGTGAGAGGAATTCAGTTTCTTACAAAGGAACAGAACGTACAATACAAATATTCAGCCAGAAGAAAGTAAAAATATGCAGAACCTACTAAATCGAGTAATAATTAATAATTATAAATACCATTTCCTTCAACTTTAGCAGGTGAAAAATATTCCTGAAAAATCCACAAAAAGGTTGTTGCTAACTTCAAGTGATAAATTTCTTAATTCCCAAAGCGGTGGCTAACAACTCCTGCAACAAGAGAAAACAACCTTCATGTACTATAACACGGTTCACACATATCCTTCAAAGTCAACATCGAAACGAAGAAGGAAAATGCAAACGCTGTAAGCAGCCAAACGGGATTAAAATAAATAAACGAAGAATGAATGAATGAAAGCTCACATTACATTAATATTATATATTAAAATAATCAAAATTACTACACTGCGCATGAAGGAAAGAAACGGAATTAACTTAAAAAATTCCCAGAAATTTTAAAAAAAAAAGTGCCACTCCAAGAGTTTAGGAATCGAAAGCGACGGTTACCTTGGCGAATGGCGATAATAATATTCATGGCATAGAAGCTTCGGGAGGATGATGATTCTACGATCCGTACTCTCCGATGGCCGTTACCCTAACCGGATGATGTTTCCGACGCCGGTGAAACGGGAACAAATTTCAACGATAGAAGGGATTCACATGATAGGGTAGGGTGTGTGAGGAACACTCGATCTTTTCCCATCTAAGGGGGTGCAAGAATTAAGATAGGATGAACCTGACATGTCCTTAACTCGATGACATACACGTGTTCATTGAAAATGAATCTGAACCGTTGGTTATGCGGAGCAACTTGAACGACATCCAATTGGTTCGGTATACAGGAGAGAAATTTAATACCAAAATCCAATTCAATTGTTGCGTGCCTCATAAGTTGAATGGGATGTGTACGCGTTGGATTTACTTTATAACGAAAATCCGACAACTATATTATGACACTATTTTTAAAAAAATTATCGAAAATATTATTAATATAGTTTTATTATAATTTCAAATGTTATTTTTAATTTATCACTTTTTTAATTAAAATTAATTTTTTTAAATAACCCATGTTAATGTTTAAATTTGATTTTTATTGTGCAAGTTATTAGTATGAAATTGTAATTGAAGAACATACAAAATAATTATTATAATATATTTAAGCTTTGTTTATTTTTTAATTAGCGTCTTTAAAATGTTTGTTATTTTAAACAATTTTTAAAACAGTCAACGATAATAAAGTATTGTCTTATATATAAATAATCTGAAATAACTTTAAAATTACAGGCTTCAGTAGTAGCAGAAACAATGTGCTGAAGCATCACTTTATTTTACTCTACCCAATGAAATGATGTTAGTATATAATAAACAAAGACAATTGTGTCAGTTTCATTTTTTTTTGTAATGTTTGTTCTACTAATGTACAAGGGATTGCTAATTAGCGTCTTCAAGAGTGCATTATAAATTAAAAATGTAATTATTAAAAACAACGTTAGAGATATATATTATAAATTATGGTGAGTGTGCATTAATGATATTTTTTAACAATTTTTAATGCTTTAACCCCCTAAGAACATTAGTGGTAGCCAATAAATAAATGAGCTCTTTCGTTTAGTTTCCAACATAAAGTATACATTTTTATCTAATTTTTTTTTAATTAAAGAGGTGTGTAAGTGATAAGCTAACCACATTATTGTTTATTTTGTCGCAATCTTTGGCTTGGGTTAAAGCAAGGAAACATCGTATACATGAATGTAGCTAGCAAAATTTTCAAAGTAGTTTAGCATCATGAATATGAATCTTATATATATATATATATATATATATATATATATATTTGGTTATTCTATTATATTTATGAAAAAAAAATCTATCTTTGAGAGTTAAGAGTAAGTCAATAAACGAAAAACAAGACAAAATGAGAACCAAAAAAATAGTTAAAAAAAATAAAATCTCTTAACAAGATTTCTCAGTCAAATGAAGAAATTTAACGCAGGTGTCCTTAAGTTGAGGTTCTGATCATTTTCATAAGGTGTCAAGTTCAAGTCCAAGCACAAACGAAACCTTTTGGTGGCATTAGATTTGGGCACAGCATGATCATGGTTTGTAAACCCATTATTTATTGCAGCTCTATGCTTTCTCATATGCCCTCCCAACGCTTGTCCAATTTCAAACTCAAGCCCACAAATCGGGCATTGGTGCACCTTTGGTTTCATAGTCGAACACGAAAGGTTTGAAGCCATGAGTTTTAGCTTCTTGTGGCTGGCTCGGTGGCCCCCAAGGGCTTGAAATGAAAGGAATTGCCTGTTACAAGTCTTGCACTGAAAGGCACCACCCTTTAAAACTCTATCCCTTGATGGGTTGGTGCAATTTTCACCAACTTTGGGCAGTAACATCAAACAATTAGCCATGTCTATGTCTCTGCCTCTCTTCATGGTTCGTGTATGTTAGTAGTGCACGAATAGCCTTGTTTGAATCTGCCTAATTGATAAAATGTTGTCTAGTGGGAAGGGAAACTAAAGGAATATAATTATTTGGAATTTGAGGACACTGCACTATATATGTATAATGTATAGGTTGAGGAGGGAAGTGACGCGGTTGAAGTGCAATAATTGCCTTTGCTTTTTCCTTTGCAGCTAAGGGATAGAAAACAGTGGTGTATTAACTGTAACTATGCATCAAGACAAGGGGCAATACGAGTTTTCGTGTTGGATGAATTGCTAAGAATAGATTGCGTGACCGCGTATGCATGGCCTATGTTTCTGTTTGTCTCTGTTGAAGAGTCCAATTGAAACTATTAGTGAGGGGAAATTACATGAAAATCACTATTTGTTGTATTCCTTTTTGGGAACACGTATTCGTTTTATTTTGATTTGGTTTAATGTTTCTAACTGTTATTGCATCAACAACTAATATATGCATAGTTTGTCTCTTTCTAGTGCAAGTTGACGCTGTCTTTTAGGTGAAAGTTTTTTTAAGCAAGTTGATGATAATCTATTATTAACCTAAATTTTTAGTGTTTAAGTTAAAATAATTAATGATATTAGTATTTTATTAAAAAATTATTATACTTTCATGTCTTTATATTCCTAGTCAAGCTGCTTAAGACCCTCATGAACAATTAATTTATTTAATATAATAAATATATTTTTAATATAAAAATAATATTTTAAAATATTTAAGTAAAAAAGACTGAGATTACCAAAATACTAAACTACATAAAAAATGTTCATACTGAACGTTTGAAATTTCAACAAAAAAAAACAAAGCACAGAACTGATTGATGGGCCTAGGTTAATCGGCTCAGGTCTTGCTTTCTGGCCCAAACCAAAAATACAATATTCAATTCCACACTTGCACTTAACGAGTAAATTTTGTGTACTATAGTATCTATTCTCTTACGGTTAATTTTATTTATTGGACTTTTTAAAAATTTAAATTAAAAATTATAAAAAAAGAGTAATATTATTTTATGAGAAAAAAATATGCACTCAAGAGTATTGGAATTTTTTTCCTACTTCACATTCTAGATGGGAGAATATGCTCCATTGTTTAGATTGAATGAAAAAAATGGACAAATGAAATTGCTGTTAAAAAATTATCATGCCCTATAATTGGTTAAAAAACTATTAATAAAAGCTATGGTATTGGTACAAATCACAAGTGTCGTTCTGGTCTCATATTTTTTTCTAAATGTTCCATAATGTATACATATCTTAAATAATTTGTCCAAGCATATTTTCTTATATTTGGATGTTGAATAATGAAATAACACAAAAAAAAAAAAACAAGGAAAAAGAAAGACAATAGAAGTTAGGAGAGCGGGGTATCAACTAGTGGCTTTTTTGATATATGTTTGAGGTTCTCTGACACCTTACAAAAATTAAGGTTTATGGCCAAAGGTGATCTCGTGAGTGGTTTGAGGCTACTTCGCTCCATTACTACTACTCACTTGGAGTTTGATTAGGATGACCATCCTTAGTCGTAAAGTTGGTCACTTTATCAAGCTATGATAACAATTAGTTTAAGAAAATAACATTGAAGACAAAAATTAATGGATCTCCAAAAATAATGCTATAACGAAATTTCCTACTAATCACTCACTTAATATTACAATTAATATCACACAAACACAAAATTAGGGTCAGAAATACCGCAGAGCTCGCCTATTAGAGGACAATGACAAGAAGGAGAAACCATTATCACAATACACTAGAATACAAGTCTTCAACTTGGAATCTCTCTCTTACCTGTAGTCGAACCACCAGGATTTGTGTGTGAACGATTACTAATATTCCATCTTGCAATAAAATCATGGTCCAACTATAAAATCAATATAAAGAGAGAAATTATATTTGTATGATATAAAGAAAGGGAAAAAAAGAAAAAAAATGTAGGACGATATCAATATTTAAAAAAGTAGTATTCTAATAAAATGACATTTAAATGATATACCTCATGTGAAAATGGTCTTGACTTCCTCCCTTAATAAGTAATTATCAGTATCATTGAGGTCGAATGTAGCAACTTTTCATTCTCCTACATTCTTATGCTGACAAAAGGACAAAAAGAAATCGAATTTTTGGTAAGTATCTTTATTCAAATGCATGCTCCCTCCCAAGTCCCAAGGACCCACCAAAACTCGGTGGTCAAAGTCACACTCACGCGTGCTTGAAACGGGCAAAGCCGAAGTGAAGTACAATACCCAGACAAGTTCATTTCCCATCTATCGAGTCAAAGGACTAACAGTGAAAAAGGATACAACAAATTAAATGGCAAGTTTTACTTCATTTTGTGCTTAGAGACATTATTATTACCTTGCAAATTGCAAGTTATTTGGAGAGGGTTCAACAATTTTTTAATAAAGCATTCTTTCTTTTCTTTTGTGAGTTTTATAGAAGAATGATGTTTAAATATTACTCACGTGGTGAGATCTAAAACTTTAATAAAGTATCCTAAAATGTAAATTAAAATAAAGGCAATTATCACTGCCACACGAGCCATATAACGCCAGGAAAGGAAACATAGACCAGCCGTTACAGGTACCTCACTTTAGACCAAAATGCACAAGGGCTACAAACTAGTATTTTTCATCTCTTGACGTACATGCCCTCCATGCACTAAAATGCCCCCTGCTTGATTAGTATCCTATCTCTATCCATTTTATACATTCTTCCACGCAGTTCGTTCTAACTTGATTTCTCTAAGCTTTTGTTCAGCAACAAACCTCCATCGGCAAGGTTTCCTTTCGTTTCATATTCACTCAATGTATCAATTTATTTTTGTGCTTCAAATCTTTTGCTCCCGTGTTGGCTACTGCTAACAATATGCATGGAAGCACCCTCTTCTTTCTTTGTTTGAAGTGTCTTGGACTTCCGCGGTATGCACTTTGCCCGCACGACTTCTCCTTCATGATCGACGATTTGCAACCGGGAACCGCTGCAAGGAGCAGAAGACAAGACAAAGTCCAAACTTCAGACAACATTATTGTTAAAGCAATTTATGACTGCTATAATCATATAATCAATTTTTTTTACATGTCATAAAATTACCAATCATAAAACAATTTTGTTAGAGATATTAATGCAAACAACAAAATTATATCACATTTTTTATAATATATTTTTTATTTCTTTTTCATCACATCACCTATCTTATTCCGTGTCTATCTTTCATTTATGTAAAAAATATATAAAAATATTGTATGAATAGAATTGCTCGTTTTATTACAAAATATCAATTATTACAGTTATTGAGTTATTTAATAACATGCCAAATCTCCCGTACATGATGATTAAATGATAGTATAAGCAGCAGTCAGTAAAAGCAATCAAAATAGTGCCCATGATATATGAATGTATTGACACATTGTTGCCCCGCGCCCCCAACCGAAGTTCCTATTTTATTTTCTCTCGATGCACCCCAGTTCCCGCTGTTTTCGTACTACTCTATAATTATAGGTGGCAAACTGGCATGTTAATTTATGATGAAAAGCGAGTGATCAACTCTTTGGATGCTTTAAATTGGACCCCACATACAGAAGTTGACAAATACTTAATGGGGCCAAATTGCCAAAATAAAAAAGACGGGTGCGAATAATTGCATCAATAACTAGCATTAAGATGTATATAATTTATTCACCATACACTACAAGATGGAATAGGGCAGTCACGCCACTGTCAACTATCAGCATCTCATGTTAGGGTACAAAACCAAATAAACCTAGGTGCTAGCTACTCATTTGTGTAAATTGAACAAATTTCACACTCAATTGTAGAGACATAAATCACACTATATGCGAGATTATAGTATTATAATAATCTGACCTACAAAATTGTATAGCAAAATAATATAAAATCATCTTCAACTTGAATAACATTTTTTATACGTCTTCAATCTCAAGATGCTTTATATGTGTCCTAAAAGTATTAACATATGCTCAACCCCGATTTTTATTATCTGTTCCGTTATTTAAATTACTAAAATTTGACACTAATGTACTAGTATAAACATCATTTTCATTTTTTTATATAACCTATGGAGCAAAACTGCATGAATGTCAATGTCCACAGTCTCCAACGTTGCTAATTACTAGGTACACAAAGACAGGCATGGATCGCAAACAACACTGTTTCACAAAGGAATTTACTAATAAGTAGCCTTAAAACATTTGTTCAAAAAATAAATGTATGAATAAAAATATAAGGTGTTGAATAAAAAAAATGAATGGACCATAACATGACATAACATACCTATCTGCATTGTAAGAAGAAGATCTTTTCAAACCAGGGGCTTCCACTTTTTTGGTTTCGATCAAACTCCCACTAAAATACTCTTTATCTTCCAACCTTACCCTGCTCAAATCTGGAATTTCCATTATTGTCCCAGCTTCCTTGCCCTCATGATTCCCTGCTCCGCGGGGCAACCTCGACTTGTAGTGCCCCACCAACGAGAACCCTTCATCTTTCACCGAGTTACCCTTGAAAGACACGGCACCGCACGATAACAACTGCAACAGAACCGATGAAGCCCTCATCCTCCCACTAGGAAAGCTCTCAGCCGCTAGATTTTCCTTTTCATTTTCCGAACATCGCAATCCCAGCCGTCCATCAGCCTTCATCAACGTCTCCAGCGTCTCGGGACTCGAATCCGACGGTGGAGGCGAGATCTCTTCTCTACTCAGTTCCGTACTCTGATTATGACACGTCCCGTGCGGAACCCTCTCTCCCTCCATCTCCACTTCAATTTCACTCTTCTCTTCTTCTCCTTCCTTTTCCCTCGCCGTCCTCCTCCGCCTCCGCTTGTCGTCCGTCTGAGTCGACGCGTCGGCGGCGATTTTCCCGGCCGAATCACCGAACGATTCGGACTTGTAAACTCGGTACTCGTTCAAGTCTATGGAGCTCCACGACTGGTTGCGCCGCCTGGTGATGACCACCGGAGAATCGGAATCGTCCTCGGATTTGTTAGACCTCGCGGCAGAAGCAGCGTGATCGAGAATCTCCGATCCTTTGAGAATGTAGTCTTGCCCCTGCGTGGGGTAGATGAAATCGTTCTCCGACAAATCGTGCCAAACGAAGCCGTTTTTGTAGCTCCTGAAACACGAGCAGCACCGTCAATAAGAGAAAAACTATTAAAACAAAATAGAATTGAAGTGGAACGAAAAGGGTACCGTTTGGCGGACCAAGAGTACATGGTGGCCATGCCTTTCCCGCGGAGAAGGTTCAAACGATTGATAACGTCTTTGAGGTAGAGCCCATGAGGAGAGGAGAGAGGAACCTCCATGAAATGAGGGTGCTCGAGTTGGCCATTCCGGGAGAGGTAGTAAACGACGGAGACTCTTCTGGGCGTTTTGGGCTTGGGCTCGGTCCAAACTTTGGTTCTTTCCGGACTTGTTTCTCTGTGTGTCCATTTCTTTGAGATTTGGGGGTCCGTCGTTATTCCTCCCCTGGAACTAGAAGTGAACGACATTTCTCTCTTCCTTTCGAAACCTGGAGTAGCAGAAAATAGGTAGAGTAATGAGGTGAAAGCGATGTACCTAAGCGGCGGGAAAATAGAGAGACGAATGAGAGAGAGAGAGAGAGAGAGAGAGAGAGAGAGAATTTGATTTTGAAGAGAAGAGGGGGAGTGTGGATATTTTAAGGGGGGAAGGTGTGGAGAGAGAGAGAGAGAGAGAATTCAAAATGGGATGCCAAAGACAACAGCTACCAAACAAGGAATGGCTGTTTGGGATTCAGGACTGCAACTCCTGTCACTGTGACAATATAATTCTCTTTACTGCTCCTTAGTTTATTGCATTTCCATTTCTTTTCCTTCAGGACGCACAAAAAACCAAAACGCCGTCGTAACCGCTTTCTTTACTCCTCCTCCCTGCCTTCTTTTTACTGCTACAAAATTATTACAATGTGGAGTTTTGTTCCTCGCGGGTTCTCGTCCAACCAAACTCTGACTTGTTAAATTTACGGAATATCTATTTCACAGTAAGTAAATTAGAAGCCTAAAGATACGAAATTCAGACAATTCCTTTTTTTATTTTTGAATAATACTGTATAGGCATTAATAACATCTCACGTACAGGTTTTATTATTAAATTATGATTGGTTTCTTTTCTTGTTGTGGTCCCTCAGTTTGATATGAAAATTGCGTTGGCGAATTTTCTATGGGACAAATAAAGTCTACGTCTATTTTGCTTTTCTTTTTCTTTTCTACGAACTTTCAACAACTTTCCTTGGAAAAATTGAAATGATTTTCAGCTGGGTTGACCGTTCAGACTAGTACGCGATTTACACCTAACTTTGACTATTGAGTTATGATAGAGCGGCTCTCTCCCGGCATCTTTGAAGTTTGAACCTTTTGAAGGCTAGTGAATTTCATGAGCCTAACATTTTTGGATTTATTGAATTCGACCTCATGAAAACAGGGGGTCCAATCTAGATGGCGCTTATTTATGGGAAGCGATCGTTGACCATCCCCAGTGGTCCCATTCCCAGTGCCATCTCATAGGCTCCTAAAAAGAAGATATACCCATCTATCGTATGAGCGTATACTAGGGAAGGATATTTTTAGGGGTAATTCAATTCATTATTAAAAAATGTTTCTTAAACATGAAGGGGATGTATATTAATACATTCTCTTAAAAGAGATAACGATGAATAACGCGATCTAACAAAAAAATGGTTAGAGATATTAGATTGATATCTGTATTGTCATGATATTTAACAATAAAAATAATGACTTGAATTTGTAGTAGATGGAGGGTACTGAAGATAAGTGACACTAACGTGAATGGCATGGCATTGGGTAAGGTAGCCCAGTCATTTGTTTATTATGAGCAATGGCGTGGACGAGGATTGGTAGTGTCCCTTTGCGTATATTGGATGGTTGATCACACGGTCGTCGTTTTCTGGAAGATAATTTCAAGAGAGTGAAAGGTGTCAAAGTGTGGTGACCCCACTGAAGCATATGCATGGATCAGAGAGTACAAATAAGCAATGTGTCGTTCATTTCCGACGAGGACGAGACTGAATTTTATAAATAAATTTGGATATTGGTGAGGTGTGTATAAATGGGAAATGGTCGGTTGGTCCAAGTAATCGGCACAACCGTCCAAATGGTGGATCTAAATTGGCATGAACAAAGTCATTGAAGAGCACATGCATTTGCCAATTCCCACCAAGCCCACAAGGCAATGGCCCCGATCTGACACTACCACCCTCTCAACAACGCTTATGTTCCCACCTGTTGACCCAGTACATCAATAACCATGCCAATTTATTTATTTCTGCATTCATAATTTTATACTGTCACAAGTTACATACATGTATGTTTTAAATTACTAATATGTGTTTCACATCTTAATACACAGTGGATGCGACTGAGAGGCAGCCACTGGAGAGAAAACACACTGATTATATTAATTCCTACAGCGATGCCAAATAATCTGGGCATATAGAGTGGCGATGAGAACAAGTGTCACGGAATTAGAATGGGCCCGAGATAAATGATTGTTAACAAAAAGGGCAATGGAATCAAAATGGCGTTTCAACGTTATAAGAGATTCAGCAATCCAACTTTTGTGATATAATTTATCATCATCATGGAAAAATTTTGAGGTGTGAACACGTAATCATGTGAGTTGGGTAAAGGATGTTTTAATCTCTCTCTCTTTTTTTTTTAATCATTGAGGAGGGTGTTTTAGAGTATGTTTGATCACTGTTTTGAAAATATTTTCTGTTTTTAAAAATAAAAAACTATTTTAAAAATAATAATCAAACATACTCTTAATCTTAAGCATTACTTTTCATGAAATGGCAATCTGAACTCTGAAACTCGTGTCATTTGTTTTCTATTATCGGGGCTAATAAGCCCAACAAAAGCATGCACTCGTTTCATATATGCTTTCTCATTTGATATTCTATTTTATACACTTTTTGGTCCCAATTATAAAGTCCCGCTGACGGCCCAAAGAGGAAAAAGCCCGTATGTGGCTGGACAATCTACTCTTACACTAACGAGTATTTCTAGGTTCCAATGACGAGGAAAGGGAAGGTAAAAATATCTCTTAACATTCTTGATGATATGTTCATTTTTTAGAAAAGAGAAAGATAGAAAGAGAACAATATTAAAAAAAAAAACAATAAATGTGACAAGTGATGTGAATGGAAAGGAAAAAATGTAGAGTGAATATAAAAATTAAGATGTAAAAAAATCAACTTTATTTTTTGGCAAAAACATATGAGTAAGAATTTTTGTCAGGTAGTGATAGCATTAGCATTGTTACGATAGGGTGAAGCCCTCTTGATAGATAAAGAGTGTTAGAATATAGTTTATAATATTTTCTTAACATATATAAAAATATGAGTAATAATTATTAAAATAGAAGACTGATCCACATAATTTTTTAATGTTTAATAAATTTTAATTAATAATAAAAATGTGTTTAAAAGGGTGGCAATTTTTCTTTATCGGGCATAGAGAGAATAATAATATGCATGACTGTTGCTTTCAAAATATCAACACATGTAATTTGCTTTTGAATTTGCGGGCTGAGTGCAAATGCTTCATCACCCACCATTGCCCACCTCATATGGTTCCAACCAAATTTTTTCTCTGTGAGAAATGACGAATAGTTACACAACCAATTATTCTCAAGCAACCCGTAAAAAAAAACGAAATTATTCTCAAGCATCAATAGTGCAGAGGAAAGTGACCCATTGGGAGAAAATAATTTGGCTTTTCAAGTCTTCTTATCCAAGAAAACTAATATTGATGATGATCACAGTGATCATAGTCCCTTCCGCTATAATCCCAAACGGGAACTTTGATTACTATAATTATCCAATTACTCTAGTTTGCTTGTTATGATGCTTTACGAATCGTGCTCGAACTTGTTCGGAATCATGTTCAAATTTGTCACGATGGAAACTATGGTTTGTGTCATCTGTTGTGCGGTAGTTCATGTGTACGATAAAATTTAATGTGCAACTTTCCAACAAGGATAGCAGAACTTTCTGATTGCATACAGCATCTCTCTAATTTCGCTTATTTTATTACTGCAAAGAAAGTTCCCATTCTTTAATTACTTTAAACTTCTAGTGTGGCTCCAAAAGCGTAGCATATATTCATTCATCTATGATCAAACCATCTGAAAAGAAGGTGGGCTATATTCTATTTTTTAAGGATGTTAAAAAGAGTTTATGAAAAATTTATAACTTGACTAAGCTATATTTAACTTATTTTGATAATTTTTTAGTAGATACTATCAAAATAAATTACTTTTAATCTATTTTAATAAATTTTATTATCATTTATAACATAAAGTATAGTTTTAAAAGAGTTTATTAACTAAACTCTCAATCAAATACTATTTTTAAAGACTCCCATACTATGATGATATTTTTTATTTTTTTTAAATTTTTATTAACCTTTCTTAGGGTTCAGTTTCAACATATAAAAACAATATTTTTTATTTAAAAACATAACATTCATTACACTTTTTATATTTTTAAAATGATAAATATTTTAATTTTTAATAAAATTTTACTACTTTTAAATATTAATAAATATTTTTCTACTTTTTTTTTATTTAAACACTTTTAAGATTCAGTTTTCCAGGTGATTACTTTAGAGACCAACCTAATCTGTGCATGATAAGTTGCGTGTGCTATCCACTATGTTTTTTTAAGACTAAGAAATTCGTTGAAGATTAAACAACAGCTAAAGCCAATAATTTATCATAGTTTAAAATGGAGGGGATATATCATGCAATCTCATACTCCCATTGGCTTTCTTGCTAAGTAGAGTATAGGGAATGTGCAAGAGCTCCATGTGTTTGAACCTTCTCCACTTGTGCTAGTTCTTTTTTTGGTCCTACCCCTTTTGCTAGTTTAATTTGGTTTGATGCTTATGGGGTCTCCTTGTTATAATTGATTTCAAGGACATCTGAACAAAATATAAAGATTATGTTATTTTCAATTCCTAAACAAGTTATGAGCAATCTACATATATGGTAAGAACATGAATAGAAAAAACAATGTTCGATACGGTCCATAGTTGTGGGATTCTTTTTCTGAATTCGTGTGTGCTTTCATGTACAGTTGCATCACCACCTGATGCTTAAATGTAGTACACAAAAAAGACCAAATTTTGAGTTCTTTTCTTCCAAAGGAAAACCCAACACGTAACAACATTATAAAGCGTATCGCATTTTTTATATTATCGTGCCATTAAAATAAATATAGTCCAAGAATGTCCAAGTCCACGCCACGTGGAGACAAAATAAATCCATCAACTAGATTGAATGAGAACACTTCCACCAACGATAGGGGCAGATTATGGTGCTCAACATCTAATAAACTTACATGAAATGTATTAATCGTTAAATCATAAATATATATTATCTTAAATATTCGAGTAAATCTTTAGTGGCAAGTTACTGTTGTTGCTTGATCTTCTGAATTAGTTTATTTATGATTAGATATTTTTTATTTCTTATATTTTTTTAAAATATGTGGTAATCTTTTATTAATTTTTCTCAAAAGATATTAATAACACATGCTTTTAAAGGCTAAAAATAAAAATTAATTAAATAAGACTAATTTAAGAATAAAAGAATTGTTTAAATTTGTATTTATTTTATTTAGAAAGGAACACATGGGACCCTTTTCATTATCTTCTAATAAACCGTTAAGGGCTCAAGAGAGAGGCAGAGGATAAATTAAATTAAGTGGTCTACCCACAAATTGGTGGCATCCACGTCACTAGCCCATCTTTTTGGCTACACTTTGAATATATTTCTCCACTAACACACCTCCCCAATCTCAAATGATAGCAAGTATTCCAATTCCATGCTACAATTATTCCAATGGAATTTGGTTACAAATTTGGGTTAGTCTTAAAGATAGATTTTTGTTTATTTAATATATTTTATCTTAACAAAAATCGATCATTATATATATATATATATATATATATATATATATATAGAGAGAGAGAGAGAGAGAGAGAGAGAGAGAGAGAGAGAGAGAGAGGCGGATTCATACACACCTTGAGTCTAAGCAAAATATAAGGTGTAATTTGCAGAAAAATAAATGAACCGCATGATAATTATTACTAATCAAAGATCCCTCGTCATTATGATAGAATCTCTCTTTAACCAGTTGATCGAAGAGGACGTTAGTGTATCTTTACTCTCTTGTTCTCATGAACTAATTAAAGTGAGGATTGAGGAATTCATTGTCCCTACGAGATTTGCATAACTAGTTATTTCATTATTTAAACCATTACTTTATTTTCATAATTTTGAGAAGCATATATGATAAGCACGTGTAATTTTAAAGAGTAATTCACCTTCTTTAATTGTGACATAAAATCATCACAAAAATTTATTAGCTCTGGATTTTTGGCACTAAAATAAAAGCATTTCCAGCATTTTCCTTATTAAAAATCCATTTGTTGCGTAAAATGTCTTCAAATTATAACATCGACTTTTAATTTAAAACAAGAAATATATGAATTTTTTTTTGTTAACCTCATTTTTAAGAAAGAAGATAAACAGCTAATAATAATAAAATTTTATTAAAAAATAAATATTTATTATATTTTTATAACTTCAATAAAATAACTGTGTATTTTTTCATAAATATTTTCTATTTGTGGATACTTAAATCCAATCCTAAAAATTGAAGTTAACAAAACTTATAAAAAAAATAGTTTTATTTTATTTTATTTTACATATTTTTTAATAATCTTGTTATATTGTAAAATAAGTAGTAAATAAGTAATTTTTTTATTTAATAATGAAGAGAATTTGTAAAAATAAAAGATTTTAATTATTTTAAAAAAATTACTTCAATCAAAAGTGGAAGATGGTGTAATTGAACTACTAAATTAAAGTAACAAATTGACTTTTATTTGAAAAAAGAAACTCCTCTCACCACAAAATATAGTGAGTGACCTGAGTGGTGTTAGTGCAATAGCATTCAAATGATGCCATATTCCACTCTACAAATCTACTTATCATGCTGTTAATTACTAATTCATGAATGATATTCACCAATTTGACATTTGTCGAATCACACAGAAGCAGGCCTGCATTTTATATCCAATTAGAATAATTTGAGTGTCTCCTTAGCATAGTTTAATTTACACATCCACTTAGTTTCAATATGCAACCAATGTCGGATCCATTAAATTATTATTTAAAGACGATATTAAATATGATTTTTTTAGTAAACTGAATAGTTAAGATTATGACTGGTTATAGTATTGATCCATTAAAATTATTAAATATTATTTAAAAATAATAAATATAAACATTTTAATATGATGAATAGTTATGATTATAATTCTAGATATGATGTAATCTTCAACTGCAGAGGATTCTGAGAAGCATGTAAGAACAGTTAGTGTAGACGAGCTATTAATTTACTTCAGATGGCAAACATTCCTCTGCCTGATTAGTTTTTGTTCCTTCCTTTATTTTTCCCCTAACTTGGCGAGGCACGTGCAATCCAACACCTGAAATCCCCGTGACTTTATCCATCTATTTATAGGAAGTTATGTTAATCATGATTCTTAATGCTAAATTTAACTATTTAAATATTATAATTTTTAAATAAAAATATAATAAATTTTTTTACTAAAATATTATTATTATGGTTAATTACCTAAATTTAATCTTAAATATTTAAATAAACTTTTTTAATGTGTATTTCATGTTGAAATTTGGTTATTTTGTGAATTGGAAATGCCTAAAGTGGACCGACATGGCTGCTGGAACACCAAACAAACATCTGCTTCCGGATTCTTAGTGCGGCACAAGTGACAATTTTTCATCTGAATTATTCACAATAGCTTCTGGCATTTTCATTTTATATTATGAGGGCAAAGATAGTCTATAAGACATCTCAATGATTTCTTCCTATTCTCCACTTCTAAAGTTTGATTTGTCTACTTCGACTTTTTCTTTTTGGAAGACCTGGGCTTCCTTATTTTTATAAAGTAAAGGGACGCAACATCGATCATCAATTTGTATAAGAAAATCAAGTTGATCCCTGAAATCATTTTCCTCCACCCATTCACTTGTGAGATCTGTTCTCTATAGTTTTATAAACCTTTATTTTGAAGCATATACCCTTAACTAAATATAACCATGTTCTTCTAAATTCGCCTGATAAAAATATTATCACTCTTCAAATCAATGCTGTCATATATTTCCACTTCTGTCATTTTCATCTAAAATTAATGAATGGATGGGATTAATCACGGAAGATCAAATTATCTGGGCTGTGTTTAAAAACACAGCTTATTTGCTTATTCAATAAATTTGATAATTTTCTTTTGCATGAAAGATTATTTTATAGCTTGATTATAAAAATCATTATAATAAATTACAAAAAAATACTTAGTTTAATAAGTTGTTTTAAAAATTTTATTAAAATAAATTAAAAAATTTATAAACTATAACCTAAATTATTCGAATGCATGTTTATAGCAAAAGTGTGATTATGACAAATCTGTGATGGCCCATGTAGGGGAAAGAATAACAATATCTGTCTCTGCTGAACCCCATAATGGATCAAAAGTAGTAAGAATGTTTCATCAAACACTCCCATGGGTAAACAATAATGATTAAGCAGTGGATGTAAGGAAAAGTAATTTAATCCTGAAAGTTACAACGACATATTGATCAATACCCTTGATTATTTCCATGGTAATCGGTGACGTCAGCGTGCATCCAGAATTGTCCATAGCAAAGGATGAAAGAGCATGCGTGCACCACATGAACGGTGGATATGCAAACTTGCTTATTATAAAAATAAACCACATAGATTGTGAGTAGTGACAAAGCACGTATAAATAGAGCTAGTACTTGCATAGGTGCCCGTAAGCCCATCAAGTGAACAAAGTAGAGTTTCTTTCCTAGAGGGTGTAAAAGAAAATGGTTCAACAAGAAATCCGAAAGGGTCCATGGACAGAACAAGAGGACTTCAAATTGGTCTATTTTGTTTCCTTATTTGGAGACCGTAGATGGGACTATTTAGCAAAGGTTTCAGGTTTGAAGGTGGAGGGAGACAGTAAATAGGTATGGACATGCTAAGAAGCACCCTTTAACTACCTCACTTTGTTGTAGGTTTGAATAGAACAGGTAAGAGTTGCAGGTTACGGTGGGTTAATTACCTGCACCCTGATCTCAAACGAGGGAAGCTGACACCCCAAGAAGAGCACCTCGTGATGGAGCTTCACTCCAAATGGGGAAATAGGTTTGATAACATGTAGATATATTATTATCATATAGTTGTAGTTTCTGCGCTAAATTTATATTTATAGGTATTTTAACGTTGATCTAAATACACTACGGCGACTTAGGCTCACAATTTTAATTTAATTTTTTTCTTACTCAACACTTTTTTACATTATTTTCACCTTATTTTGTTAATTTTTTCATGGAGTGACTTTGAATTTCGTTGCTTACTCAGATTCACATATACCATTTTATCTTTGATGATCCCATGCAGATGGTCAAGAATTGCTCGTAAACTACCAGGGCGAACGGATAATGAAATTAAGAATTTTTGGAGGACCCACTTGAGGAAAAAGAAGGCTCAAGAGAAAAAGCGAGGAGAAACTGCATCACCTGCATCTTCTAGTTGTCAATCTTTACTGTCCTCAAACAATCATGTTGTGGATTATTCACATGCTTCCAAAAAAGCTGGAGAAGAAAGCTTTTATGACACTGGTGGAGTAGATGGTGAAAAGGGGTACTGCTACTCTATGGATGATATATGGAAAGATATTGCTGAGTCAGAAGAGAACATTAATCTTCAACCTCTAACACCTTCTCCAACATGGGCACATGCTATGGGTGATGGATGAAGAAGAAAGTAACAAGATGTTATTCTCTATAATGAGTGACCAATATTTTTCTTGCTATGAACAAGACAAGCATTTCTAACCGGCTAATTAGGATTCTTTTTCCAAGTATCAATATTTTGTTCATACGTGTGTCATCTATCATAATAAGAAAGCCTAATATGTATAGCATAGCATCTCTCTGAGCTTTCACCATGGTTCTTCATAGTGTGACATAGCTGTAATCAATTTCAAGTGTGACTGTAGTTTATGTCAATTAACGTTTATGATTTTACTTTAAAAAAACATCTAATATGAAGGTGTTAAGTGTGTTCTGAATGTAAAATATTAGATACTAGTTTGTTCAATTATATGTTTTAATCAGATTTAGATATCTATCAATTAGCATTTTCATTTTAATTATATATATTAAATTATTAACCGCCACTAGCAATAATCCACACGGCTTTCCAATCAAAATCGTATTAGATGCACGGCACACAGATCAAACATAAGTCAACGTGTGCATCAACAAATTTATGGTTCAAGTTTATTATGAGAAAATCATTTTGTTCCATAATTAATTTATAGCTCTGCTATTTAAATTACTAAAAATTAATAATATATGTGATATTGTACATAATTATATATATATATATATATATATCAAAAATATACTTTCAAATAAAAAATACCTGAAAATATCTCTTAAGGTGTTCAACAAATATTTATCATTAATTTATACCGGTTATATTTTTCAGTTTGCTTTATTATACAAGTGTGATACTGGGGATTGCTGATTCGGTTTGTTGAGAGTGATCTCTTTAATATCCTATATATGTTCATGCAACAATAGAATAGAACACGGCCTGCTTGATTGTCAAAATAATATAATGTGTTTAATTGGTTTTCTCATCTTGAAATTATTCTGAGTTAAAATTTAAAGATTTATATTTATTAATATTTGGAATTCAAAGGTGTGATTTGGTACTGTTTTATTTAACAGAAATAATAATTTTTTAAAAATGCCTCAAGAAATTAACCCAAAAAATCCAATATTTCTCAATGAATAATATTATTCCCATTAAAAAAATTTGAAATATTTTTCATCACTAAAAAAGATAAAATAATATAAAATAAGAAGTATAATATGACAGGGAAGGATAAAAAAATTACTATAGAAGTGTTATGAGACCATTTTTTTTTTATTAATTATGATGATTTTTAATCTTTATTAAAAATTAGTAGTTTGATCGAATTAAAATAAAAAAAATATAATAATAGATTAGAATATAATAAAAAAATTAGAATTAAAATTTCAAAGTATTAATTTTATCTAATTTTTATTATTTAATTATAATTAATATTTCTTTGTTATCCATTTATTTTAAAGTTTACCGTAGATGCACCCTATCAGAAAAATACAACTGATCATACAGCAACAGAGAGAGAGAGAGCGATTGGCAGGGCGAAGATTCCGAAGAGCATATCCGTAAACGAGAAATCGAGAATGCCTCGTATTTCGACACTCTATCTTCCCGCTTACAACTCTTTTCAGGCAATTGGATGGTACCCTCTTTCATCTCATCTCATCTCATCTCTTCTCCATTTCACTCTCTTACGCTCTATATCTCGCAGGACACTTTCCTTAACTAAGATTTTGTTCAATCTTCTCTCCACTGCCTCCCTCAACGGAACTTACGCTTCCGCCGGCAACTTAATCTGTCAGTTTATTCCTAAACTCGTTTCGCGCTTTCCCCTTCAATACATCGTGAAAACAAACAAATATAATTAAAATAATGTATTTATTTACCTTAATTGTATAATTGGGTCTACTTCGTTATTTGGTTGAAGGTTTTCTACAATGCGCTGCATTTTTGGAAGTTATACACGGAGCCATTGGTGGGTTTTACTTCTATGAATGATTTAATTAACTTCTAAGCAGAGCATGATTTTACTTTGAATTTTAACGCACAGGTTGTGGAATTAATTTCAGGCCTTGTGCCCAGTGGAGCGTTGCTTCCTCTTATGCAATGGGGAGGAAGGACCCACTTTGTGCTTGTTCTTGTTGCAAAACTTGATGAGGTTTCACTTTAATTTCTTGTCCACTAAAATAGATTTTTTATTATTATAAATGTTTATTTGTTATATTTTTGATGTAATAAGTTTTATTAAATGTTTTACTTTTTTATTTAATATTTTTAATTTTTTCTATTCTTTAACAAGTGTGGCATACGTTGGAAAGATTCATTTAAATGATATATTCTATTTCTGGCTACTTTCATTTGCATAATCTCTTGTTTATGCAATTATTGACATTTGACTATGAGACATATGCTAACTCTGGCCTCTTTTTTTGTATGCTTTCTGTAGCTCCAGGAGTTACCTTCAGTTTTTATTACTTTTCTTGCTTGGAGCATAGGTGAGGTAAATGTTGTTCTTTTAATTTATTAGCATTACCTTGCTGTTTAAACAGTTGACTTACAAAACCATTTACAGCAACAATTTATGATATGTAGTATGAAGGAAAAGAGAAACTTAATCTCTCTTTGTTGAGCAGTAATTGGAAAATGGCTTGTTAACACATGATAAACTCACTGTTCTTAACAGATATTTAGCATTTTGGATTTGATTTCACTGTTAGTGTTCCTGAAATCCATATTTCATGCCTTCTATAATCGATACTGTAATATATTCGTGGATTTGATTTGTTCATGGTTTGTACTGTGGCCTAGTTTTTTTCTTCTACTACACTAGTGGTTTGCTATGTCTGTAATCCACGTAAATTGTAGTATAAAAGAAATATCAATTTCCAAATAAGAAAGATGATTGTGCTGCAATCTTTGGGGATGCAGATTATTAGGTATTCACATTATGCTTTCAGTTGCTTGGGAAATTGTCCTTCTTGGATCACCTATCTTAGGTATTTTTCTATCTTATTCGATGTTCTATTATATTAATTAAATACTCTTTTCAAGAATATGCTTGTTGCTTTATCTTTTGATTAGGTATACAGCGTTTATTGTTATCTATCCTTTGGGAGTGGGCCCTGGTGAAAGTGAGTTCTTATATCAATATCTCCCCCCTATCTAAATTTTGTTTTTGAATGAATTTTAAATTAATTATACTATCGTAATGATTTCTCATCCATTCCTTTCTTATTCAAATGCCATCACAGTTTCATAAACTAATGCAGACTGATCTGTCAATATGATGCAGTATGGTTTATGTACCAGGCGCTTCCAATTGTAAAGAAGAAGAATCTCTATGCAGATTCCTTTTCAGGCCTCCCATTTAGTTATTATGATTTCCTTAAGGTAAGTTTTTATAAGTAACCAATATCCCATAACCTCAAATAGAGTTGGTTGTTGGTATCAATTATTTATGAATTTATTTGGTTCTCCTATTATAAGGAAAAAAAAAAGAGCTTAAAAATAGTTGTGTTAATACTCAATGTTGTGAACTGACTTGTACAGCACATGGAAACTGGTTTTGGCTGAATCAATGCCTTTTTGTTCCTTTTCAATTCAATTCTGTTTATTTCTAATTTATCTGCATCTGTAAATTGTTTATTCTTTTAATCTATGCTCCATTTCTCTCAATCAGGTTGTACTTGTAGTTTATCCCTTCCTCTGGTTCAAACTTTACCTGCATTTGTTCAAGCAACGGCGTACGAAACTTTATAAACGCCATGACAAGAAAAGTGCATGAGAAACATTACTCTTGGTTATGGATATTGTATTGTAATTTATGAGCTTTTATTTTTAATTCCGCACATGAAAATAGTGTTTTGTTAAAAAATTAAGATGATAACTTTCTGTATGTGGCACTGGAGACATTCTGATACTTATTTATTGCGTCTAAATTTTTTCCTTCGACTGGAGAATAGTGCCAAATAATGGAATTGTTGCTTGCAATTAAGGTTGTAGTAGGAGCTGGAAGAAAGTGATTATTTGTAATATATTGCCTGCAGTATCCTGTACAGATTTCTGCACCGTGAATTTATATTGACATATACCTTTGATGGATAGATATTTTGAATTTGGAACCGAATCTGAATGTGTTCATATCAGTACTGAAACCTGTATAATGCGATTGTCTCCGTAAAAGAACTTGGTATTGTCTCATCTTTCAAATATTATTATGAAAAAAAGTATTATTATAATTTGAATATAACATCTTTGCTTAGATTTGTCTGCAATTATGTTTTTCTAATAAAGTTTACAAGAAATTAATATAATTATATTTTACTTAATATATATTGTATTTATATATTATATTGTACGGTAATCTGAATCCATGTCCGTACTATATTGCATTGGTTAATAATGTTAGCTCGTTTACAGTATGGATTAGGTGCTGTCTTGTTCTGAAATTTTGCATTTTGACTTGCTTGATAAATGATCTTGAATTTGAGGATTGTAACTAATGTTTATTGTTCATAGATTCACGTTGTTTCTTTTGGTTGTTTGACATAGGCTTGGAGTGTAAGTGAAGCAATTGTAAACATGATAGCAAGCAGAGATAAAATATGGTTAAATGATCTTAATAAGGCTTAGATGTGATCATTACTTAATAAATGATCTTATATAACCGGATAAAGATAAAGGAAATCAAGATTTGGAAACAACACCAGAGAAGTTGAGTCCTAATAATCTGTGACAGGTATCTGTTCATAAGAATTTGGGGCGATGAAGAAAATCTCATAGACAACCGCAGCAATAGCAGAACCAATTAATGGGCCGGCCCAGTATACCCAATGATTAGCCCATTTCCCGCTAACAACAGCAGGTCCAAAAGAAACTGCTGGGTTCATGGAAGCCCCATCAAAGGCACCACCTGCCAAGATGTTTGCACCCACAATAAAACCAATTGCAATTGGAGCAATTATGCCAAGGTTACCCTTCTTTGGATCCACTGCAGTGGCATACACTGTGTAAACCAAACCAAAAGTCATCACAATTTCAAAGACTAATGCATTTGCTGGTCCCACCCCTGAAGACAATGAGAACGCAGTCGTTTCCTGCAATGGACACCCAAAAGAAGGCAAAAACATATTAATAAAATTATCATGACTTTCTTCATTTTAGAATGAATGACTGAATAAATCTCTTACTCTTAGTAATACATCAAATTAAACCCTAAAATTATAAATTGATTCAGTCTTTAAAGTTATAAAAAATTATTTTAATTTTTAAAATTATTAAACATAGATCATTTTAGTCTTTATGTTTTAAGAACTAAATTAAAATCATTCATAACTTCATAAACTAAAATGACCATTATTTTAAATACTAATTTTAGTCCCGTAAATTATGATTTCAATCACTTTATTTTTTAATTTTACAAAAACCTTACATTAATTCTTAACTTTACACCACAGCATTAATTTTAGTCCTTTATAATATAAAATGACAATGAAAAATAAAGTAAAAAAGTAAAATTTTAATAAAATTAGAAATAAAAGTCATCAACGGTTACAATTTTAAGAGTTAAAATACAAATTTTAAGTTTAAAGAGTAAAATAATATTTTTATAATTTAAAGTACTAAATTGATTAAGGCTGTAATTTGAAGGATTAATTTGACATTGTATTCCATACTTACCAGTCCACCAGTGGCAAATTTAAGGAGCAAGCAAGCAACGACAGAGCCAAGCAACTGAGCAATCCAATACAAAATGCCTCTAAGGAGGGAAATGTGGCCACCAATAAAGGCACCAAATGTGACAGCAGGATTAACATGCCCACCCGATATGTTAGCACCAATAGAGACCGCAACAAAAAGAGCAAAGGCATGAGAAAGTGATGCTGCCACCACCCCAGCTGCTGTTGCTGAACCATTGTTTGTGAGCTTGTCTGAAAAACACCCATTTTTCATATCATAAGAGTTACTTTTTGCATGGTTCAAATTGTCTATGTTACAAAAGTAGGAAAAAGTTTTGAATGCTTTGGACCACAGTCCTGACTAAATATTATGTCATGTATATATAAATTTTTTAATTTATAAAAATAAAATACATAAAAATATGCAGTGATGATCTCAAATTATGCAATAACTGTTGCAGAAGAAGAGTTGTGAACAAGTTAGATTAGGCCCTTACTATATGCCATGCCACAGCCTTCCCCTGCAAAGACAAAGATGAGCATTGAGATGAACTCAGCCAGAGCAGCCTTAAGCGCTTCAGCTTGCCCCAACTCTGATGGATTTCCAATGGCAATTCTAGAAATCGGCATTATTTTTTTTTAATTTGCTTTAAGACTTCAAGCTTAGAATGATAATAATATTAATAACAATGGATTATGTGTTTAGTTATTATGTTGGCTAAGCTTCTTGATCTAACCTTTGCTCAAATGCTGTTTATATATAGCAAGAACAGTGTTGCATTAACGTTGTTTAATTATTATATTCTCATTCTCACTTTCTTTTTATATATTTCTTATATATTCTTTAATATTAGATCGTTCTCTTTTTTTCACCTACTATTTTACACCTATTTAATGGGTGAATAGGAATTATTTTCCTTTTCAAAAGAGTAGGTTGGGGACCTCCGGTTTGTTCCCGTGAAGACACGTGTACGATGTGATGTGATGTTTTCGGGCTGAAGCACCGACCGATGACTAATTCGTGGTGGTGGGTTCTTCAATTAACTTTAGGACCTACCGACCTAGGATTGTTTACATGGCAGTGACGTGGACTGGACATTGCCAACGTCGGCTACTTGTACTGAATTCATTATCATTACTTACCTGTTGTTGCCTTAATCATTGTTTGTTTTGCAAAAACAGATACTAAATGTGTTTGGTGAAGAAGATGAGTGAATAGCTCTAACGATTCCACGAACATGGAGATGATGGTTGTTTTTTCCACAGCTTCTTCCTTAGCCATAGAGTAGATTTGGCCTCCGAAATGAATGACCTGTAACATAAGCGTCGTGCATTCCTTGGAAGGTTTCCTTAATGTATATTTTGACCGTAAAAAGTTGTCATGTTTATTACCCTCCAAAAAGAACAAAACCACAAGTAGAGTGTTCGGTTCTGTGTTAAATTCTCTTAAACGTGTATCTATTTTAATGTTATAACATACACTTAAATGTGTATCTATTTCAAAACATTATTTTATTAGGTTTCTAAACATGCAAAATATAAATTGTGTTGTGATATGGGGTCACTATTCACTGTGTTATAATTTACATTAGTTTTAAGTTTTAGTTATACGAAATTAAATGACTGCATTTAAATTGAAATGATCATCCAGACGTATCAGAAGTTACTTCGTAAATTTAATTAGTTATACTGAAATTTTGAAATCAATTTCACCTCAATTTGGAACTAAAGTGGTTTCAAAGTCACGCATGCACATCACGATTTCACATCTTTGATAGATTAAAGTATTTTTAAACACACCACAAACATCCGTACCAACAAGAGATGTGATTCTGTATCATATGGCTACGAAATCACGTGTATAAATAAACAAAATCAATCAATATTCATATAACATAGGAATCTTTATGATTCAGTTGCGCAATTTTATATATTTTTAAATTCTTACTCTAACCAAATTTTTACTAACTTAAGCATTGAAGTATTTTTTGTAGGACTATCTCTAGAGCTAGTTCACGACCTAAAACTACGTTAACTATTATCTAAAGTCTCTAGTATCTAAAGAACTACTCATCCTGACAATTTAGTATGTATCAGATATATTTTGATAATATTTTTTACGGATCGGATTGAGTTTAAGCTTTGTTTTGTCATGAAAAAACAAACATCAATTTACAATTTAGAAAAGTAGGTGCCCAAAAAAGTAGGTAGCTTTGGGAGATGATGAGATTTCGTGGGTTCAATTTGAATACCTATGTGATATATATTGTGGTGCTCGTGCATCGAACTTGCCATTCAATTTGTTTAAAATAATAATAATAATGTTATGGTTTATCGGTTAAACCTAAGCCTCTTATGTAACTACTGCTAACTGCTATCATATATATATATATATGTAGTGGATCAAAAGCTACAAGTAATTAATTACAAAGAGTACGGTCACATGGCCTCATCTACTCCCTTTTCTGGCCCCTTCAAAATTGTCTTAATTTGGGAGCTTATCTGCTCTATTTCTTTAGTATGGACGGCTTAAAGGGCGAATACTAACCAAGTTGGCACTTGTCTTTGTTCAAATATTGAAATGATAAAGAATAAAACAATAGCTTGACCTCTAATAGAGCAAAATATTACCAGTGTAAATTAACAGATTTCAGGGGATGATTTCAAGCCACAAGTAAAGTGTAAGTTAATGGATTTCAGATAATTATTTCAAGCCACATGTAACTATGTAAGTAGGAAAAATCAGAGCTTTAATAGACAGTGACGATCATGCTCTGAGAGGTCAAGCTATTGAACGTGCTTTCCCGTGATCCCGCAAATTTTGTTTTTCATGGAAGTGTGAACTCTCTCTCCGACACTAATGCGTTTATTGCCAATTTTTTCTTTAAATTATATGTTTTATTTATTAATTTCATTAATAAAGAAAATATATCTTTCATAAAGTTTATTAGAATAAAAGTAACAATAAACATGAGACTAATAAAAGATTATTTTTCCATGTTTCCTAAGCAAAGCCGATTCCCTAATATTGAAATGTCGATAGAGATAGCAATAGGTCGTACTAAATTATGCTTTATAAGACTCGAGCTTTAGATAATTGAACAATTTGCCTGATTTGAGTTTTTTCCATTTTAAGATTTTACGTCGCCTCACAGCTTAATTAATAAGTTAAAAAATTCACCTTTAAATAAGATAATAAATCCAAACTTAAATTGACGAAGTTAAAATTTTAAATAGACTGATTAGTACATAATATTAAAACAACATGTTAAAAAATATAATGTAATAATTTTATTATTAAAACTGGCCTAAATACTAATAATATTATTATATATTATCTATTTAAACATAAACAGATCAATCTTCATAACTTGGCTTTAAAAATAGCGTCAAACCTAAGAGTTTCAAAAAGAAACAAAATTGATGTACAATTCTTTAAATATCTTTTATATTATTTTCTATCAAAATTAAAAACTTATCTCAATAAAAAGTGAATATTTAATGTTATCATAAATTATTAAAGTAAAACTCTAATTTTAATTAAAAATAATATTTCAATTTACTTTCTTGAAATAAAATCAATTTACTAAAATAACCCATCCTACAAACTTATCAAGTATAAAGGAATTTTGTCCAAAAAGTTCGATAGATTTTGCTAAAATGCTCTTTCTACTCTATAGGCCAACTCGTGTGAACAAATTCCACTCATATAGAAGTGCCAACAAACAAGTCATCACTAACAAGAAGCCTGCTTAAGAATTTAAAATTTCCTTATTAAGAATAAACAGATTTGAAATGATGTTGTAAAAGTTTGGATGTGGTTGGTTTACTTAGAAAAACATATGGACAAAAAATGGGATTAACAATGAATCTGAACACTAAATAATTTATGTATTGAGATATGAGTCATGCTAATTATTCTTTTTCTTCTTTTTTTTTCCCTTAATTTAATTTTCCTAAACAAACAATTGGTGGTCAATTAGGCCTTAAAATACGTGAAAAGCCAGGAAAGATGAAGTTAAGTATGAGTTTTGATAATATGATAACTTATACTGAGATCCAGATTTGTTACATACAACGATGATTGAACATATCATACAAAAAGATAACCCCATGAAGTACAATGCAAATCTATTGAAGCAACATACAGGCATGGTCATTCACGTGTCATAGCCACCACTCCCGAGCACATAGCTCACCTTGGAGAAATATCACTTTTCATGATCCTCAGTTTACAAAAAATTCTAGAAAATTAACAACTACATACACACACACACACACACACACAAATCTAATTTTAAATGCTTCTGCTTGTCTGAGTTTGAATTCCAAAAGTAGAACCGCCTCTGAATATGGTTGCAATTGGAATCCTTACAGTTATATTTTGTCTACTCCACTGTATTCTTTTAATCAATAACGCCACTTCTTTCTTTGCCTAACTCTATATTACTAAGATTTTCTTATGCTATCATTTGTCAGAGATTTTCTTAATGACAGAAGAAAATGCAAAGAAAGACTAAAAAAGATTGGGTCTCATCCGCTAGAAAGGTTCAGCAGGAAGAAGCAATGGAGAGAAAAATGGAAATTTCATCAACAATTTTTGGGCCAAAAGTCAATAAATCAACTTTAATTAAGGGTACTAGATATTTTAATGGAGATCAAAATTGAGAAGGAACATGGAAGAAAATTTGATTTTTTGCTATTAAATTTTAATATTTCTTCAGATTTAGTATATCCACAAAGGCCATCAAAGAACAGAAAGCCTATTCATGATACTAAAGAAATTCTATACATACCGACTTACTAAGTGAATATCAAATAGTAATAAACTTCAACAAGTAAAAGGTACACTATTTTTCCCAAGATTATGGTCAATGTATAACATCAGAAACTCTGCGTAAAATGAGTATTACAATAAAGCAAATCAGAAATTACTTAGCATTTTATGAAAAACAGATTTGGGGAAACAACCGAACTGAAAATAGTAACACGGTGATAGAGACTTATATAGAGCATCACTCCTGTTATTACATCCATAACATCAAGACAAGCAAAGCAATCTTGACAAACCTAACACAAAGTGCAAAGCCAGTGCAAATGTCACCATTCATAAGTCACCTGGAATACATATAAACAACAAAATGTCCTATCATCAGAATGCATGACTTTGGAGACATGCCCAAGGCCAAGACTGTTATAATCACATAAAATATACACATAATTAGGTATAGTAATAAAATACTATGTAAAATCAAAGATAGTAGTGAGTTATTACAAATAATTCCTCAATTCAAGTGATAGTAATTAGTAAACAAATAAATGGTGTTGCTGTGTTGGTGATTCACACATGCAGACTAACCCAATTAATTGTTAATTTGTCATTAATAAGTATAACACCAGCATAAGAAAGCAACATAAAATCTTCTTAATATTTAAGACCATTCAATGTAATATCCCAGGGTATAATCTCATGAGTTCAAATATGAAACACTACATTTCTGCAACATCCCAAAATCCCACTCTTTGATTTTAACGCCAGTATTATTTGTGATAGGGCAAAAGTATCGACTTTTAACAGTTTGCTTCCGCCAACTTGAAAATTATGTTCCCATCCAAAACACCAATTTTAAGTGAAAAGCAAGCAAAAGAATTATCACAACTTATATACACAAGCTACGGAACATGGAGACTTTGACAGCTTTGAATAGCTACCGTTGTCAATAATGAAGTATCACTTCTACATGTGCAAAATATCAAAGAGGACTTGTCATTTTACAGTACATCAAAATCGGAGATTTACACAAGACAGGTTACAACCTTCATTCCTTCGGTTTTCAACAATCGGAAACAATTGAAACACACTCAAAAAATATCAAATAACCAAAACAAAAATGAAAAAATACTCAACATATATGATTACCTTTTGTGCGCTTGAACGAATTTTGACTTCTTAGAATCTTCCTCTGCCAAAAAATAACGAAAACGAAAAGAAAGGACAAGAAACAAAAGTGACAATAAATTAGGTTTAGAAGAAAAATAAAAAGACAATTCTTCAAAGAGCGAGAGAGACGAGTGTGATGGTTTACCACTAAGGCCAAGAGAAAACTTGGTGATTAGGGTTCCGGTGATTGCGAATCCTACAAGGAATGGCCAGTTCCGTTTCCATTCACGCTTGAAGAACACAGGCCATGGATCAAACTTTCGCATTTTTCTCTACTTTTCTTTGTTTAATACACTGCTAATGCAAATTTTACGTTTGTTATTTCAGCTTCGTTCTCGCAGTCACAGCTTCCAAAATGGAGATGTAATAGCGATTTTTTTTACACCTTCGTGATGCTTGTAGTAGATGGGCTCAATCCAATTTAATTGGGCTGCTCCCAAACAAGGCCCTGAAGGTGAAGGTAAGCTCAGTCTGCTGCACTGAGTTTTATGGCCCAAAAAGAAAGGCAATTCTGCGCTGTGACTTATCCATCCGAAATCTCCTTTACATATGCTCGTCTAAGGTTGACCCAAAAAAAGAACTTGATTAGAAGACCTGTGAAGTAAGAAAATAAAAGAACATTTTTTGTTGATTATAAGTGGGTTGAATCTAAAAATTATTTTAATTTAAATTAATATATAATAAATTTTTATTTTCTCATTTTAAACTATTTTTTTGCTTTAATGATGTGAAAAAAAACAGTTTAAATGAAAACATCCACATGATTGCAGTAAGTAATAGCAAGATAAGTAACAAATAATGGCAATTAATAATAATTATAATGTTAACAATGATAGCAGTTACTATATCAGTAATAATTGCAATGGAGTAGTAATGCTAACAGTGATAAATTTATAAATTAAAATTATAGTTTTATTTTAATAAAAATTATATTTAACATTATTGTAAATTATTAAGAAAAAATTTCGATTTTAATTAAAGAAAAGGACTGAAAATATATACGATACTCTACCTAAGATTGATTTTAATGACAATACATTAGTGAATGGTAGTTATAATAATTTTCACTACCATCATTCAAGAATGAAATTCTATCGATACAAGTCTTAATTACTCTACTTATATGTTAACTTTGAACTGAGTATAATGATAATTATTTTAAAACATAAAATATTTATTATTTCATCCCCTGACTCATTTGACACAAGTGTGATAAGATTAACATATCTCATTTTAATTCAAACTCACACAAAGTTACCGTTGCAATTTTTGTTCGAGGTTACAAGTTTACTTGTTTGTCTTTGTTCTACCTCATGGTAGAAATAGTAAAAAAAAATATAAAAGGAAAATTTTGTTAAATTGTACAATCTGGATTTCAAAATTACCAATGTTTCATGTTTCATCATGTATAGACAAGTCAAATCGCAAATCATAAGATATTATTTTCAATACCACAATAGAGAGGTACACGCAGGAGATCAATTCAGGTGAAGCTTATGTTCTTTGTTTCCCGCGTTTTCATCAATACGTCTTTAATACAAGAGAAGGCCAGAGACTGCAGACCGCAACTGCAAGTTCATTTCATTTATTGTGTGATACACTCCTCAAGCCATGTTTTGCACCTTGAACGAGCTTCTTCGAGTAACTTGCAATTATGTCTCTATGTGACTAATTTTGTAGAACGTCGTCATATTAGACAGACACGAGGAAAAAACATGCTATGCCACAAAAAAAAGTGTTGAAAGGGTCATCGAGTAATGATTTCAAATCATCACAACATATAAGGATCATAGATGATATATAGATTAAAGTCGTTTATTATATTAATTGATGAAATAAATATCTTATAACATAAAACAGACCGCCACACTTTTATGAATAATCCAGGGTCTGAAATTCCTTGCACGTTTGTACTTTGTAGAAGCCACTCCAGCAATTGACTCATTGTATCCTTAGGCCCATGGGAAAGTCGTGTCCACCATAAGTCCACAACCCAGTTTATTATTATTAAAGCACTACAATTCTGTGAGTACCTTTGCATAGCACTGACCGTTTCTCGTTAAAGTGCACAATAATTGTAACAAAGTGAACCAAGTCAAAATTAGTAGCAGCCCAGGTCTAAGAAGGAAAACTCGTTTACATTGAGTGGCTAGAAAATAGAAGACAAGGCACAAGCATTTTATTTTGGGTCTTTGGCAACGCCGTTGGTGGACTGCTTAATTGGAAGCCAAGCTAGGCAAAAGAAACCATCAAGGATTTAGGCCCTTCTTTTCTTTTCTTTTCTTTTTTTTTAATTAACCTCAGACACGAATAAACTACCAATCATCCAACGTATTATTTCCCATTCCCAACATACATTCACACACGCTGAAAATATTTATAAGAATTTACATGAAACATTATTCAAAATTTTTACGTTGTCGTTCAATAGTACGTGAATAAAAAATTATTCACTGTGCATTAAAAGTTAAGCTCTTATTAAAAATTTATATCTTTAATTTAATAAATAATTTTTATGCATAAATTTTATTACTTTTAACGTTCGTTGAATGTAATAGAATGAAAAAAATATATAAAATAAGAGGGTTGAATAAAAATATAATATAATAAAAAACTAGATTTTATTTTATTTTATATTTTATATATGCTAAAATAATAAATTAGATATAGGTTCAGTTTAGATTAATTAATAAAGAAGTACTTATAAAAAATAAATAAAATTTATTTCATAAGTTAAAAATAAGTTTTAAAATAATTAAATTTTAGAATAGTTACATGATTTTTTTAAAATTTAAAAATCATAAATTATTATAACTTGCAGCAGAAATTTGATTTGTATTTCTATTTAAATTTTAACGCATACAAATATTTATTGAAACAATAATTTAAATTAGACTAAATTATATTATCATACTTTATCTATTTTTAAGCCACTACTCTCGTTATCGTATGATAAAATTTACACAGAAGAGAATGACAAAACAAAAATACAATACAAACTTATCATGTTATGTCGATTCAATAAACATTAAAAATATGAAAGAATAACTATATATATAATTTAATTTAAAAAACATAAGAAATATAATAATTTTAATAAATAAAAAATATACATCAATACATGTTTTTATTTTAAAAAGTGAGTTTTATTTAATATTACGTTTTACTTCAATATCAATCATTAATAACGTTATTTATTTTATCATTTACATAATAATAGTAAACTTACATTTAAATAAGAAATTGAAGAACTTAATGAATATTTATCTTGCATTATAATAGTTATTAGACAAGTAAAATAATATTGACTTTCAAAAATAATTAAACATACAAAGTATCTATATTAGATTTTTTCAGTCTTTTAAACAATATTTATTAAAAAAATATAAAAATAAAATAACGAAAATAAGTGTATTCATAAATCATGATTAATGTTTTTAAAAAATATCACAAAATTTCTAAAATAATCAATATATTGTTATTGAAACATAGTATTTATAAATATTATTATCTTGAATGTCGTGTATACAAATTCTAAATAGTTATTTAAAAATCATTTGTTTAATTTAATTTTGAATGTATAATTAATATTATATTTCAATGCCGTGTTTACAGTATATTTAATGGAAATTTTATTTTGTGTGTATGTGGGCATAACATTTTATTAAAATAAAATTTAATTAATTAATATTAAATTGCTTAGTGAAAAATTTTGTAATAAAATAAATAAAAATTGTATATGGAAATAAATATAAAATATTAATAATATATATTTAAGAACCTAGTGTGGGGAATAAAAGTGTGGTTTTGCATGTGTCTTGCCACACGATGAACACGCCATTTGTCGTGGTGCTGAGAGGGGTCATACAAGGCTCGTGTTGATGTTTGTAAGTTGCGAGTGAGTGAGATCTTATTTGCTGACTCATAGTTTCCGAAACGTGTCTCAACCATGGCTTCCCCACATGACTTTCACCTAATAGCCATGTGCGCTTCCACAAACAGACGAGCCCATAGGGTTGTTGCCACAGTCTGTGGGCTCCACTTTCTAATGATAAAAGACAACCTTACATTATGGCCTAAATATCTAAAAAGACAAATTAGACTCTATTGCACCCCAAAACAACACTATTTAATACCCTCTTATTCAAATTTTAATGTTAAAGATAGTATCAAAACGAAACAAATTAACAAATATCAATATTTGTCTTTTCACATGATGGGATTGACAGGTTTAGTCGTTACCCGTTGGGAGCACAGGTGGTAAAGGAACAAGTGGGTTCTTCGTCTAACTCACAAACCTACGATAAAAAAATATTTTTTTTATTTATTAAAAATTATTAATAATTTAAAAATATTAATTTAAAGGTAAAAACAAAAAAGATTTATATATTTTTAATAAAATTTAACTAATAATAAAAATATATTAAATGACTTATTTTAACCAACTACTTCTAACAATCTTTTAAATTATGTTTAAAAACTATGTTTAGAAGGATAAAGAAAAAGAAGGGAGGAGTTAGGAAAGATTAATAATTTTTCAAGAGATTCAATTAAAAGATAAAAGTTTTGAAATTTTTTTAAAATCCTTCAAAACTCTTATAATATTTATTTTTTGAGTTATTCTCTTGTAGAATTTTCTCTTTTCTACACTTTAATATTATTTTATTTTTTTTAAATGTTAATTATTCAAGTAATATTTTTTTAAAAAGTTATAAAAAATAGTAATTTTAAAAATATTAATTTTAAATTTATTAATTTTTATTAAAAAATATTTATTTATTATTTTTTATAAAAAAATATTATTTATATAATTAAATCTTCTATTACTCTCTTGTTTTAATATTAATTTTTTAAAAAAACTAATTTTGTTTCTTTTTCTTTTCTCCTTTAAACTCTCTCTCTCTCTTTCAAACTTTTAAACAAAGTTTTTTCCATTTCGACAAGCATCTAAACAACCAACGTGGCATAAAATATTTTGCTCCACCTTTTGTTTTTCCTTTTAAGACGGGAATATGCTATGGAGTCAAATAAAAAATAACAAAACAAGTTTTTATTAAGTAAATAATATTTATTATATAAATAATATCTAAATCATTTAATGTTCCTTTTTTGTGGAAGGAGTTTCGTGTTACTTGTCTATAACTACATGATAAAATTATTAAATATAACATTAAATACTTTATTATTTAAAAAAAACATTTAATGTCTTCTATGTTAATGATACA